AGGTCTCACCAGAGCAGGGCTGGAACCACCATGGTGAGGTCTGGTAGCTCATTGTGGGCACCAGTGGAACGACCATGGCGCTACGGCAAAATGTGTAATGGTCCTACCACACGATGTGTATGTCCAAGCATGGTAATCCCACCACTGTTTACCTGGTAGCTCCCTTCATACATGGCCACACCTGGTAGGTCCATGTCCGGTGGTCCCATCAGCTGGGGGCTACCTGTTCTCTGGAGATACCCTGCCTCCGAACACTAACACCATGGTAGTGCCACACATGACCCGGTAGGACCATGTACTTCAATGCTGTAAACTCTGGACACACCACCAGCGCCGTGGACTACCACATTCTTCCTCCAGGGCATGGACATACCACACCCACTGTAGCTTCCCTTTGGGGTACTACCTGCTGTTTGAGCTGCAGTTCTGGTAGTGGGCTATGACTCTCTGCCAGTGTGCATCGTGAACTCGCGCCGTCTTGCCGAAACGGGGCGGGTCCACGTGATGGACGGTTACAGTTTACGCATGTACGGCGATTGAGCTGACCTGCTCGCATTATTATATTTACATGCACCATGCGAGCCTCTAGATTTTCTAAATGACGGTCATTTACAATTCTCCATCCCTCTTCCGTTTGAGCGGCCGCGGTTTCGGTCTCGGTTTTGCGCGATAGGCCTCCGGCGTTGGCGTCTCCGCGATCACCGATAGCGTCGGAGCACGACGAGTAGCCTCGTGAGCGGCACCTTGCCCTGGAGGACGCCGATGAGCCTGCGTCGCGCTCACGCGAGGATGCGACACCGCTTGCGATGAGCCTCTTTGGGCGGCTACCGCTGACATCGTTGCGCTTCGAGCACCCGTTGCGGAAGGATTGATCGACGGCTTGCCAGATGATGCGCGTACGGCGTTGTACATTGATTGCGCTGGACCGCTCGACGCGATGCGTGCGGTGGTCTTTGATACAGCCTTTTGCGCAGTTTTCGAGGTCTGTGTGGATGCGCCAGGCCTTCCTTTTCCATCTGTTAATCAAATGAAATGATCAAAAGGCAAGAAAATCTGCTAAGCCACGTACCTTGTACAGCGCGATGAGCGCCTGCTTGCAGGGCCATAGGAGCGCCAGCGTAAGGCCCCGCGTCGAAGCCTGCGCTTGATATCACCGATTGTGAGCGTGCGTTGTCCGTGCGATGAGCCTCCCTGCTAAGCGGCCTTTCCGATCGCGTTCGCAGTCCTTCAGCATGATGGCGGGCCATAGGAGCGCCAGCGTAAGGCCCCACGTCGAAGCCTGCACCTGGTATCACAGATCGTGAGCGCACGTTGTCCACGCGATGAACCTCCCCACTAAGCGGCCTTTCCGATCGTGCTCGCGGTCCTTCAGCATGTTGGCGGGCGGTAAGGCCGACGGCGTGTCGACTGGTTTTGGCGGCATCATTCTGTACAACCTCGGGTCAGTCCAACATGCAACATGCGCACAGTTGTGCAGAGCATGTCCTTACTTCGGCGCCAAACGCGGCTTGGGGCAGTGAGCTTCGTGATGACTCGCCGCGTGGTTTTGCATGATCCTCGACTTTTCTGCGTTTCACCTGAATGGAAGTGTAAACACGGCAACACGTTCGGCAGTCTCCAAGACCCTCACTTGCCGCTCCTCAACATCGGGCTCTTGCGCACTTTGAGTCACGTGGCCTGTACGTTTCCGCTGCCCTTGATGTTGAAGGTGTTCGCTCTGTGTCAATATCAGATGTGAGCGATGTACAAGTCCAGAGAAATCTTACGTCTTGATATGATGCCCCTGCGGAACCGCGCCATTCCACGCCTTCCGAGGCTGGCGGCCTGTATGTGGCGGGCGCTGCACCATGAGAGTCCCATTCGCGGGGTGGACGCCGATCCGTCTGAAGGGGGCTGTTGTCAGACGCCGAAAGACAGTTCTCTACAAGAATTATCACCAGAAGTCTTCCTTCAGCGGCACGAGATTGATGACGCCCTTTCTCAACCACCAGGGAGCGTTCACCGGTCGGTGGACGACGATCCGTCTAAAGGGGGCCATTGTCAGACGCCGGAGGGCAGTTCTCTACAAGAATTATTACCTGAGGTCTTCCTTCAGTAGCACGAGATCGATGATGCCCTTTCTCAACCCCCGGGGGGCGTTCACCGGTCACAGCAACATGATCGCGGCTAGCCCTTTCGGGATGGCGATCCATCGGTCGTCTCCGGTAGGCATCCTCCTGAGTAATCCAGCCCAATGGGGCCATCGTTGCTGGTTCCTGATAGTGTCGACCATTGATCGTAGACTCGGAGGCGGCGGTGGCGGCGTCATCATCCCTGTTGTCGTGGTCGTCTGCGTCGTCTTCGCCTTCGGAATCCTGCATGCCATCGTCACCAGGTATGCAAATGGAGGTACAGACGACTGACCTCATGATAGTGCGGTGACTCGCTGCCCCCAGCCTCGTCCGCCCCATCCGCCCCATTTGGCTCGTGTTCGCGAATGTCGTCGGAGGTAAACTCCCCGCCGGCAAATGGCCCGCTGTAATATGCAGGCGCGAAGTCATCATGGTCGTCCATGTGTCGGAAAAACATCTCTTCGTCGTGAACACCCGGATCAGCGGCGATCATGAAGGCATCGTCGTCATCGTCATTGTTGTCGTTGTCGCCCTCGCCGTCGTTGTCGCTCTCGTTGTCGTTGTCGTTGTCGCCGTTGCCGTCACCCTCGCCCTCGTCTTCATCATCCTTGCCCTTGCCCTCGTCTTCGTCCTCGTCCTCGTCCTCGTCCTCGCCATCCATCTGGTAGAGACCTTCGGCGTCGAGGTCGACATCCCGTTTTCCTTTCGCCTCGCGCGCAACGTTATCGTAATAGACCTTGGTTTGGTCGAGGCGATACATGATGGCCTGCTTGCGCTCGGCAAAGACTATCGTCGGCTCGGAGTCCGTGAGCGGCCAGCTCATCATGAGCGGCAGGCGGCCCTTCTTACTCCAGGGCATCGCATCCTCCTCTAACAAAGAGCTTTATGTTAGATGCGATGCACATGTGGAATTGCGTGTACGAACCCGGCAACCACGACTCAACGCGAAACCTCGTGCCATGTGCGCCCTCGGCCAAGAATGGTTCAACGATTTGCTTGATTGTTGCGTCAACATTCTCGCCACGGAAGCTGAAGCCATATCCACCGCGCGTCTTCTTCTTGAGTATGAAATGAGGGTGCATGTCGATGATACGGATGTGATTCCGCGCCAAGAACTCGAGGATCCTGGCCCAGGGAAACCTATTTGTCTCAATGACGACACCAAGTTCAACTGCAGGAGGAGAAAACTAAGTTAGTAGCTGGCCCACTGAATTGAAGACGAACTCACGGCATTTCTGTTTCATCAAAGACTTGAAGATACGATGGTGGTAATCCCGGATATGCTCGCCCTCCCCCTGAGCCGGGATTTGGTACCCATTCAATGTCGGCGGTGGGAGTTCAGGGACTGGAATTCCCGCTTTTCGTAGCTCGATAACACTATTTTCATATTAGAAGCCCTGTCATTTAACACTTCAGACTTCTCGACTAACCGTATGACAGCCTGATAATTCGCCATTGTCCCGAAATGGTCCTTCACGTACAACTTCTTGATTTCTTCCCATTCCGGTGACCCGCCGAACATAGTAAACCCGCACGGACCGTGCGCGTCAATTACATATCCGAAGACGTGTACACCGAGGTCGTGGTATAAGTGCCGCGCCTACCCGCGCAATTGAGGTTCTCACACGTTGAACGGCGATGTGCGTACAAGTACATACCAGGTTGTTGACTTTGGCTACGCCGCGATTGAATTGCTGCGTCAGTTTCCCCGTCTGAGCAAGGTGGTCGAGGTATGTTTGTTCAAGGTCGCCACGCCACTCGATATATTTTTGTATGGCTTCTTCTCGTTGCTCATCGTCTTCGATTTGCGATATTTGCACCCGATACTCCATCCGCAGGCGCGTCATGAAGTCATCCCTCGATTCTAATAACACAATCAGCAACATGTATAAAGAAACACGCGAAAGAGCGTAAACTCACCGCCATCCTCCTGCGGGTGTTGTCGAGCGTACCAAGACGAAAAGACGTCCCAGATATTTCTAGCACGATGTTTGGGGACGTCTGTGCCGTGGACTAGGGCGGAGATGATGGCCGGGGATTTGTGAGTGAGGCTCGCCATTTTCGAGATAAACTGGTCAATCTTGTCCTTGAATTGCTCGATCATCTCTTGGTGTTCGTCCGAAAGAGGGCCAGGTTGCGCGCGCTTCTTGCTTCCATGTTGCCCGTCACCGCTACCCGCTACACCGTCGGCGATATCGACTGCCCTCGGCTTGCGTCCAGACTTCTTCGCAGGCGCCGCCGCCTCGTCCTCCTCCCCGCCGCTCCTCTCATTGTCGCGGGCGACGTCAGCCGCCTTCGCCTTGGATCGCTTCCGTCCAGACTTCTTTGCAGGCGCCGCCGCCTCGTCCTCCTCCCCGCCGCTCCTCTCATTGTCGCGGGCGACGTCAGCCGCCTTCGCCTTGGATCGCTTCCGTCCAGACTTCTTCGAAGGTGCCGCCGCCTCGTCCTCCTCCCCGCCGCTCCTCTCATTGTCGCGGGCGACGTCAGCCGCCTTCGCCTTGGATCGCTTCCGTCCAGACTTCTTCGAAGGTGCCGCCGCCTCGTTCTCCTCCCCGCCGCTCCTCTCATCATCGCGGGCGACGTCAGCCGCCTTCGCCTGGATTAGCTTCATATTGCGCGCCTTTACCGCTGCCGTGTCTTCTTCACTTTCGTCGCCAGAACCGGACTGATCCCACTCAGATCCGCTGGCTTCGCTTTCTTCTATGTTGCGAGAGCCAGATCTCAATCGTTCTCCCTCGTCTTCGTCATCTGACTCCGAGTATTCGGACGGAGGCGGTGATATCAGGTCGGGCACGGGATCGTCACTGTCATACCCATACTCTAGGCCACTCCTCCCACCAGGGTAACTAGGCGATTCAGAAGGGACGGGAGATGATGAATACCGTGGCGGCGAGGATGGCGGCAGTCCGGGGGAGGGCATCGAGGACGGGCCGAGATCATCGACGTCCATGTTCTGCTGAGAGATTGCCCGGAAGGGATTGTTGGGGGAATCACGGACATCGCGAGGTGGTACACGCTGTGCACATATCTCAATGACATTTCTGCGTTGGAAATACAGGGTACAAACCGAGGGAAGCTCGACACCATCGAACACAAGCGTACGGCTTCGGCGCGGTGCTGCCGCTACCAATACTGTATCATTCACATGCGTAATGCCCTGTTCAGGCGAAGAACCGAGAGGCACTGCGGCTGCGGCTGCTTCGATGCTTGAGTGGAAAGTGTCGATGATGAGCGATGGGTCGAATATGACGGCGGGTTGCTCCCCGGATGGGCTTTGCACGGCATTTGCGTCTTGTTGCTGCGTCGTCGAACCCAGCATAGCGTTATCGAGCCGCGAGATGGCGTCTCTCGCCTTTGCCTTGAACATTTCCACAGTGCCCGACGAGTACCCTGAGCTAGGTGCAGAGCCGTGCGGCCATCGACTCGAAACCATCTATAAGGTATTGGCTGCTGGCTCCGCTACAATTTGACTGTCTCACGTACCTCAGATGCACTCGTGTCTTTGTTGTGCTGCAATTCGTCTTCATTCGCGGCCCCATTTTGCGGAGGCTGAGGGAGAAAACGAACCCTTGTCAATCATGTGACGAAACAACATGGGTCATGACATACCCAACGTGGACTTGTCGGCTCCCCGTTCACGGCGACGGACTCCTCGTTGGCGGCAGGTGCCACCGCCTCCTCATTGGCGGCAGCTGCCTGCTCGTTGGCGGGGGCGACCTGCTCGTTGGCAGGGGCGACCTCCTTGTTAGCAGGGGCGACCTCCTCGTTGGCGGGGGCGACCTGCTCGCTGGCAGGGGCAACCTCCTTGTTAGCAGGGACGACCTGCTCGTTGTCAGGGGCGACCTGCTCGTTGCCAGGGGCGACCTCCTCATTGGCAGCAGCTGCCTGCTCGTTGGCGGGGGCGACCTGCTCATTGGTGGGGGCTGCCTGCTCGTTGGCGGGGGCTGCCTGCTCGTTGGCGGGGGCTGCAGCGACTGACTGCTCGTTCGCGGCGGCTGACTGCTCGTTGGCGGCGGCTGCCTCCTCGTTCGCGGCGGCTGACTGCTCGTTGGCAGCGGCTGACTGCTCGTTGGCGGCGGCTGCCTCCTCGTTGGCGGCAGCCTCCTCGTTGGTGGCAGCTGCGGCTACCCATTCGTCTTCGACGGCCTCTCCGACCGTCGCTACCGTAGTAGCTGTCTTCTTGCGGCGCGTAGCACGCCGTTCGGTTGAAGGTTCCTTCTGAGAGGAAAAACATCAGTTCTAGCCTGCAAACTAAGGTATAAAGCGACGGACGTTTGACGTCCTGGTAGAACGTGCACGCGGCCCGCGACCAACGGGCTTCGCGTTTTTTGTCTGCGAAGAGAAAGTCTCAGCATATGCAGCAAGTCACGAAATGAGGTGCTCACCGTGGACCTCTTCGCGCGAGGCGGACGATCTTCTGGTAAAGCGGGTCCGAGGTCGCCGACCTCCTTCGTGGCACGGGACTGACAGTAAAGATGTGAGCAGACGGCGAGGTGGAAGAGATGGAACACCAACGCCTTGTTTCATTGTTTTCAAGTTTTCGCGTGCTTTGTTCTACAAGTGGGTAGTTCCAAGCGGGGATATCGAGGTAGGGAACGTCCAAGAGCGACGGGAGCTCCAATGGTTGAGTCCACGTTTTGCTGTGAATCGTAAGCGCTGCCAGAGGCCGCCGAACGAGGGGATTGGCGCGGGCGGGTATACGATGATACGCCATATTCGGCCGTTGCGTTCATCATCACATGTGCCTGTTGCAGCACGCGGGCCAGCGGCAGCTCGGTTTCACCCCAAACTCGCCAATTCCATATCGGGAGTAACGGCGCCGCAATGGGACCACAAGCTTTGCCCCGTCCGCGACTCTCTAGTCGTGATAGGTCGCAGCCTACTATGCGTCCCATCCACGGATATCCGGTAGGAATGGGACATCCGAGGGTGTACAGACGGCGTATATGCCATGTTCTAGTTGCTTGATCACTCTTCCTGCAGTCCCGCCGATCTTCCCTTATCACGCAAGCACGTCGATGAATGTAAGCGATCGCAAACACGAACAGCGTACCTTTAGATATGGAACTTCGAAGCGAAAAGCCTCGTGTTCGCGACTTGAACACCATCAGCTGGTTGGACAGTCGCCTTCGGCGACGGATTGCGACGCATGGCGCATTGATTCGATACGCCTGCTGACGGCTGGCCGGTGCTCGGCGTCGGCGCAGGCAGCTTGGATATTCCGCGATTGCGATAGCTGCGTGGCGACGGTGCGCGCTATGATTTGTTCCTGTTGCTTCAATAAAATATCCTCCTGTCACGCGATCACATCAGTCACCGCCAGCGATCAGGGGTGCGGGCATCCTACTTGCACATATGGGACAGAGGACCCTCGCCTCCCCGAACCACCTCGCCCTATCCGGCGCCGTCCATCACGATGTCCACCCTACCCCCTCCTGCGCCGCGCGAGTCCACCGCCGCTTCGCGTTGGGAGAATATCGAGAGTCAACGCATCAAGCTTGGCTCCTGGAAGAGCCATCGTGTGAGTCCTAGTTTGTCGTACCCGTCGTAGATTGGCACTAACGTACCCACAAGGTCGGTCAGCTAGTTGCACTTCTCTTGCAGGATGACGAGCAAGGCGACCTCTACGGCTATCACCCAGATCTCCTCCAGCATCTTCTTTTCTCGAAGAGAGAGAAGGATTTGTTTGGGTCACCGCATGCCTCGTATATGTTCTGGCTTATCGCATCCGCAAATGTTGAGGTCGACGTAATGGCTACATTCGTACGTGTGTTTCATTGTTCTGGTGAGAACGACAACTGGAGTGTAAGTCAGCCGGTCGAAAATCGTTTTACTACATGCGATCAACGCTGGCGTCAAGCACTCACCCTCCAAAACGTTCCGGTTGATGACGACGAACTAACTAAGTTCCTGAATCTCATCTTCAAGGCCAAAGGGGGCGTTAACGGTCGGCCGGACGCGCCAATGATAGTTCATCCGTTTTTCCTGGAGTGGAGGAATCGCAATCGAGAGGTAAGCATGTTCTCGCGCGAAGACCGAACAACCAACTCACTGTCTCGCGCGACCAAGGCCCGGCTACTCATGAAGCATCTAAAGAAGCACTTCAGCGACGTCGAGCTATATAGTGATCGCTACGCAACGAACCGTCTCAACCTACAATTTCACGTTAATAACTTCCACCGCCTTAATAGTAAATGTTTGATGAAGCCTCGGGACTATCTGCTTCGCGTCTTCTGTCACGGCAACCTCTATCCGTCGAAGGCGTCTGCCGATCGTTGCCTGGACGTTGAGGTATGCCAAGGGCATCATACGAGGCCGTACATGACCGCTGACTCCTGTCGTAGGAAGCTGAGAACAGCCTTTATGACCTGCATTCGCGGTGGTATGGTGACCTACGCATATAGATGCATGTAGTATAGTCCGATTTGATAAAACCACCAACGAAACAAGCCCCAGACGGCTTGCATTTGTCAGAGATTGATCGGGGTGTTCTTCCGAGTGATGCAAATTGGTCAAGTTCGCGCGATGGCTCGCGCGTAGGAGGATGAGCTGCGAAGCATGTGTCAAACCGCATACGCTCAAGAAATCGATTACGGACGTACGCACACTAGGATACCGCAGGCATGCACGATGCGAAGGTCGGCCGTAGACCGCGGAGACTGTCGCAAAGACTGGAAGTTCTGCGTCAGTCGACGTATAAACAAGACACAAGGATTTCAGGCGGAGCGCGGCGTAAACTCACCCAGAGATGTCGGAACATGCCATAAAGCTTCGCAGATATGGAACGAACATGGAGTGATAGTAGTGTGATACGCTGCGAAGAGTGGGTCAAATGGTGAGCGCTCGATCGATGCCGGGCATACGCACAGATCAAACCGCTAGGATACCGTGGGCATGCATGATACGAAGGTCGGTCGTACAGCGGAGACTGTTGTAAACGTTGTAAATTGTTCGTCAGTCGGCGTATAGACGAGAAACGAGGATTACCGGCGGAGCACCCGTTGCCTCACCCAGAGATGTCGGCATATGCTATAAAGGTTCGCAAATATAGAACGAGCATAGAGTGATCAGTTGCGAATTGTATGTCAGCGCGAACCTGCGTATGCGTAAAAGGTTTGTGCTATGGAACGAGCATAGAGTGATACGCCGCAAAGAGTGATTCAAACAGTATACACTCGATCGATGACAGGCGTACGCACAATTCAGGTCGCTAGGATACCGCAGGCATGCACAATGCGAAGGTCGGCCATAGACCGCGGAGACTGTCGCAAAGACTGGAAGTTATGCGTCAGTTGACGTATAAACAAGAAACCGGGATTGCAGGCGGAGCGTGGCGTGGACTCACCCAGAGATGTCGGAACATGGCATAAACCTTTGCAGATATGGAACGAACAATAGAGTGATAGTTGCGAATCGTATGTGATAGCACACACCCGCGTAGCGTAGCAATAACGATAAATTATGCATTACCACGTATCGGAGGGGCTGGTATAGCACTTCATGTAACAAGAGCTGATGCTAAACGAGATCCCAAGAGGCCGCAAGAGCAGAAAGCGACGATGTTGTTGTGGACGATGACAAAGGTGACGTGTGAATATAGGAATGGGTCGGGACGCGGCGTTCGGAATCATTTTTGTTTCCGCCTCTGAGCCTTTGCCCCCATCCGGCAGTGACCCTCTTTATCTCCATGTCCTCGTCCAGGTCAGATGGCTACGCGATCAGCTGCAGGAAATGTTACTCAATCAAGTTGTACTTCGTCAAGTATGGACACGACCGAGTCTGTGGCAAGCCGGATTCGACGTGCTTCGTGTCCCGACCTCCAACGCCCTGGTTTTGTAACGCATGGGGCCGAGCAAGTACGATGTGTTGGATGTTTTAATAGCCAGAGATTTGGATTGGAGGCTCAAGCCGGTAATATCTCATGTGTCTGGGACTCTGAGTCGTGCTATCGGACGGTCAACTGACTGCATGCACCCATAGCTGCTCACCCATGTGGCATCTGTCCCTTGGTGATATCGCACAACATCAGGCTCACCAGGCAGAAGGAGAGTTTGATCGACCTCGCAGTCAAGTTGTGGAATCGGGTCGAAGAAATCGAGCTGGCTGTCAGACGGCTCTTAGGCCGTCGAGTCCCGTCGTTTGAATGATTTTCTTACGCCTGTCGTGTGTCCCGCCGCGATCATCAACCCTGCTCGTGTCTGTATGAAAACTTTGCAGGCGTTCTATCATGCGCTAGTCTCTCGAAATGCGAACGGTGACCGTGCCACCATGACGGGTACCTCACCCGATGCGTTTCGTGTCAAGACCGACCGCTCCATAGGTCCCGCTACAAACCCCTCGTCTTCAATTTTCAAATACAACCGCAGCGTGCAACAATGCGTTCCTTGATATTTTTTGTGGTTATCAGCCTAGTAATGTACTGCGCGCGATGCTACAATGTATACGCCACCAGCTCAACAACGATGAGTACGGACATGGGGAAACTCAGAGGAAACGCGACCAATAATGCTTCCGCCGGGGCAAAATGCTTCCGTCGCGGATGCAAAATGCTTCCGCCGAGTACAATCATGTTTTATCTCGGCCATCATAGCATCACGTAAACAACCCATCCTTAACACAATTGGTATGCATGCGGCTAATACGAAGCAATACAACGCCAGAATGATCGTAGGGCGCTTGCAGGACTGCGCGCAAAGGACACGGAACGTTGTGGAAACGATTTGACCTTGACGTGGCGTCACGACGTCGGTGTCAGGCAAGCCGTGCGGAGGTGCACGAGAAAGGATACTCACACGTCGACGGACATTCCGCATCTTCAGGCCCCGAAACTGCTTCGAAACGAATCGACCTGGGCGTGGCGTCACGACGTCGGGGTCAGGCAAGCCGTGCGGAGGTGCACGAGAAAGGATACTCACGTGTGGATAGACGTTCCGCATCTTCAGGCCCCGAAACCGCTTCGAAACGAATCGACCTGGGCGTGGCGTCACGACGTCGGGGTCAGGCAAGCCGTGCGGAGGTGCGCGAGAAAGGACACTCACGCGTCGACGGACAGTGGAGGTGCGCGAGAAAGGATAGTCACGTGTCCAAAATTGTTCCGTGCCTTAGAGCACTTTCAGCGCCAGTGTAAGTCGAACACAAACGCGCTTATTTGATGCAGGGCTGAAACTCATGAGGTTTGACGGAGTTAGTGAGGAAATTACGACCCACTGATAAGGACCAGATGCTGATGGTCTGTCTAGTGGACGATCTATAGCGAGGTTGGTCGATTTTGAGTAAAATCCGAGGCATGGTGTTGGTAAGGGGCCTTACAAACATGAGGCTGATGGGTGAGCATCAAGTTGCGAGAATGGGAACACGGTGATGGAAGGAAGGGTTGAAGGTTTGCGCCGTGGGATAATCTGACCTCGTTGATATTGTAGCATACACGTGATCTCGCTATGCTCGGTTGCGTTCATGAGTCATAAGTCCATCGCTTTCATCCACAACATAAGATACCTAATAGGTCGTAGCACCATCTTAAATCTTGTAGCCACAGACCTAAGATAACCTATTGGGAGCGCTCGTAGACGCTTATTTCTTCGTAAGTTTGGGTGTGGGTAATGGCTGCGCTGACCGTAGCGGCGCATTTTTACATTCTCGCTTCACAGCACCTTGGTAGCAGTTCACGTCGCACGAATCCCTTCTCGACCTGAACCAATTTCGAACTATCATGCCTATCAAAGTTCCGAAATCGTTCGGGAGGGAGGGTCATGACCTCTCGGAAATTCGTCAAATTTTACAAGAAGGCCCAACAATTTCCAGGAGAGGAAAAATCTCCTCGTCCCATCGAGGCAGACCACCCCCCGTCGCACAACTTCCTCAGCGCCGGACCCTCATTCAAACCGGGTTCTATCGTGGATCCACCAGTCTTGCCTATGAAGATATTCCCTATGATCCCGAATCCTGCAATTCCGACGCGAGGAGCGACGGAGCACGCGTGGATGAACCGGTCGATGTTCTGATAAATCCTGAAACTTCATCGCCGTTCGCGACTCCGACTACGAATCGGTTTTCCTCCCCGCTCCACTTCCCGACGCTGGATACAGAGGACGACGCGGCTAACTACAAGGCGCAATACGCTCGTAAGAAGGCTAATCAGTGGCGCCGGTGGCAAACAGAGACAATTCCGGAACTCATAACGCCTTACATGGACTACATCTGGGCTACCTCTCATATGGCTGACCCGCCATCTCTTCCACGATGTACTTGTCAGGAGCCGGGGAGAAAATTGAGCGTTTTGGCAGTGTATTGCGAACGTAAGTCGCCCGCACATCGCGATGTAATCCATGTTAATGAAATGGACTAGGGCTCGCGCAGATCGACCTCTCTATTTGCACCTGCATGTCAGCTGCGCGACAACTTCTAGCCCGAGGGTTATTTCCGTGTGCTCCTCAGTCTCCGTCTCTCGCATTTGATCTGAATATGCTCGAACTAGTGTCAACATTATTCTTAAATGTTGCGCCGAACGTCACTGCATGGACTACCACATTGGAGTCTTTTCTTGGTGTCCGAAAATTCCGGTTGAAAACTCAAGTACGCTTTCCTGTGAAGTCGCCTATCGTGCTTACACATATATTATTTGGTCAGGATTCTTTGCGGAGACGTTTCAACAACGCCCTTAACTGGTACATCTACCTGATCGATCATGTGAAGGAGAAAACGATTGCGGCCATAGAGGCAGCCCGGAAGGCCATCGCGCGTGGCGAAAAGGACAAGACAGACCTTGGATTCGAGAATGCAGGTCGGTTTCTGCTATAGTCAATCATGAGCTACCACTGACTTGGCATGCCCACCCACAGCCGGGTCAGGGGTATCGAACATCGAGGGGAATTGCTCGACGACGTCTACAGCGTCGGCACCGCCCACATCCTCCGCCCGTCCCCGACCATCGGTTGTTACAGGCCGAGGCCGAGCGTCAAACCTCGCAGAGGATTCCTCGGCACCGCTTACAGCCGCGGTAGTGTCTGCACCAACCGCACCTCCCCGAGCACCCGTGGCTGCAGGAGGTCGGGAAACATCAACCCTCGAGAGGAATCTCTCGCCGACGACCACTCCATCCATGCCACCCACATCCTCCGCTCGTCCCCGACCACCGGTTATCGCAGGCCGAGGCCGAGCGTCGAACCTCGCGGAGGACTCCTTGGCACCGCCTACATCCGCGCCTACATCCGTGGTAGCGTCTCCACCAACCGCACCTTTCCAAGCATCCATGGCTGCAGGAGGTCGGGAAACATCGAACTCCGAAGGGAAACCCTCCCCGACGACCACTCCATCGACGCCGCCCACATCATCCGCTCATCCCCGATCACCGGTTATCGCAGGTCAAGGCCGAGCGTCGAATCTCGCGGTGGATTCCTTGGCATTGCCTGCATCTGCGGCCACGTCTGCACCCCCCACGCCTCGCCGACCACTGGTGGCTGCAGGAGGGCGGAAAACACCAAGCCTCGAGGCGAGGTCCTCGACGACGAGAAGCCGCGCGTCGAACGCCGAAGAGGATCCCTCCCCTCCTGGCGCGCCCCGCTCGACGGCCAGCTCGGACGGGTGGCCGACAGCTCCAAGCGAGTACCTGCGTTCACGATGCCTGTTATGCTTCAGCGAAGGTGCTCCATCCGACTGCGACGACTCGTGAGTTCTGCATTTCTGGCATTTCTGCTGCTGTGACTTATTGTGAACATTGCATTAGCCCCGACGTCATCATCTGCCTCGACGCGTGCTTCACGCAGAAGCGTTGCGCGACAGGCGGTAGGGACCCAGCTCGGCGACATCCAGCCTCTGTCTTTATCCCCGAGGCCGAAGTATTAGCAATGGAGAAATTGCTTGCAGAGAGGAAGAAAACGCAGGCGAAGCCTGCGAAGGCGCGACCACAAACCAATGTCTCTTCCGGCGGCCCATCGGATGGCGATACAAATCAGACGACTCGGAAACGGAAACGGAAAGAGGCATCGACATCAATTCACTGCGAGGATGATCGTTGTGAAGGGCCGCTGAAGCTTCCGAACTCGGTGCTGGACGGTTGCGAAGCGTCTTTCAAGGCGGCGGACGAACAACGGGAGAAAGCAAGCACGCGATTCTTTGATGACACCGCACTCATGGCCCTCGTGTGCCGCCACGATCGTGTGCTCTGGTTGGCCAACATGACCAGTGCCGGCGAGCGCCAGCACTACGCGATCGCACTGTTGGAGAAGTTCTTCCAACATGTTCCATCCTGGATGCAAGTCGGACTCCTGTACGATATCGGATGCCAATTGGAGAGGAGTTGCTACCGGTGGGACCTACTACCAGAGTACCGCAATCGAATCACCTTCGGCATTTCGGTGTTCCACGCGTACGGTCATCAGTGGGAGTGCCAAGTCTTCTATCACCCTCGTAAGTGCAAGGGTTTCGGGCTGTCGGATGGAGAGTCCTGTGAACGGCTTTGGAGCTCTCTCGACCACTTGGTGCCGCCGTTACGCGTGAGCGGGGTGAGTGGTATCTGCGAGAATTCGTTGACAACGCTTGATGTTTACGTTTTTCTGTCGACCCTCAGTTCTATCAGCGCCTCTACGTGCTCGATAGGCAGATACACCACCTAGATGGTTGCCATCGGCGTACGCTGGGGGATTGGCTAGCAAGAAAACATCACGCGTATCTCATGCGTTTGATTGCCGCCGAACGCGGTCTAGCGCACTGCAAAATCCCGCGCGAAGTACTTTGGAAGGAATGGGACGCCCAGCGCATGGCGCAGACGAAGCCTAAACAACGTTCGTGACATCTTCTTCACAACGTATTGATGTCTCATTATGGAACCAGGACAAACAAAGGATGCCGGTACGAAGGTTATCGAATCGATTCTCCTCATACAGGACCAGCTGCGCGTCATCGAAAAGACCATAGCCGACGTCGAGCGGAAGATCTTGACCGGACGCGGGGATGCAAGTACGACGTCGTACCTGGAGGAGCTCCTTGACGAACAGAGCCGCGCGAGAGCGAAGAAGCACAACCTCGAGAACGGACTGGATTTGCGCAGCCGTCAAAACCTGGAATCACTCCGGGGGAGCAAATACCTTACGCATCGGGTGAATGCGTTGGCGCTGAAAACCCGGCTCCGGGACCGCCTGCGAAATCGTAAATCTGAAACGTCGCGGGTTGAGCGATCCTTTCGCTCGCATTCTTCCAGTGGGTGCAGGCTCATTGGAAGTCGCCGGCTCTGATCTCTCTTAAGACAAGAAATTGGCATCTCACACGCAGATAGCCGTCCTAAGGCGCGAGCAAGGCATCGAAGCCGTCGCGCGCAAGTACAACAAGCTATGCTCTGAAATGGCGGAGCTCATTCGGAAAAGGCAAGCACCAGCAAGAGCCGTACCGCCGGTGCCGATCAAACTCGAGTCGCTGTGGAGTCTCGACGTCGACGATGATATTTGGCAGGATACCGGCCTTTTCGACGATGAGGGAGAGGGCGGGTCGCCGCCAAGATGGCTTGCCGACGAGAAGGTCCGAGATGGCATTCGGCACATGCTCGAGGCCGACAGATGCAGGGAGGAGGGCGTTCGAATCGCGAAGGAACGAAAAACTATGCAGCGCTGGCTGCAAGATGAGTGGTCCGCCGTCAACTACGCGCTCAACGAAAAGGGTGCGTAACTGTTCTAGGGCATGCTCTCGCGGCAAGGTGTACTCACGAAGGTTCAGGTATACGCCCTGGTTTAGCGCATCAACTTTCGATTCAACGAGACGAGTTGCTGGCCCTCGCAGTGGTCTGGCGACGAGACGTCGCCGCAATTCCCGCAGATCCGGCTTTGGGTAGCTCATGGGGCCCTACCGAAGTGGAAATGACGGAAGCGATATGTCGTGATGTATCGAAAGAGGCAGAACTCGGGCCGGAGCTGGAAGATGATGCCTACGACCCGGACGACTATGTCGACGCGGAAGGACGACTCATACATCTCGAAGACGATCCAGCCGACATCGAAGATCTGGCGGCACTTTGCGAGACGGTAGAAGAATTACGCCTGAATGTGGAAGAGAATTACGGCGAGCTGTGGAGGAACGTGACACCGTCGACACCACGTCTCTCGTCGGGGATCAGTAGCCGCATGTCGTCGCTTGGTCCATTCACGCCGATATCCTCCCCGATGGGATATGATCGGCAATCATTCACGCCTCAAGCCGCGCGCACACCACCTATGAGCCGGGGACTACAATCAGGATCATTGGCTGAATATTATAGTGGAGACTATCCCGCGACACTGTCAAAGCGTCCACGACATAGGTAGAGAAGTAGATGTATCTAAAGTTATTACATACCTGAGAGCTGGCAGGAGGTGGTGATGGAGTCATGTAACAACAATGAGGAGAGGCTGTCAGGTGAGAATGGTTGAGTGGTGGAATGCTGCCATGGCTTCAATGCTTGATGTGCATCTCAGAGGGGCGTGTGTTCGAACCTGGCTCTGGTCATTTATTTAATTTCATTTTCTAATGAAGGTCAGTCAAAATAAGGCCATGACACTTCTAGTTGGTAGCAAAAATAGCCTGGATGGCTGAGTGGTATAGCAATGTGACTTTGTGTCATGGCATCCAGGGTTCAAGGCTCACTGTCAACACTGTATTGTTTGTGATGCCACACACACTGTCCCACGGTGTTTCGTGGGTGCAGTGTGCGTAGCCGTCACAAACAATGTGGTGTTGAAGTGCAGTCGTGATGTTTTGATGTCAAAGTGTAGCCCCGAGTTTTCAGGTAGCTTTAGGCAAGCCTTCCATAAACAGAGAGATATTGAAAAGTGTCAAGAATGAGTCGGAGCCTAGGTCCGATGCCAAAGAGTGACGTCCGGACCCCAAACAGGGAGCTGAGTGGATCTAAGTTGGAGGTAGTCAGAGCAGAAGTTCAAGATACGGAGTTGAGTACGAGAGAGACAGACCTGACCCAAGCTAAAGAGTTGAGTTGCTACGCGCTCTGAGTCCATGTCGGAGCAGAAGGGAATATCTTAGCCGATATCCGAACCGGTGAATACTATACAAGTACACTAGCTTATATACTAGCGGAACACAAGGAGTTGTCGGAGCTGAAAACTACATGAGTAGTCAACATGTATCAAAGGAGAATATGGTGCATAAATTTGTGATGGAGATCCGAGAGTTCCACAGGGAACATAAATCTAAATAAGGAACTTACTAATGACACACAACAACTTCCGCATCACACATCCAAGAACAGGCAAGGGTGCACATCATGACAATCCTACAGGTAGTACCCCAAAGGGAAGCTACAGTGGGTGTGGTATGTCCATGCCCTGGAGGAAGAATGTGGTAGTCCACGGCGCTGGTGGTGTGTCCAGAGTTTACAGCATTGAAGTACATGGTCCTACCGGGTCATGTGTGGCACTACCATGGTGTTAGTGTTCGGAGGCAGGGTATCTCCAGAGAACAGGTAGCCCCCAGCTGATGGGACCACCGGACATGGACCTACCAGGTGTGGCCATGTATGAAGGGAGCTACCAGGTAAACAGTGGTGGGATTACCATGCTTGGACATACACATCGTGTGGTAGGACCATTACACATTTTGCCGTAGCGCCATGGTCGTTCCACTGGTGCCCACAATGAGCTACCAGACCTCACCATGGTGGTTCCAGCCCTGCTCTGGTGAGACCTTCTCATGAGGCTTGTGGAGTCTCCCAACATGTCCTGGTACATCCACAAGTTAATCAGTTCTCCCAACGGTAATCCCAATAGGCTGTATCTGGTGGTTCCATGCTGTGGTGTGACACGTGCGGTGGTAACTCCAAATGCCTTGTATGTGACAGGTATTGTCACTCCCAAGTTAGCCTTATCCATCACCGTACTACAGTATATCATTTTCTCATTGGTATTGTTCAACATAGTGAAGCTATTAGCTAACTTTATTTTTGTCATTAATCTATTGCAAGCAATTGATAATATCTATTCCCCACTCTGCGGATATTCGTAATCTAATCCACCCATAAGAGCTGCTATAAGAAGTGATCTGACTCAGTATGTGCACCCTTGGAGTGCAGTGCGTGTATGTATAAAAGAACAAATACTTTCACGTACCCACCGTCTGCCTGTATGATAATACCAATGTGGCTGATGTGTTTCTCATCTGATCATTATTTGGTACATGAACCAACAAATCCTCCGCAAGGAATTGTTTGATATCCATCTGCATAGCCACAAGCAATGATAGCCTGCCATGAGTGTACTATTTATAGCAATATAGGCTGAAAGACCCCTGACACCCCGTGGTATTACCACCTTGTGAGAGTATTTACGGTACCACCAGGCATGTTACCAACACAACCCTGGAACTACCAGTCAACTAACCACATACATCTGTCCAGCCAAGGTGCAGCAGATAGGCGATGGAAGGGAACTATATATGAACATGAAACATCGTTAATGCACATATCTGGAGCAGAAAATAGAAACCCAATTGCACAGGAGCTACCATAGCTCTGCCAATACTGCATTTATTGTCATTGTTGAGACACAAGCATAATTGGCAAGGAAAGGTATAGCTATGATTAACTGTACAGGGTCACCAGAGCGATACCAGACAATTTAAGGGTATACACACCCCATAGGTAGATGGGAGCACCACATTCTTCTAGCTAAGCTGCTGGAGAGTCCATGCTCACAATGCCAGAATGGTAAGACATCTGATTTTAGACCTTATTAGGTCTATCTTTCTTGGTGGAGAGATACACCTAATAAGGTGCTGGACTGACGGTGACTGAGGTGTGGACTTGCTCGAGTGACCGCGATAGCTCGAGGAAACTATCAAGCCGTATCTGGTCGGCAACAACGCGTTTATTCGTATATAGCACACATTAAATGGTGACTTCAGAGAGAGGTGTAGACATCAGAAGTCAGAGATATGGAACACATATCGGATGGAAGCCCGATCGACGTGTGTGCTCTATGTTTGATCCCCCGCTCTGTATTCATCTAATCAGTTGTATGTTGCTATCAGTGTTTGGGTCTCTGTCAGATGAAGCATTGGACAGGCCGTATTCTTATGTCGTCATAACTACGAAGTGCATCCCGGAGCTGCAGAAGACGTCCGAAGTCTTAAGGCCCTTGCTTTCTGCTCCGTACGCCAACAAGTATCCCCAACCGACCTACGTCCTCCTCCAAAATGGCTTGAACGTCGAGAAGCACCTTCACAATGCCTCCAGAAGCGTCGGCAATGGGAAGCCCAACGTCATATCCGCTGCTGTGTGGATCGGCACCAACATGCTCAGCAAGAGTGAAGTCGAGCACAACGACTTCGTCAGTCCCATCTGAAATCTTCAGCCGACATGGCTCATACTATGGCTCAGGATAGAGCGACGATCGGAATCTATAGACCCGACAACTATAACACTACTCATAACACTCCTGCAGAAGAGGCCTTGCTGTCCGGCTTCGCGGACATGCTAGCTGCGGGTGGCAGCACCGTCAAGGTCGTCCCCGAGGTTCAACGGATCAAGTTCTATAAGAACTTCTGGAACGTTGCCTACTCGTCCATCGCGTCGCTAACGCGCTACCCCTTGCCGGCGATATACCGGCATCCGGGCTCCAACTCGCCCATGCCCAAACCGTACGTGGACCCGATCAACGGCTCGCTGATAGAGCAGCACACTCTCCCCGTCATCCGCGGTGTGCTCGAGGAACTTCTTGCCGTCGGGCGCGCTCTCGGCTTCCCCGATACCGAAGACGGCCTACCGTCGAGTGTCATCGATGCGACGATCAACAGAACGAGAGATATTCATGTTCGTGCAGACAGCACCCACAAGCCGAGCATGCTTCTGGACATCGAGAACGGCAAGCCAATAGAGGTGGAGGTGATTGTAGGCGAGGTGGTGAGGATGGCAAGAGAGAGGAATGTGCCGATACCGGTAAATTCCTTTGCCCCTGCTGCACATTTTCCACTCTCATGGAGATGTGTCTTCGATGACAGCGGATAGAGGTGCTTTACGCGCTCCTGCTTGTGATACAGAACCAACTTCTGCAGGGCGCTCGATAGACGTCCTCGGATGTGGAAACAGAACAAGCATTGTAACGATTATTACACGAACTACGGGGTTGCGTGTTAATACAGTATGGATGGTATGGATGAGGTTCGCAGAACCTCGAAGTTATCGCATTGCTAGGGTAATGAATAAGGAAAGGCGCCTGCCCTCGAAGACACAAGCGATGCATGGGTTACGACATTGAATGCGAAACCAGCTCTAGCTTAAGGCGGCGCGGTACACCCTGAGCCGAAGCGGGCTGATATGTCAACGCCCTGGGCCGCCCTCCCACTGCGACGACCGTAAGTACTTTCCTACGGCCAGTCCTGCAAAAGATACTCGCCTGTTACACCGAATATTTAGGTCATTGTGGTTGCCTTCCACTGGAAGTGCACTCGGCGCGATGAAACTGCGAAATGCCATGCTGGTCAGTGTATACTACTTCGAATGGGGTACAGCCATGATACTTACATGCTGAACAAAGCAGCCGTGAAAAGCAAGGTCTTGTACATACTCACTGACAGGTGGTCGGTTAGAAACGAGATATGACGAGTTATGAATGTTCAATATTATCGACCTTCGGGGTGAGCGAGCTTTTATGAGAACGTTCAGAGCTGCGCCTGGCCGAATGACTTAAAGATGCTGTTCCCGTCAGTGATACTTCTCCGTACTATGATATGCTCCAATCGCACAGCAGTGCGAAAAGATCCAATGTGAGCGGTTGCAAGTTACACCGGTGCTTCTTCCTTCCACGCCGGCGTGTCTTCTCAGACGAAGACTGTACGTAAGCGAATGCCTATATCTTCTCGCGTTCGGGGCTGACCTCCGTGACGGGCTGCAGTGCCACTGATACATATTATCGAGCATGCTGCGGGAAGCGCGGTACAGAACCTCCGACCGACAATTATGGACATTGATACCTGGCAGTTCGTGTTTTGATTCCGCGCAAGAATAGATTTGCACCGCCAACCTGGCATTGATGCCGGCGCCTTTGGGGCCTGTTAGGGTGTTCTGCGAGCCGGCGGGTACAGGGTTAGGCAGTGCTGGCCTAGAACGAGGACGACGCCAGGATGTGTAGAACACCAGGCGAGGGTAACCAACACGTTACACGGCGGTGTGGATACCAAGAGCCCGGGCAGAAGCCCAGCAGAATGCGCGCGCGGCATTCATGTCGGTAACCTCGGCTTGGAGAGTACGGACACGTCGGTGGGTGGACAAGAGGACGACCATGTTATCCGAAGGCCAGTTATGCTACGAACCACACTATTTGTGACAGCATGAAGCAGCGTCTGGTATGATGCGAATGCATTCGTTGGTTGTATAATACTAGCACGCTGTCTGGATCATCTCGTCTGTGCCATTATACTCTCGACGTTAGGGGAGGGGAGGAGCGAAGCAACCGAGTGGGGTCAAATTTTCTGCCCTTCCACTGGCATTCTAACTGTGAGCACTGGGCACTTCTTGAGTAAGACACGGCACAGCGTACCTATTACATAACGTCCTCGCGTATTCAGCATGACGCCATACAGGTATTGCACAAGTAGGAGTAAATCTGCGTGCGCACATGACCGAGGTCATGAGCATGTATTCAATATCCAAGGCACAACGAGACTCACGCGCTGATGAAAGAGAGGGCTACCAGAGGTAGGACACACATATTAGCTGAACGCATGCTTTCTGTTCCCGGGTAATGTAGTACGCTCTCTGAAGGGTTTTTAGGCTCGTCATGCTCACACAGATGTACCAGCCCTTAAACTAGCCATGCTGCCGAACGCTGCTCAGCGGCCAGATTACGGAGAGAACAATATGACCCTACGGGGGCCGTTCTTACCGCGCTGCCTGTGACTAACAGGCGCATCGGATGCGAGGCTGAAGCGGTTCCCAAACAATGTGATGACAGTTCTAGCATCATTCCTGAACATGCTGCGTATCACGCCGCAGGCAGCATTCAGTAGTGCTGGTGTGAATTCCACAAGTTTACCAGAGTGAGTCTTATTACGAACACAGATGTTCTGAGGATGCCACATACCTTGGATACACTGCGCAATGCGCTGTACGCCAGAACATCCAATTCACGGGCCTTGATGGTGAGCGGGTAAAACACTTGTTCAGAATGGGATCATGCAACCCGCGATGCCTCCGCGGGCCCTTGCATGAGCTTTAATTTCGGTGTGGAGTGAGAACGTAGGAACCTTTGCTCTGCAGCTGTAGGCAGCTCCGGCGGTCCTGGCGGAGCACGGGCATGCGTATGGAATGACTCCTCAAAGTTCAGCCAGAGCAGACAGAAGTCCTGCGTGTAGCGTAGAGAGGACTGTGTCCTTTCCAGCAGCGAACCCAGCTTCAGGACGAAAGGCCGGAAGCCGGTACGGAAGAAGGGCACAGGCTCAGCACAGCAATATCGGCCCTTAGTGAAAACGTCCGTGGTCCCAGGATTCGTCCCCCGTATTCACTCTGCCATCGAGTGTTCCGCACAGTAGGCTTGTCGGTAGCCATCCACGCAACTCCGAACTGCTCGCAATGGCCGCGTTCAAACGGAAAAAATGGCGCATCGGTGATTACTGTACTTTTACGACCGTAAGTTCGGCCAGGTCAGAGGGGGACAGGGGACACCCCCCAAGTTCGGGGCCGTGGAAAGTTCATCCGCAGCCTGCCCGGGGGACACGTGCTTACGAGGTCAGATTTTTTGATCACACGGTCAGATTTAAGACTCTCACGGTCAGATATAATGTGTCCCGGAGGTTCGGAGTGCCAGGGGACAGGGGACAATAAGTTCGGTTCGGGTGCCCCGGGGACGCGGGACGAACTTACGGTCGTAAAAGTACAGTACCACAACGGAACTCGCAGCGCCGGCACTCCCATCAAGGACACGGGACTGTAGAACGAACAGTCGATCAGACTAAAACGCTCATCGAAGTGCCTTTAAGCCTTTGCTTCCCGGGGTTATATAGCAGGTACGCCGTGATGATGCTCTACCTCAAGCGATCCATTGAAAACGTCCATAGTAATGGTGATATGGCGACTGGTCATGAATCCAATCCAAACACGGCCAATGTCGGGCTTGAAACTCCTCCATCCGTTCTGCGAGCCTCCATTCGGAACTTCTGATCCGCATATTCCCTCTCGCCTTATCGCTCAAAATCCTATTGCAACCAAGGTTTTCCCCTTGTCGATGCCATAGCTCGGGTCTGTCGCCATCGGAGAGACATTGATCTCGGTCTTCCTGAGCTCGCACTGCTGAGATCATACTCGCGCACTCTAACGATCGTTCTCTTACCATATGCATAGAGGAACGGTGACGTGGAACCGATTGCGCTATCTCAAGTTCTTCGGAGCACATCCGACGCATCGTGGGCGGAGCCCCTCTATCTGAATACAACACCGGACGAGGCGACTAACATCTATCATCATTCGTAACCTCAGGACCCAGGCACCTACTGTTCTTAGACGCTAGTGCTTTCAATAACCTGCGGGACCCTAAGGCGTTGATAATGCAAGCTCCCGAACGTAATGTTCTTGTCCATCCGACATCTCAGGCTTCAAGCTGCCTCTAGAGCGCCATTTCGTTTACCAGAACCTCGTGGACTGTGCGATCGGGACGGTCGAGGAGTGCAGTCTCGGCGTAGGCAAGCTATACAGTATGCTCAGCCACATGCCGGCTCTGCACCGTCTCCGTCTTCGCTATGCCGCAGATCCCCCGCTCATGGTATCATCGTTCGCCCGTTGTGCTCCATCATCCTCGGGGAATTCAGTGCCGTCGATGATGCGCAAGTGCGACCGTACTCCTTCCGCTATCAGAATACCCGTATTCCCTTCAGCTAGTTTGCTTTCCACGTGTAGTCGACCGATCTTCAGTTCCGCGACCGCTTGTCGTCCTTGGTCGTATTCACGGACAAACGTCTGGGGGACCCTCCCCGGCATCACTGCACCCTCGGTCTCTCAGAAGACCGCCTCTCCTTGGAATGGTACAAGTCCATCCAAGCACACATTGACTGATCGACCTACGAAATTTATTCTCCAGTTGTAAGCATATGCATACCCGTGGATACCGCGCAACGATCTTGCTATGGGTTGGCGTCGCGCGGCGGCTAGTTCCTGCCGTGTACGCAGTCCGCGGCCTCCATAAGTTAATATCCCACTAGCGTTCTCACTAGAAGGTGGCCCTCGGTCGGTCATAACTGATGTGGATTCACGAAAGGCGCGAGGGGACACTGCAAATAGACGTTCCGTATCTCGATAGACACAAAACTCTACTTTCGACCGCAGAGCACTCTGATCCCCTATTTCTTGGTGCCTCCGCGTTTAGAAGCAGACTTACTAGTGCCCTGTCCCGCTCTACGTTGACTTGGTGCCTCCGCTACCTGACCCGCGCTCGCCTCTCGTACAACCCGACCCTTGCCCGCCGACCCCGCAACTGTGACTCCGCCCTGCACCGCCTTAGCTTCCGGTGTGGCTGATCGCTTTACTTCGCCCTCCTCGGCGGCTTCTTTCCCTGGCCAGGACCGTAGGCGTTCCGGGGCCGGTTGAATCTGTCCCGATTCAATGGCTGCCTTCATTTCGTCCAGCCCATCTTTGAGGGAAGGGGTTTCCGAAAAATCGTCTCCGCTCGTTTCCGCGGCACTGGATCCGGAGATCCCGTCCATGTACGCGCGTTCCGCCGCATTTCCGCCGGCCATTTTCTTCCTGTATGCGTTCCACTGGCGCATCCCTTCCTGACCAAGATGATAAGTGCCTGAAAGCTGCTCACGACCGATAGACGACGTACATCGTGGTCCCCGGGCCTTGCCGCTTCCTCGTCTTCCTGCGCCACCGTAAAGAAGGTATCCTCGGGAAAGGACAATCCATGTTTGGCTGCAGCTTGGCCTACCTCCCGCAAGGCGCCAAGAAATTGAGGACTAAGGCGTAGCGTCGTGGAGGAATCTGCATCCACGAAGATCGGCCGAACGAAGAACTTGAACTCCATATGGATTTTGGGCCGAACCTGCGAGCTAGGGACCGACTCGTGCTGCTCGTTCGACATAGCTTTGCTATCAGATGGACCCAAAATGGAGCCGGGGTCTGGTTGTTGGCTCAAAGCAGTGCTGGATCGCCGCCTTCCAGCGCTGGGCTTGAAGAACCGTATCAAGCAGAAGTGGGCATCTACACGGAGAAAAGCAAAACACTTATTGATCTTGAACGCCTTCATCGCCACCTTGGCTTGGAGCTCCACCTGATCTAGGTTCACCAACGTGGCCGCGACGGCAGAGGCACGGGCCCCGGCATGCCACCAGCCTCTGGCCTCTTTACTAATTTTACATTCCCATGTATACACCAGCCTCTGTGTCATCGTTGTGTCGGCGTTCCTCGAGGCGATAACGGCCGCAAAGTCCGGCACCTTCCATTCGTTCTCCTGAATTTTGCTCTTGTAGGCAGAGTCTATCCGACACTGAGGGTAGATCGCAAGCGCTCCATCGGTGCCCTTCTTGGCTGACACGCGAGCGGAAAGCGCCCATGCCGTCAGGATGCGATTCACGAACCCGTATCCAGGGGCTTCCAGTCCTCCACTGTCGGCGGTGCCGACCGTGGTGTGTAGTTCTGGGAAGAAGTGCTGGGCAATATTCAGTGCTTGTATAAGCACGTAGTATTCCGTTGGATACGAACCTCCGATGTTACGACGATCTGGTTGCGAGCAGCCATGTCTGAGGTGAGTCTGATCGAGAGTGCGTTCCGGGGCCCGGGCTTTATATACATCTGCTGGTCGTATGTGGCGTAGTGGGCCCACAGCGAACTCAGGGACGTGCGAAGCCACATTTTCACCATAAAGGGCCATAAGGTGATGACCATTCTCAGCCATCTGATGTGTTGCGGAGTACGAGAAGTAAGAGGACAGCAGCGGACAAAAGAGTCAAGACCGCATATTGCTGGTAACGAGACTGGCTTCCGACAATGGTCGGCGATACAATGGACAGCATGACATCGTCGCCAGCAGTGGTAGTTTGACAATATGACATGCAATAGCTGGCAAGGTTGAGCACGAGTGTTGATGTCGGCCGCGGCTCCTTGCAGGTGGGTGCTGTCTGGCAGTGTCAAATGATCTCCTGATCACCAGCTCGCTCGCGGATTGGAGGTACATAACGACGAAATTGTTTTCGTTTCAGGTAAGTACTGCCGAGCGAAGTTTTGAGACTTTTGTACTGTTATCTTCTACGCGGAAGAGAAAGCAGTCCGCTCTGCACTGGGATAGGCCCTGATAGGCCGGATGTTATTATATTTGTCATCAATCACGTGCAAGTTATAGCTTTTGCGTAGCGCCGACTGGCAGGGAAGGCCGAGCTGTCCACTGGCCATAAAATGAGCCATTTCCCGTGGTGTGTCTCCATCCATCCCCCTCCTTTCAGCCTCCCAATTGCAATCATTCGACATAAGCTCATTTCACACAACAAGCTATGTTACCGACCGATGCACAGCGATGGTACCGGGTAACTTGTAAATGTCCACTTTCCCCGTTCATAGTGCTGATACGATCGACGTTCGTTCAAGGACTCATTCATCACATTTGGATTAAAGCACCGGAAAGCAATGACGCGTCTCCCGGAATGGATGACGGATGAATTTCTGCGCGAAGACGACTGTCCGCTGTTTCACTACGGCGTAGGAGTTACGATACAGCAGCTTCGCGTATTCTGCATCAAACAGCAGATATACAAGCCTGACAAGGACAGTGATGAGATGGCCATGTGCGCCTTGCCGGAAATCGTCGATGTCCTCTCACAGCTCTGCAGAGCCAAGTTGAGCTGGGTTAGGATCGGACACCCTCGCTACGTCTTGGCGATCGCTCTCTACACGAACTTCAACCTATACAAGCAGAAACGTTCACGGAGCCAAGAAGCAACGATATTCGAGGCGGTGAAGAAAGAGCTCGACCTATCGCCCAACGCGCAACCCCTTTGGTACTGGGATATGGAGCGCTCTACTAGAGCAGAGACAATCGCCAAGGTACGTCCCCATAATGCTGCGAACCGACTCATTGTTCTGAATGAGCGTCCTGTAATAGATGACCAAGATTCCGAAGATTCCGAAGGCCGTCATGTTGCATAAGGCCGTACTCGGTTACGAAGACATCGATGTAACGGCGGACTTCGAACCGTCGGACGAAGAGCTGAAGGCGCACTTCGGGGACTTGGATGAAGAGAGCGACACGGATGAAGAGAGCGGATCTGACAGCGACAGCGACGTAATTTACGATAGCGACACGGACGACGAGAGCGACACAAATACAGCCCGTGCGTAGGGGCAAGGGAAGTAAGTGCTGTGGATGGCGGCGCTACACGGTATAGCGCTATCTCTATGAAAATCTTGGTCATCTTTTGATTGTTTTGTGTATTGTCATCCCCTGTTTTCCTTGCTGTGTGAACAGTTGTCGCTATCGTGCTCTGAATATATATCACATTCGGTCCCAAGTGTAGTGATAAATCGGCTTCATCTACGTCGGGAAAGACGGGCTTCGCATAAAAGTCTACGGTATTCGTCGAGGGCCGCGTTTAGTACAGTGACAAACTCTTGCCCTTATAAAAAGGCCTTCGAGCGGCCGTAATCCTGCAAACCAGATCCGTTGAAGATTTTGCGTCATGAGGTCATCACATAATAAATACATCGGGCGGGAAACTACGAAACGAGGCAAGGCGAATGCATACAGGTGAGGAACACGGAAGACGACGCACGAGTTCAGAGCTATCGATAGGATATATGTTATATGTCGAAACGAGAAAGGCATGGGTGGGCATATGGGTTCGAGCGAGATAGGTACGAAGGACCGACGCTGTGGTCATGCAAGCGTATCCGGTTTGACCCTCCACACCACCGCAACGGCGGCGATACCGACCACGAGCGTCGCCAATGTTCTCGATACTTGCGGATTATGCTACGTCGGGGGGTCAGCGCGAACGTCAACCAATGAGAATAATCATGAAGCTCACCAAGTCTACGAGTGCTAGCGCGTTCGCGTATGGGTGATGCGCGGCTGTCGGAGTGCCAGGTGCCGTATTACTAGGTTCGGTCCCGGTCCAGCTGCTCTTTGGCGTCGGGTACTTCGTAGCGTCCTGTTCCCTCTCGTCGCCAACCCGGGTTTCCTCATCGTCGTCCGAGCTACTACCTTCCGGCCCCCAAGGACTCCGCGGTCTCAATTTGGTCTTCGCCGGAGACACCGATAGATGACTCGCAATGGGCTGCCCATAGCTTTGCTCGCTGCTGCTGAGGTCCACAGAGCCAGTGCTTCCCGAACCATTGATAGCCCCGGCGTCGCGGCTCCCGCTGCGGCCCCTGCCACTCTTATTCCTCCTCCGATTCCTCGGTTTGTTCGAGTCCGCGCTCAGACTCCTCGGGCTGGGCGGCGTCACTAGCCCATGCGAACTCCCCTTCGCGTCGCCGTTCGCCCCAAGGTGATGCGCAATGCTGAGCGTCGCCCGGACCTTGGCCTCCGCCTCCGCGAGCCCGTCCTCAACCTTCTTCGCCACCCCATCCACCCCCTGCTCGACGGCCTGCAGCCGCGCCTCCCACTCCTCGCGCGCCTTCCGCAGCCGCTCGCGCTCGCTCCCCCACTCCTCGCGGACGTCGGCCCATTGAACCTCGACCGACTTTTTCCACTCGGAGAGTATCTCTGTCAGCCCTTCCTTAGGACGTGCATCGACCGCATCTGGGACGGAGGCTGGCGTTGCTGGCGTTGGAGCGCCGCTTTGCCGCGCCAGGCTCTCGCGCACGAGGCTCTCCAGCGTGCCGACCTTGGATTCGAGCTCACGAATCGTGCTTTGCGCTGCCGCGTGTTGACTTTGCAGATTCCGCGACATTTCCAGCGCACTTTCGAGCTGCGCGGCCAACGCCTCCAGTCTATCGGCATGGTCGGCCGCCGTTGCCTTCGACGATGAAGGCGACGTCGGGCCCGCTAGCCGCCCGAAAGCCTTTGAACGTCCGCGTTCCCCGGATTCTTCGTGATCGTCGTCCATACCCAAACCGCTCGGTTCGGGAGTGCGCGGTCGGCCGAGCCGCCTCCTCTGCTCCTCGACCTCCTCTTCGCCGTCTTCGGCAAGCTCTCTTCGGTGAGCCTCCGCTTCCTCCTCAGCTTGAGCGTCCATGCGCATCCGGATGCGCTCCGCCTCAGCTTCCTCGTCCTCGTCCACCTCGTCCACCCGCTCGAGCTCGTGCGGCATGACCGTGGAAGCGATGCTCCTCGCGTCATCGTCCAGCTCGGCGGACTCGTCGAAGGAGTCATGGTGATCCCGCGAGGTGCGATGGGCTTCCGGAGACATAGGGCGAACGTTGGCCGAGTCCGTGGGCGAGAAGGATCGAACGCGACGCCGGTCCTCGATCAACTCCCGAAGGTTGTTCATGTCACGTTTCAGAGCGGCATGCTCTGCCAGCGTCTCCTCCAGAGCACGGATCTTCTCAACGTGCGCGGCAAGACTGGTTTGGGTTTCACGAAGTTGTGCTTGGATATCGTTGAGAGCGGCGGGCTGAGGTCGGTCCGATGAAGACGACGCAGAGGCCGAGGCGACGGGCTCGGATTGGCTGTGCTGGTGCTGCTGGCTCTGAGCGGGTCGTACGGGCGGCAAATGCGACGGGTATGCCGGAGGGGGAGGCTATGCGTGGTCGGTCAGACACGACGGCAACGAATGCCCGATAGAAAGAATACCCACCAAGCCACCGCCGAGGGTGTCGCCGACCTCGCCCATAGCACCGGTCAAGCTGTGCAGCTCCGCCCCGGTCTCGCGGCTCTTCTGCAGCTCGCCCTGGAGCCTGTTCAGGATATGCTCGAACGTGAGGCCGCTCTTGCCGGGCGGCCGCATGCTCCCGCCCAGACCGCCCATACCCTGGATCTGAGGTCTGCGTGCAAAATTAGAGGCTTGACCATTGGGGGCCTGGCCGAGGGTGCCGTTGTTTTGTTGGGCAGTGAAGTTGAAGGCGGCGGAAGAGGGCCCGCTGGGAGGCGCGGCGTGTTCGGCGCGAAGGGCGGCTTGGGCATCTGCTTCGGAAAAGATACAGACTGCGCGCGCGGCGACTTTATGGTGGATGATGGTCTTGTTGTCTTCGCTGACGATGTCGATACCGAATTCCTGCGGGATAACATGAGTGAGAGATTGGGTACCGCAGAGTTGAGATGCTTACAACGATGTCGTCGGTCTTGATCTCATATGGCTCGGACTCGACGCCTTCGGGGCTTAGCCGCTCCCCGTTGATGAAGGTGCCGTTCGAGCTTTTGACGTCTTTGATGTAGATCTGCAATGCGGTCAGCCCTCGAGCATGCCTCCGAGGCAGACCGCAAGTTCCACCTTGCCACCCTCTTCCCAAACTTCCGCATGCTGTCGCGACAGCACTTTCGAGTCGAAGTAACCATTCCGCTCGGCAGGGACGGTCTTCGCGCTGGTCTGCCTTCCAATCTTGACATGCTGATTATTCGAGAGTGATATATGTTTCGGTACGAAGGAGTCATTCTGCAGATTGATGGCGGTCGACGCCCGGGCGTGAGTATGATGGCGTTGGGCGGGTGGGTCCTACTCACGAGTGCGTAGAGGTAAAGCGCCGGATATTGCGCCTGGGCGTTTGAGAACGGGGTTTGGCCGGACATCGGGCGTCGCGGTCGTCGAAAGGAGCGTCGTCAATGGGGGTGGTTGGGGGGAAGAGGCGGCGTCGACGTCGTTGACGGCGAGCAAGTGAGGAGACAAACACATGACCAAACAGAGTAAGCCACCGTCACCGCATCACGTGCACTCAACGCCCTTTGACTCGGTTATCAGCTTTTCTCTGTATTCGCGGCATCTTCGCAGGCGATAGCTGGGTGCTCCGTAGCCTCACGGCTGGCTTGGACGTTGCGAAGCATGCCTCGTGTGCGACTAGACCAACCTGCCCGATTCCAAATTGTAGCTCAAGCTTGACTCGCCGGACTAGCTTGCGTCTGTTCACTCGACTGGTTAAATCGAGCACTGCTTTATACGCATATTCACTTCTCGTACATGGTCCACATCAAGATAACCCTATGGCACGAAAAGGCGCAGTGGGCATATCTTTGAAGGCGATATCACTACTACCCTCAGGCGTATATGAGAACCCTAGTGAATCTGCGAAAGCATACATGTACCTCGGCACAAGTTTCTGAGATACGCACAAGTACGATAGGCACGTCAGTTGACCGAACGTTTGATATCATTTATCCTCCAGTGCTGTCCAATCTGACTTATCACCACACTTATGACCGAACGTGATATATATTCAGAGCACGATAGCGACAACTGTTCACACAGCAAGGAAAACAGGGGACGACAACGCAAAACAATCAAGAGATGACCAAGGTTTTCATGGGGACAGGGCTATACCGGGTGTAGCGCCAACCCAGAACTCGTCTACTGTCTACGACTTACTTCCCTTGCCCCTACGCACGGGCTGTGTTTGTGTCGCTCTCTTCGTCCGCATCGCTATCGTGAATCACGTCGCTGTCGCTGTCCGATCCGCTCTCTTCATCCGAGTCGCTCTCTTCATCCGAGTCGCTCTCTTCATCCAAGGCTCCGAAGTGCGCCTTTAGTTCCTCGTCCGACGGTTCGAAGTCTGCCGTTACATCGATGTCTTCATAACCAAGGACGGCCTTATGCAACATGACGGCCTTCGGAATTTTCGGGGTCTTGGTCATCTATAACAGAACGCTCATTCAGCAAGGCGAGTCTGTTCGCAGCATTACGAGAACATGCCTTGGCCATCGTCTCTACTCTAGGGCACGATTTAGCCCAGTACCAAAGGGGCTGCGCGTTGGGCGATAAGTCGAGCTCTTTCTTCACCGCCTCAAATATCGCTGCTTCTTGGCTCCGTGAACGTTTCTGCTTGTATTGTTTGAAGTTCGTGTAGAGGGCGATCGCCAAGACGTAGCGAGGGTGTCCGACCCTAACCCAGCTCAACTTGGCTCTGCAGAGCCGTGAGAGGACATCGACGAATGCCGGCAACGCGCACATGGCCATCTCATCATTGTCCTTGTCAGGCTTGTATATCTGCTGTTTGATGCAGAATACGCGAAGCTGCTGTATCGTGACCCCGAAGCCGTAGTGAAACAGCGGACAGTCGTTTTCGCGCAGAAATTCGTCCGTCATCCATTCCGGGAGACGCGTCATTGCTTTCCGATGCTTCAAGCCAAATGTAATGAATGATTCCTGGAACAAGGGTCGGTCGTATTAGCACTATGAACGGGGAAAGTGGTCACTCTCAAGTTACCAGGTACCATCGCTGTGCATCGGTCGGTAGCATAGCTTGTTGCGTGATATGAGCGTTCGTCGAACGATCGCAAATGACAGGTTGGGAGGAGGGGAATGAATGGAGACGCACCACAAGAAAGGGCTCGTTTTAGGGCCAATGGCCTCCATTAGACCGACGGAAATGGTGCTACGCAAGAACTATGTGTTGCACGTGATTTATGACAAATAGGATGCCTCTGCGTACCGGTACCTACGTCGATGCGTTTCTCTGGTCGAATAATGGACCTGCCGTGCACCAGGGTACTCAGAAATGCGGTAGTACACTGCTAACCTGCGTTCGTCGGCGATGTTAGGGTTTACCCCCTTGCTAGCCTCTTGAAACGCCACACAACAAGTAAAGTGTGGACAGCAAACGACGGTAAACAGCCGGGCACCGGCACCTTCTGGTAGGAATCCGTCTGCAACACGTCCTCCGGTGAACAGTACAGCGGAGGACTACGCCGTACAATCCGATCTCCAGGTGAGCACTACTATCATTGTAACTCGAGGTATTATCACGGACCCCGTACAAATTTCACAAAGCGACATGGCAACCACAGCATACACCATCAGACAGGTACGACAGCAAGCATAGCGGGACATTATGAAAGCATTCAACACGAGTATTTCGTCTGGCCTGAGAAACTACTTGCGCCGCCCTTTGAGCCGTCTTCCCTGATATGGCCCATACTTGGCTTTCAGTGCCTCGTCTACAGGCTCGAATTCCGCGGTTTGATCTTCGTCGTTAGTCTTCATAATCGTCATGTGTAACGTAACAGCGATGGGGATTGGAGGAAGCTACAATGCTCGCGGTAAAGGTCAGTGAGGCCACTCGTCCCATCGTGCACGTAATAACTCACCCTAGTCGTCGTCACCGAGGGGGAAGACTGGATATCCCAGTACCAAATAGGCTGCAAATCGGGTGAGAGATTAAGCTGGGTCTTGATGAACCCAACAACTCTGTCTTCCTCGGCCGGCGATAGCTGCCGGTCGCGTTTGTCGAAATTCGAATACAGGGCGACCACTCGGGTGTAATGAAAGTGCGAGACCAGTTCATAGCGCAGTCTGACTTTGCAGAGTATCGAGAGATTATTAACAATGCATTGCACGCAGTAGGCGACGGCCATGTTATCTTGTATATCCGCAGAAGTGATCATTTGATTGTCGAGACCGTAGGCAAGGAACTGTTGCAGGGTGACGCCTAGGCCGTAATGAAACCTCGGACATTCGTCTGCGCGGACGTATTCGTCAAACATCCACGGCGGGATGCGTTTCAACGCTCTCCGGTGCTCCACCGCGAACGGCATGAAGGATGGCTGGGAATGTACACTCATGAAATGTGCGGCCTCAGGCAGGAGCGGGTTGTGACCCTACCTTGAACATTCTTTCTGCGTCATTGGGTTCCATCTCTGAGTGTCAGGATGGATAGGGAAATATGAATCGCGAAATTAGGTAAATGGGAGGACACGCCCATTTCGGTTGGCTTGATATGGCAGGGCTATCGCACGTGACTGACTGAAGCTGAGGCGAACATAAGTAGCAACGATGATTATGTACCACCGTGAAATGGTGTGTCCGGAGACAGCGCGTGGCGAGAATCCAGAAGGGATCTTCAAGGTCGTCCTAGAGAGTCCAAAGTCCTCGCCAGAGCTCTGCATCTGGAGATGAGGGCGGGGAATCAAACATAATTCTGCGAACATACTTATTGGCATCGTATTGCTCCGGCGGGGATGAAGGAGATTAGCTTAGGCTTGTGCCAGACATGTCTGAACTTCTCGTGTTATCTTGACCTTGGTCAGTCACACCAGAATCATGGAATTCTAATGACATGACAGATGCCGATTAGTACACACGAGATGCTAGTTGAGAGTCTTAAGCCGAACAAGCGCCTTCCAGTGTTTGCCAGACCGAGGGGCGCTCGGTTTAGCGTTTCGCAGGGAATTTTCCAGCGATGACGAGCACTCGGACGTTCGGCGAATGCTTTGAGAGCGTGGTTCTGTAGCAATTGTCGGTGGTAACAGGACATTCCAAGCCCACGAGTTTGCGAAGACAGCAATCCGATGCCTTGCAGGACCTTCGGGAGCGCACAGTTCGCGGAGGCGGCAACGTCTGGGACACCGTTGAGGACAGGAAAGAGAGAGCCAAATCGTCGATCTGGAGGAGCTCGAATGCGGCACAGAAGTCAAGAACGGTAGTCAGCCTGTTGCGAGATCTTGCGTGGTACCCACGGACAGGGATACACTTGCAACTGGGGAATCGAACTCGTGGGTTTGCTTGGGACGCCCTGTGTCATTTCAAGGAGAGGAGGTTTTCTGGGGGACTGAGGGTGTAGTAATGCCTGGTGGAGAGACTAAGGACGAGAAGCGATCGCTGAACCGAGGATCGGTCGGGTACACGTGAGGATGAATGGAAAGCGGGCATCATGAGAACGGAAGAGATATAGTCGCATGTGCGCACACCAGCAACGACATGAATATCGCGAAGATGACAGAGCACAACGGGTGAACGATGATACCTTGAGGGGCCGGGGCCTCACCGACGCAACGAAGGCAAAGACGTTGCAGAGCAAGGCATGCGACTGAACATGTCGCATAGCTTGTCTACTCCGAGAAAACACTCCTGGCCCTCGATCGGCTCGATCGCAAATTTGGTGGTAGGAAACGGCGCTGTAGAAGGCAGCTCGAGGCCCGAGAAGCGGAGAGTTCGGATGAACGAGAGCATTATGTTTCGAAGCTTGCATTGCCAATGTATCAGGGTTCCGGGGGTGATTGAAACCACCACCGTCTGCAAACTGTATGCACCTGAGGCTACAAATGATGAGAGATATTGGCTGGCCTTGTCCGGTGTTGCATACAGGTAGAGCGCTTGCACCCGCGACGTTTCGGATATGCCCTGAAGAACTTGGGATCATCCCCTCATCGATATCTTCGGTGTGCATGGATACGAGTCGCGGTTTAGATGGTCGTACGCGTGTCCTTATCGTGCACAGATCTATCGATGCATCGCTATCTTACCCGCCGCACGTTTCGAATGACAATGGTTGAGCGCACTCTGGAATTATGGGACTGTACACGGAGTACTCAACGATATGCAGAAACGCTCGACTTTGAAGCAGAGTCTGCTCTCAATCGGTTCCGAGCCGGTGTCCGGTACCCCAGTTATGACCCCCAGTCCCAGCAGTAGCTTGCCTCACCTGTCTCGGAGGGATGACATGGACCCCACCCGCAGGTCCGGCAGGTCCGGCATTAGGCGCGCTGCCATCACCCACCAAGGACCTTAGCCACCCCGGTGCGCGCCCAACGATGCCTTCGAGCACCCGGGTCTCGAACAGGCCGTACCACCACATGTGGCCGACGATGGCACCACTAACCTGTATACCCGAAGAAGGCGGGGGTCAGTAATGGAAGATGCTCTCATCGATGCGGCTTAACGCACAGCGCTAGCAGCGGCGGCGGGACCACCCATGGCAAAGTCCATGCCGATCATAATATATGGCCAGTAAGCGTAAGGCACTGTGATGAGTCCCATGAGAGAGGTCTGGGCGCCCGGCGGCGCAAGTCTCGACGCGAGGTACGTCAGACAGAGGAGAAGGGGGCGGGTATGGGTGTAGGAGTGCAGAGGAGTGTTGAGGGCCTGAACCACAGCGACTATCAGTAACGAGTCCGACATGTCAACATCGAGTAGTCGCACAATGATGGATATAGCGGAAAGGAGGAGATGCCATGCATAATCCGCTGAGCGACTGGCGTAGTTAGCGGATTCGATACCATCGGACGTTCGACTGTGAACGAGTAATAGGGATTCATATTCGTGCGATGAAAAGATAACGAGGACATACTATAACATCACGAAGTCGAAGATATAGTTGATGCCAGAGCCTTGAAGAGCAGTCGGTTCAGTCGAACACGCGATTCGTATGTTTGACGGACGTACTGCCTAAGAAGAAGCTCGACCAAAGTCTCCATATCTACAGGACCATGAGCGCATACACAGCGAGCATGATCCAAAGCCGCATACCTCCCATTTCTTCGTGACCAATTGTTGTACGTAGACCACCTTCCATGGGGAGACCAATTGTGCCATAACCGGTAGAGAAACAGCGAGCGAGGATGCGCAGAGGAATCGCGTCACAGGGGGAATCTTTCGGATCTCTGCCCAGAAGCCTCCTTGAGCAGCCATGGTGGTGTGTACAGTATAGTCAAGGTCGAGATGTGAAGTACGTGGAAGAGAGTGTCAACGCATCCGGAGGGTAAGGTCAACGTGTCCGTCCATGCCGATGCAAGTGAAAGTCCTGAATATTCGCGAGTGATCTCATCCTTCAGCCACCTCCGCCTTCGCCTTCGCCGACCGGCAAGCAACTCATGATCCAAACAGGGCTATTACAAGACGCGCACAACGACCTCATTACCGACGCGTCGTATGATTTCTATGGTTTGAGACTTGCAACGGCGGGTCTAGATCAGAGGTGTGTAGCAGTGATTTCACGCGTTCAAGCCACTGAACACATATGCGCATCCGTTCATATGAAACAGGGTGAAAATCTGGTCTCTAGACGAGCTTACGGGAAAATGGACGATTGCGCACGAGTGGAAGGTACGTCGTTCCACCACAGTCGTGATGTGTGCTCAGCTGGAATGTTGCAGGCACACGACGCGCCGGTATCCAAACTATCATGGGCGCACCCTGAATTCGGTTCGATACTCGCAAGCGCCTCTTTTGATAGGACGGTCAAAGTTTGGGAGGAGACTGTCGTACCTGGGGACGCGGACCAACCATCTCAATCCCAACAAAGTCAAGCCACCGAACCCGCGTCGCAAGGCTCGCAAAACGATTACAACGACGGCGCAGCGGAGCCGTATGTCGTTCTAAATACACGATGGATCGAGCGCGCTATATTACATGACGCGAAAGGCACCGTACGCGGCGTTGAGTTTGCGCCTTCGTACTTCGGGCTCAAGCTGGTACGCACCCTTTCCACCGTGCCTTTCCTGAACACGTCCATAACAATACTTTCACGCAGGCTACCATCTCAAGCGACAACAACCTGCGCATCTACGAAGCAGTAGAAGAGCCTGCAGGCCCCTCTCAGCCGACCAATGTTCCTACCCGAACCTGGTCCCTGTCCGAAGAACTGGATGTCACTCTCCTGCCATCCTCCCCATCGGCCAAAACAATCTCCCTCACTCACACCCTCTCCCCAACACCCACGCAAACGCAAACGTCCATGGCAGGCGCGAATGCGACTGCGCAGGCAACATTATTGCAACAGGAGTTACACGCACAACAGGAGAAGGAACAAGAACGAGAGAAGAAGCGGGGCGGAAACCGCGAAGCCGACGGGGGTTGGACCCTTAGCTGGTGTAAAGACCGGCACTGGGGCGAATTGATAGCTGCTGCTGTCGGAACCAGCGGCATTGTTAAAGTGCGCCTCTTTTGGTGTGTTCGAGACTGTATCAAGCTGAACCTTGAGCAGATAATTCATTTGTCACCTTCCCGGAGACCGCAAACACTGCTCATACTTGACCCGTCGTCTCCTTCCACCTCTGGCCAGCAGCGGACGACAGCGGCGCCGAACAATCCCTTAGGGTTCATCAATGGGCATTCTCGAGCGACGGACTCGACAGCCACGTCGGATGAGACAACAAAGCTCTCCGTTACTTCGGTTTCCTGGGCGCCATCCTGCGGCCGGTCCTATCATCTCATCGCGACCGGTTCCCTGGGCGGACACGTACGGATATGGAAGGTGAAACCACCGGCCGACAGCGAAGGCGAGGGGGCCAACGGGGGCGTGAGCAGAGAGGATGATGGGTGGACGGGGGAAATGGTCGCTGAATTCGACGATCATCAGTGCGTACTTCTCCGACTGGCAAGAGCCTGACTCATGGCGATTGCAGGAGTCCCGTGACGAGAGTAGAATGGAACATCACCGGGTAAGCTGGCTCGCTCTCTCGGCGAGTTGCCTAGGTTGAACTGGTTGGACACCGAATGCAGGACAATCCTATCCTCAGCGGGCAACGATGGTCGTATCCGGCTATGGAAAGCCACCTTCAGTGATGTCTGGAGAGCAGCCGGACACATCAATGTCGAACAGGCACCAGAACATGATGACGACGAGGATACTGGGGAGGGAGATGGAGATAAGGGTGACGATGTCGATATGGAGGGATGAGTAGTAGGTGTCGTCAGGTGAGCGTGATCTCGCCACCAGGCTCTCGTCGTTAACGCGCAAATACCTTTGCCCTAGGCAGCATTGTTGTGATATCCATATTTGATGCTAATGCATACTCTCACCTTCACACCGCTGAACGAGCACGCGCCGAGCACTGATTTCTTGCAGTGGGCATAGACCGTAGTGGTTTTCGAGAAATGGTCTGGCCCAAGGGCCCTCATTGTCAACGGCATCAACCTCGGAACGTTGCTTTCGACAGCGGACACCATGGATTCAGCACGATCCACCCAACGGCGGCTAGTCATCGCCGCCAAGATTATGCAGTGCTCGCGTGGGACTGCTGTTCATCTTCGTGGGATGTGTTCTGTATTCGTATTAGAACAGTTCGCGTGCTTCCACCACTCGGTTTCTCACACTGACTCGTGTACAGAGCAGTACTTATGAGGTATGACTTGGTATGCCTTTGCCTTCTGACGCAATCTAACTTCTCATTGAAAGCGGGCATCGTGGATGCTCGTAAGGGTTTTCAACCTCGCCGCTTCTGACGCCATATGCACCTGCATCTACTGGCCCTGCGTAACCGCTCTCAACCTCGTGACACCGGCCATCTCTAATAGCGGACTATTCATGGCTAAACATGCCGGTGATAAGGCACAAGTTCGTATAGCTTTGACGTTCTTCTGCACCGAACGATCTTCAAGAGCAAGTGCTTCGAGCCCAATGCTGAGGAGGATATGCCGCGTTCAAGGGGCCTCGTGCCGGTTATTCTGCGAGGTCCTTTCGGTTGGGGTGAGATCATCGCCCGTTCCGACGTTCAGCAGATATCCCTTCGAAACGATCTTGCCATATATAAGGCCCTCAAGCGGATTGCAGAAGGCACCATCATCGCACATTGCGAGGTCGCAGCAACATGACCGTGTTCACTGTCCTGAGTCTCGTGTCCGTCGTCTCGTACGCTACGACTGTGATGGCGCACGGCGGGGTGACGTCCTACAACATTGCGGGGAAGGCATATACTGGTTGGCAACCATACAACGACCCTAACTCGCAGATATCGATCGAGCGTCCATACTCGTCTTACAATCCGTGAGGATCTCTTCTCGTGTGATCCATCGATGCTGATGCGGATTGTCTTGCCGTGTAGGATTATGAGCGCAACCGATACAGTAAGTATTCCGCGATAAGACGCCTCTTGACGGCTCAACTGACCGTATACGCAGACTATCAGCTGCAATGACGATGGCTGGCCGAGCTCGAACCAACTCAGCGCCACAGTTCTGGCTGGAAGCGAGGTGACTGCTCACTGGTGAATCCGTGTCGTCACTAAGCCGTTATGAGTCCGGTGCTGATTCGCACAATAGGGCGCAATGGACACACGCTCAGGGTCCTGTAATGGTGAGATTCTCCGGGCTGAGGGGTGCAATCTTTCAATTTGCAAGCAGGTTTACATGGCATCGTGCGGAGACACGTGCTATTCCGTCAACACTGCCGAGCTCAACTGGTTCAAGATCGCGGAGACGGGTAAGCTACGGTCTCTCCGAATCTTCCTCTTGGTGACTCGGACATCGCATACCCAGGTCTTGTTTCCGGTAACTTGCCGAACGGCGTCTGGGGAACCGGTTTGGTCATGAATAGCCTTTCCTATAATGCCACCATTCCGAAGACTCTAGCCCCTGGGGAGTACATGATCCGCGTAAGCCATGAATCACTCACCCTGGGAAGAGTATTAAAAAGCGGCGATTTCAGCATGAACTCCTCGCCCTTCACCAGGCCAATACGCCTCAATGTAGGTTGACGCCATCGATATAATCCGGCAAGCGCTTATATTCAGCCCAGTCTATCCAGAATGCGCACAGCTCATCGTCACCGGAAACGGCACCGCGACCCCGCCGTCCAGCATGACCATCAAACTTCCGGGTAGGTTCATGTTAGAATAATCGTGAACACGCTGAGTCCACAATTCTGTCGTAGGTGGATACTCTCAATCTGATCCAAGGTACTTCACGTCCGTTATCGCAAGATATGCTGAACAAGTTTCTGTATAGCATCAACATCGACATCTACACTGCTGACGCGTACGTACATCCTTATTCCAATCGAAACGAATGTGGAGCTGATATGCGGGGTCCAGGGCGAAGACGTATTCGTACACAGGTAAGACCAAGCAGCCTTGCTCGCTAACAGTTGCTCATGATCAGCGCAATCGGATACCCAGTCCCTGGGCCGGGTGAGTGCTCTTCGGATTAGGTGAATGAATGATCTTACCTGCCTTTTAAGCCGTCTGGACCGGCGAATGAGGCTCGTCAGTCAGAACGAGCATTCTATTTTCATTTTGGGTTCACGGGCATCGCGCAGTTGTGTATTTTACACCTGATCAAACTGGCTGTAACTTGAGGAGCGTGTATGACCTGAACACGATGTCAATTTCATGAAGAGAATCAGGTATCTATGTGAAAGGACGGGAACAAGCGATATGTGCAGGTTGTTACTGATACATTCATGCTCAAGGATACGAAAAGTCGTCCACGTCCCTCCACCCTCCTCCGGGCGTGAGTCGATTCATGATTTTTAGCCAGCGTCCCGTACACGAGAAGATCGTGGTGTCCACGGAGTCGCGTTCTCCACAATCGCATAGCCCTACTTGCCTATCTTCGTGGAGGCGAGGGCAATGCCTGTGACGGAAAGGTTTGACATCATGGCGCCGTACCCAATGGACGAGCACGACTTACGTGAAGGGTTGATGCGTATATCCTATCCGATCAAAGAAGTGGAATGCGGTCGGTGGTAGGAGGATAGAAGCGCCGATACTGAATGCCTGGTCAGAATTGAAGCACGGGCGTTAGAGGTTGAGACTAACCTGTGCACCGGAGCATCGCCCCATCTCTGTACAGGTGCGCATCAGCAAGGAAGCCCAGGTTTGCGTCAATCAAGGCGAACCTCATAGTAAAACCCTCCTGCCTGATCGAGGTAGTCGAAGTACGCCGAGTATGCCTCGCCTCGCCAGAAGTCCATGTCCGCGATCTCGAAGTTGCTCCAATCTGAACGCAACGTCAAAGGAAGGCCTGTCAAGCTGCGTAAAGCACGGAAAAAGCAGACTGACAATGGCAGAGGTTATAGTTTCCCGTCCGAGTGTTGGCCACCCACGAGATAGTGCTCTTCTCGGGAATGTATTGCGGATATTTTTCCATAAATTCTGCCGGGCCGCTTCAGTACACACACGGGCTTCGTTGTGCAATTTCCTACCTTTCGTAGTTTGCCAAAGGGTCGTCACCGTTTCCTTGATCTCCTTGATACCGATAACGAAACCTAAGGGACAGTCAATGCCTACCACGGGCATGGACGGGCAAGTAGGCCGACCATATGTCTTGTTATGGCTGACCATGAACTGCAAAGGATCGAAGTCGATGTTACATCGGAACAGAACGTTCGGCCTACGTCAAGAAAAGATCAATCAGATAGCTAGAAGAGGGTGAGGAGTGGACTCACTCGACCCGCCAGTAGTATTTGTACTTCAGCAGAAGCGGGTGCCTGTAGAAGAACTACGAAGGCTCAGTGACCAGCAATCAAGCCAGAATTGAGCTGACTCCGGCGTTGAAGCGACACATGTTTCGGTATCTGCATGGGGTTTGAGGGAACGATCATTCAAGTCGTGATCGGGACTTACGGAATACTCTCTAGGATGATTGGTCACTCTTCGGTAACAGGAATGGAGTCGCTCAACGCTCACTTGCATAGGGTATGTTCGGCACAGTGGCCAGCTGCGCCATCTCCCGATCCGCTTTCTCCGCGTCGATCCAATCGGGCATGTACCAGTGTTCCGGTGGGATGAGACCGAACTCGACTGGAGAGCTCGCGGCTTCCGATACGTTACTTAATCCTTTTGAGCTTCCGACGCATGGGGAACAGGAATGGTATAAACATACGCCTTGAATGCTTCGGAGAACTCAACCTCGCTCAGGAACACCCAGGGATAGTGATAGTTGCGATTGAACCTGTTCTCGAGCCCACGCATGCTCGCCAAGACTCCATCAAGGTCGCCTTCTCGCGCAAGCACCAACAGCGTTGCGTTGGCGAGCGGTGCGGTTCTACGAAGTGCTGTTGGCTCAATCGGCACGGACACGAGAGTGGAGAAGTATCACGTACCGATGTGAGACAGACGACAGGTATTCCTTTGCGCCATCCCATTCCGCGTCAAACTGACCTGGTGCTTGCAAATGAACAATATAGAGAACCGCCTAGTTACATAGCGTGCCGGGCACCGTGCTGCATGAGCGAACGTCTGTGGTGGTAATTCTCAACGTACAAGTAGCAAGAGCAAAGCTAACAAGCAGTGACGAGATCGTAGACTCATTCCATTAAGGGTATACGTGTCGAGATTGTAGGTCAGGAATGAAGCGAAACCAGGAGTCGTCGAGGAAATGAGCTACGCCTGCATGGTGTAGCCACTATAGCGGCGGTTGCCGACCCAGTGTCGTGTTCTGTTTTTAGCACCAAGCCGCGGGCGGCGCTGTCGACGCGTCGGCCAGTAAATCCTCGACTACAGGATAGTCATTGACAGAACTCTTCCATAAGCATCGGCCTTAAGTACTCCAGAACTTCTCTCCGCGAGCATAGACTTTGTCGAGGAACTATGGAGCGTCAGTGTCCGAATCCCAGCTATGGACGAGATATTTCTCGACGGTAAATGGTCCTGGTAGGGGGTACTTTGCGATATCGGGGGCTATACATGTCGAAGCTCAAACGCTATGCATACGATTAATCCTCGCGTATCCACGGACCTGCGGTTACTTGAGAGGCGAACAAGATGAACAGAACGATTCGAGAACATCAGAAACCATGGGTCGAGTAGCACAGCATGTATGATTAATATAAATGTACTAAGGAGTTTTGTGATCAACAATAACAACTACTGCGAGAAGGAAAGTAAATGAGGATATCTCATCGGCATTACGCGATCTATAGCTGAGCAGTCTGAACGTCCAGAGCTGTGACTGATGTGACATTCTCTTGATCTCGTAGCGGTTTCTTACGGGATGCGTGCACTCTGCGTGGCACTTCTGCCTGTGGCGCGTAACAAGTGAATGAGTAGAGTTCGAAGTCAAAATGATACACATAGGCTCACCGTTTCGAGTATTTCGTGGCGCGGAGTGCAGATGTCCCAATACCAAAGGGGGTCTTCTTCTGGGTCCAGGTTTAGCTCGTGCTTGATAATCTGAAGAACCTCGGCTTCGTCCTCAGCAGACAGTTTGTCCTCCCAAAGAGAAAAGTTGGTATATAGCGCCATAACGAACGAGTAAACGGGGTGTGCCGTAGTAGCCAAGCAAAGTATAGCCCGACAACGCGTAGTAAGGCTGCGCTCGATGAGATGCAAGCAGGTGGCTATGCTGGTGGTGCCATCTGGGATGAACTGTTTCCTGACGGCGTGTAATGTATATAGCTTACGTAAAGCTATGCTACGACGCGACTAGACCGAGACAGAACAGAACCGAGTGTATTGAGCTGAAAGACAACGGTACAGGTAGATCGTACGTAGTTTATATGTCTCTAGCCCGGAACAAAGTTCTATGGGCGCCATATGATCCTTCGGCGCCCTCGCAGTATTGTGAGTGACCGCGCCCAATGAGGCGCGGTGTTTCTTGATTTACATCATGCCGCCTTCGGCGGCTTACAAATCTTATCTACGGTAATATTATACTACCGTTACATCCTCCCCCCTCCAGGAAAGAGATAGTTAATACATAGTTAGCGAGTCACAGAGTCGATGGACTCACTGCGACGCGAGGGCCTGTCAATGGACACGGCTTCTCGTGCTTCGGTTCTCACGCCACAGCGGGCCCGGAATAGTCGGCGAGCCACTGGGTCGCGAACGCGTGGAGGGGACCCTCAGCCATTTCGTGCTGTAGGCCGCAGTTCGCCGCGTGCTTCAGGAAATCGTTGATTTCCACATTCTCTCCGTGCCGGTATGGTGTCGGGGCCCACATCTCCGATATAGTGCATCCTAGCGATATTACGGTGCCTCGGTACTCTTCGGCGTGATCCGCGAAGTATCGGCAGATCACGTGATTTGCGATGTTGCGCGTGCGCCGCGATTCTTCCTTCGTGCCGGGACGGGCTGGCCCGATCTGCTTGAAGATTAACCAGCCTCTCAGCTGGGCTTCGTCGGGCACATTGCCCTCGAATTTGATACCGTGAGGGCGGCGATTCGCGTATTCTGCGAGGAGCTGTGCCCAGGCCTCGATGTCCGAGTAGTCCGGGTCGATCGGCTTCTCGGCTTTCTCACGTTTCTCGCGCTTCTCGCGCTTCTTAGTGTCCAATAGGACCGCGTTTCGGAACCAGTCAGGGTCCTTCCATCCAGAAACGAATTGTTTCTGCGTTTCGGAGGCGTCGGCCCCCAACTCCTTGATCAAATCAAGGTAATGCTTCGCGAGGAACACGGCGAACCAATGTTTCTCGCGGCGCGATTCCTTGATCAGTCGTTCGTAGTACGCGATGTCGGTAGGTGGCACCACGTGGTCTCGCATTATTTTTGCGATTTCCTCGCGAGTGAGGTGTCGGCGAGGATCACCCACATGTGCAAATGGGCGGACCACGACGCGGCCGTCCTCTCGTTCTGGACCCTCCCCCCCCCAAGCGGAGGGCGTTCCCATGGGGGCCGGCAGAGCGGCCGGATGCCCATCAGCATCCTGGACCCACTGAGTTCCGGGGCCGGGTTGCTTGAGCGCATTCGTGAGAACGCGCCCATTTCGGAGTACGAAATTGTGTACTTACTTGGTAACTCGGGTAGCCAAGAGTGGCTTCCAGCGCTTCGACGCGCAGGGTAAGGTTCTCAACCTGTTTCATCAGGTTGGGAATGTTGATGGCAGGCGCGGGATAGGGCGCTCCGCGCATCGGTCCAACGACGTAGGGTTTCGAGGGGGGCATTCGGTACAGTACGTAGGCTACGGAGTATGCAAGTTATGTTGTTCTGGGGCCGGTGCATGGTATCGGATTTTTATACCTGCAGGGCCCAGCGTCCAGAATATTTTACCATTGCGTCCAACGGGACGCATACTGTACGGCGTGACTATCGCACCTTCAGGTGCAGGGAGTCCTTGAATCGGCGGCCGAGATCTCGGCAGGTCTTCCACGCGGCTCACGCCTTCGATTTCGAAGTACCTATCAATCACCGCGAGGTTCTTCACGTTATCCCACGGTTCCCAAGAGCTGTCGCCCAATGTCCATCGTACCAAGAACAAGATTTCGTCACCATGCCACTCATGGGTCAATATTTCATCGACCTCATACTCAAGATCTTCGGCTTGTCCGAAGTCATAAAAGTTCGCGGGATCGCGCCCGGGAAACAGTGTGTCGTCATTCGGCAGGTACGGCCGGAGTTTGGTGATGTGAAATCTCGGGTGCACGCGGCGCGCTTTGAGATCAGCGGGCAGATCAATCAGATAGACGCTCGCATCATTGTTCGCTTCGATAATCTTGAACGGCCCGATGAATCGAGGCGCGAGTTTTCGCGCGCGTTTGATGGGCAAGTTAAGATTTGCCGTACTGACGTAGACCAGATCGCCTGGCCGATAGGCTGGATGGTCACGTCTGCGCTTGTTAGCATGGTGTGCCTGGCGCACGCGCGCAGCTATGATGGCGTCATGCGCCTGTTCCAGACAGTGTTTCGCGTGTAGCGCGAATTCCCTTACTCCAGGTACAGTATTTTCCATTCCAAACTCGCTAAGCATTTTCGGAATGTATCCATATGTTAGTTCGAATGCCGAAAACCCTGTAGTTTCGGAACGCGCTGCATTCATCGCGAACTCCGTGAGTGGTAGGGCATCGACCCAATCGGTCTGATCGGGCCGGATCAGGGTTCTCATGATTTGCGCGACTGATCGATTTGCGCGCTCCGTCGCACCATCCGTTTGCGGATGGAAGGCTGTTGACATCAGCAGCTTCGTTCCGAGTATCCGGTGCGTCTCACGCCAGAATTTGGAATTAAATTTCGAATCGCGGTCGGATACTATCGTGTCCGGTAGTCCGTGTAGTCTTACAATATCGCGTACAAACATGTACGCCAATTCAGACGCTTTAGATTTTGTGGTGCACGGTATAAGGTGCACCATATTCGTTAGTCTACATATGACTACCCAGAGGTAATCATATCCGCGGGACCGGGGAAACGGTCCCAAGAAGTCCATTGCGATCGAGCCCCATGGGCGCCCAGGCACTGGGAGGCTGTGCAATAATCCTTCAGGTTTCCTATTCAGGTCTTTCGTAGTTTGGCACATGTGGCACGTTGCGCAGAATTTCTCAATATCGCGCGACATCTGAGGCCACCAATAGGATCGTCGTACATAATCCAGTGTCTTCTGTAGCCCGAAGTGGCCTAAAGTCCGATGGGCGGTATCGATTACCAGTTCTCGTAGGCTCCGGACTCCGAGCCGGCCGTTCGGTAAGCATAGAACTTCTTTTCCCGCGCGGTTTCGGCTTACGATCATACCGTTCCGCACCGTGAAAGCTTTGTGTTCGCTCGGGTGCTCCAGTACCTTTGCGAATAGCGTATCTTTAGCGTAGTTACTTTGTACGGCTTGCTCAAAGTCAGCATGCTCGTTCAGTATTTGCGGCGGGAGCAGCGTGGCTGCAGCCGCTTCGTATGCGACCGGATCGTCCGCGGTCGCCACCGGCTGAGTGGCCTCGGCCCCGTCCATTTCGGGTGCCATCATTTCCGCTTCGATCTCGCGGCTTTCGATGGCTTCTGGTAGCCTCATTGCATTGAGGTGAGCAATTTCCTCGTTTCTGAGCGCCGGTAGGTCATCCCCTGCGGGATCTAATCGGCGATCCGCGTCAACAAAGTTGTACGGCGCGGGGTTCTCATCTGGACGGTCAGCCTTGTGGCACCGGGACAGTGCATCGGCTACGACATTCGTCTCGCCTTGTATGTATGTTAGTGTATAATCAAATCGGCTGAGGTATTCAGACCATCGGCGTTGCCGATAAGACATATCCTTCTGGCTCTTGAAGAATTCAAGAGTTTCGTGGTCGGTTACAATATTAATTTTTCTTCCGAGTAGCTTATCCTCCCACTTGAGGAGGGCTTCGAGTATTGCCAGGGTCTCATGTTCATACGTCGCGTAGCCACGTTGTGCGTTAGTGAACTTCTTTGACATGAATCCCGCGGGTCGGCACGTTTTCCATTCCGGGCCTTGCCCGTAATAGGCTCCGACGCCCGTGGTCGAGGCATCGCATACGACCCATATCGGGATCGGGCTCTCGAAGTTTACCGGTTTCAGGATCGGTGCTTTGCAGGCCAATTCTTTGATCATTCTGAAACATTTCTCGTGCATTGGGCGCCAGTGGAACGGCGCTCCGTCGCTGCAGATGTTAGATAGCGGTGTCATGTACGTAGCTACATTCGGCATGAATTGCGCTAGGTATTGCACGAGTCCGAGGAACCGCGCTACCTCGCTATAATTTCTCGGAGTCCGCCAATCGCGGATCTGCTCCAATTTGTCCTTCTCGGCATGGATTCCCTGGCCGTCAATCAGATGGCCCAGGCACTCCATTCGTTCCGAATATAGGTCAACCTTCTTTCTCGATAGGTACAGGCGCGCTTTGCGCAAGATATTGAATACTATTCCGAGGTGCCGTTCGTGCTCCTCTATGGTGTTCGAGAAAATAAATATATCATCTAAGTATACATGAACAAATATTCCTATGTGTTCTCTAAAGAGGTGGGTCATCAACCTCTGGAATGTCGAAGGCGCGTTGCAATCGCCTTGTTGCATAACGTGGGACACCATCGTGCCCAGAATGGTAGAGAATGCCGTCTTCGGTACATCACCTTTCTCAATTCGGATCTGCTCGTACGCGTCGCTCATGTCGAGCTTCGATCTGTATCGGGCGCGCGCTACGTCATTTCTAATTCTATCTTGATCCGGCATCGGAGTTACGTCGTGCACTGTATTCTCATTTCGTTCCCGCAGGTCAAACACGGTACGCAGCTTTCCATCCTTTTTGGGAATGCACAGCATTGGTAATGCATTGTCGACCGGTTGCCATTCCCACCAGCCGGCTTTAGTATATTTCTCAATCTTATCTTGTAAGATTTTTTGATAGGCTTCTGGGCATCGTGGCCTATGACCTCTGTATCTCTTACGGGGGTCTATGATATTAATTCTATGGTTTACTTCACGGTAAGGAGGTCGCTCGAGCGGGATATCGCCAGTAATGTCGGCGATCTGGGCTTGCCATTGCTCCCGCAATTGTGGGATTGCTTCTTCGTTTAGCGCTTCTTGGGCGCGTGATGGTGGCGTCGTGGGCGGTCCGGGGAACGGTATCCGCTTTCCCCACGGAGTTTTTCGTTGAGCCTCTTCCAAGGCGTTGTGTTTCTTGTAAGCATCCTCAAATTCCTTCGGGAATTTGATGTCCTTGATCTCTTCGTCAGCAATTGCACTTGCCATTGTCAGTATTGTAGGATTATTATGCTCAGAGATGTCTGGCATTCGTGTTTCTTGCCCGTGTGAGCGGACCACTGTCTTGGGTCGCGGGCGGAGGCTGTTGAGTCTAGGCTTGCTTCCGAAAGGACCGCGGTTTCGGCTTCGTTTCTCCGGACTTAGCCCATTTGTCGCCTCCTCCGGTCCTCCCCCCTTCCAATTCGGCGGGAATTAGAGTACCGTCACGGAGTTTTATTGTCCTGCGCTCAGGAATTATGGTAATCCCATGTTTGGCGCAGAACGGTAATCCTACTACGGCATCGTAGTGAGCAATATTCGCCACATCGAAATACCAATCGGTCTTGATGCTTCCGAAAGCGGTACGGGAGTACCCGCCATGTGTGATCTTCGATCGGCTACCCTTACAGCCGAGTTTCAGGGTAATTGGATTTTCGAGCTCGAATACATCGAGTCCGCATATCTGAGCAAATTCAGTACTGACTGCGTCCGTATTCGATCCTAAATCAAACAAGGTCCAGGCGCGGACGCCATCAATTGATACGTACGCTGCAAGGAGTTCAGTCCATGCTTTCGGATACTTTGGACGGCTAAGATTGCTGTCCCGATGTAGCGCAGATCGGATAGCATCTCGCGCTTCGCGCGGTGGTTCTGGGCGCTTACCTTTTCGGGAAGGCTCGGCGTACGCGAATGGCGCTGGGTCGCGCCCATCATCGGCGTCGATAGCGTTCATCTGGGCGTTGGCGGCGTAATGATCCGCGGACAAGTGTCCCTTCTCACCGCACGTCCGGCACGCCAGGTGAGCTATCCTGGGATTGAATCGCGGCTTCACGATGTAATTAGCGTTCTGGTTGGGCGCGTTCCCGCGTCCGTCTCCTTTCGCATTTCCTGTAGCGTAGTTCCCTGTATTGGATAATTTGACAGGAATAGCATTCGACTGCAAAGGATTTTTTGTGATTCTGTACGAATCATCTCTCGTTTGCCGGGGGCGGAACGAGTTCCTATTGCCTCGGCGGTTGTCCCCGCCTCGATCGCGATCTCTTCGGTCGTCATGCCGCTCCGGTGATTTGGCTTTGACGGCGTACCCGTCCTTACTTCTTCGAAGCGCCATTGCGGCTTCTATTGCTATATTGGAATTCTCATAGTCAATTGCATACCGCAATATTTCTCTTAATTTGGTAATTCCAACGCGGACTCCTTTGTTCCGCATTAGATGGGTTAGATACGCTTGTGGTAGCTTCATTAGGAAGTGTTCTGATATGTCAACCTCAGATGGGGGTTGCAATAATTTGGACGAAGCTTCAATTAGTTCGTCGAAGAAGCTTTGTACCCCGGCATCCGGGTCAAACTTAATTTCTTTATACGTCTTAATTGCCTTTTCAGGCGTAATATCTATCACAAAGCGGTCAAACATTTCGACCACTGCTTGAGTGAAACTGAGTACAGGGATCCCGGGGTTAGTTCGGGAAACCTTGAGGCGCCACCAGTGACGCGCTTTCTCGCCTAATCGGGCAGGTGTGTGCAACTTCCGTAGAAGGTCGCGGCGAGGTCCCGACAATCCGGTAAGTACGAAGTATTCCAGAAGTGACTCTAGCCAATCAAGGAATTTGTCCGCATCGTTTTGGCCGTTCCATGCCTCCGGTGTCGGCGGCTTCTGACTCTTTGTGTTAGGGTCAGGCTCGACATATTCTCCAATGTAGGTTTCAATCATATGTTTAATTCTATTATGGTATACTGTTCGCAAGCTTACACCTGTGAATTCACTGCTGAATGGGATGTACGATCCCTCGCGCAGAATGCGCATATCCTCATCGTCTGATCGCGGGATGTTGGGTCTGGGCGTATCATTTCCCGATTCATCGCCGCTATTCCCATTCGGGTCAGATCCGGGATCTCCGCCTCCTCCAGGGGCGTTTCCTCGTCCTCGTCCCATTCCGCGTCCACTTGTGCGTTGGCTTCCTCCTCCCGAACGGGAGTTACTTCCACTACTGGACGGTCCACCCGATCCTCCGTTTGAGGTGCGGTGGATAATTTGTCTCGGCGCGGCGGGGGGCCTAGCATTATTCGGCCCTTGTGGCGCTCTGACACGTGTTTGAACGGCCCGTCCCAAGGGCGGTGCATTGCCATTGTTCTGGGTTTCCCCAATGGGGTCCGGATCCGCGTATAGATCGTCTTCCTCGTTAGTGGCCTGTCGGCCTCGAGGGTCTGCCGTTGCGGCGCGTACCTCATTTTCTTCTTCTTCGGTATCGCCTTCGTTTCCGTCACCACGAGGGGCGATGAATTCTCTACGCGCTCTGCCGCTCTTAGGTGCGGTTTGTTTTCCTTTTCCGGTGCTTCCACTGGTTCTTTCGGATCCTTCCGCGGTCTCGGCCTTGTTTTCAATGCTGAACCATTCTGCTGGACCGATATCCTCAAGCTTTCGCTTTTCCATTCGCCGCTGTAGTAGCAATAGTTGTAGATAGTCCTGTCCTTTCTTTACAGTAGTTTGTTCTACAATTAGATTAATGTCTTCTATTCGAAGCGGACGCTTTCCGCCTTGGTTCCATAGTCTTTCGGCTATGGTCCTCATCCCGATTAGATCGACGGGCTCAGTTAGGTACGAGGGCGATAGGTGGCCCCCGTCCGATTGATCGTTTCTCACGCTGCCAGGCTGCCCTTGGCGTCTGCCTTTCTTACTCTTTGTGGCTTCATAGCCTTCGTTAATAATTGTACGGGCGTCAAGATCGACGCCTGCGCTTCTCAGTGTGTGAGTTCCGGACATTCTCATGTACTCGTTGTTTTTATTTCAATAGTATACGGCGTGTTCAAAAAAGTGTAATGTATATAGCTTACGTAAAGCTATGCTACGACGCGACTAGACCGAGACAGAACAGAACCGAGTGTATTGAGCTGAAAGACAACGGTACAGGTAGATCGTACGTAGTTTATATGTCTCTAGCCCGGAACAAAGTTCTATGGGCGCCATATGATCCTTCGGCGCCCTCGCAGTATTGTGAGTGACCGCGCCCAATGAGGCGCGGTGTTTCTTGATTTACATCATGCCGCCTTCGGCGGCTTACAAATCTTATCTACGGTAATATTATACTACCGTTACACGGCGTAAGAAACGAGTCGGTCATGAGAAACCCCGAATCCGTAATGAAAGAGTGGGCAGTCGCCACGTTCGACATCCGCGCTGGCCATCCAACGCGGAATCTTTTTCATGGCCTGACGATGCCTTTGGACGTGTTCATTGCGCGCCGTCTGCTCCTGTTGTCAATTTGTCATCGAATCTGAACGGCATGTACCTCAATATCACGTACCGCATACCGATACCCTTCCCGTGGCGACATCCGAAATGTATGAAATATGCCGCTAACCTTGGTTTGTGACGAAGCAGGATAGCGGGAACCAACAAGTGGCTCGAGCGACCCAGTTGAAATCGTACACTGCAGCACGTGCACACGTATGTACCACCCTCGCAAATCTGATGCGCCTCATCAATAACATTAACTCCACCATCGACTAGCTCTGAGGCGGCCCATGTATGAAAGCTCGTCAGGATCTTAAGCTTGCTGAATTTCCGCGCGACCGACGACGGCGTGTCCTGCCTCAAGGGCTGGAAGGACTCCGCGAATGCCGAGGAGAACCTCAGTACTCACCGCCGGTCCACGGAGAGCGCGATCGGCATCGGCGCCGTCACCGTCTACTCCTCTAGCGATGCGATCCACGCCGTCGAACTGTCTTAGCCACCGTCCGGAGGACACCGACTGGGCACGATGACCACCCCCGGCTCACACAGTCTACGGATCCACCAGTCGCTCATCACCCCCGCCTTGCTTTGCGACGCCGCAAACACCGTTCGGCGAATCAGGACCCTCTGCCAAATCCTACGCGCCGCATGGACCCCCAGACGCGCATGACGATATCTCGATCCATACCGAAGAACAGGACGACCTGCCAAAACTCGTTACCGACCTCCTCGGCGATGCCCGATTCTCATGGTCGCCCCGCTGTGCGTGCGAGATGCTCCGCTGGTGCATCGCGCACGGTGTGAAGGTCTACCGGTACATGTTCGACGAGGAGGCGCCGCCCAAAGCCACCTCCGGCGTGAAGGTTTGACAATACACATCTGACGAAAACGGAGACACTGCACAGGGCATCTTGCACAGGTATGCCCCGATACGCTCCCGTCTTCGACTTATCTTTGATTTCACGTCGTACCAGCACCCGCCGAGCCTGCACTCGCTTTCCCCAACACGCTGCTAGCTCCACAGACTTACCGACGGTCGTGCGTTCCGTTCAGGCGGCAGGAAAATCTCAATTGTATTTCTGCAGATCTTGATTTTCGAATCATAATCGCCAAGCAAGGTACGTCAACGCAGTTTCTCCGCGTATCAAAGTCCGAAATCACTTTTTGACGGAGTGTAACCAGTAGCCTTCGACTACGAGGCAGGCCGCCGGAGGGCAGTGTCATACGAACTCGTACATGGCGGAGGAAACATGGCGGAGGAAGTGAAAGTTTTGTTCCAACACCCGTTCGCGCACAAATGCACCCAAACTCAGCACTGGACCCTGGCGACAGCAAGGACCCGGATTTGCGTCCTCTGCAGCTGATATTTTGGTAGCGTATGTAGTTGGTGATGCACAAAGAAGGACGCCACAGCTCCACTGAGGACTTGTACGACAGTGTGTGGCGCAAAACACGAACAACGTTATGAGACGAAGGTATAAAAAAAAGTCTTCCGGGTCTGACCAAGCTCAACATCAGCCAACTGAGGGAACGCAACCGCTTTGCGGCGCGGGATCGTATGGCAAGCCGCGTGCTGCACGCGACTTGTGTTCGAAGTACTCTAGTGGTGCGGGAATCTGGAACGCGCGTCAAAACACGAGCACCATGTAGCCGCTAACACATTCGAAGAACTCACCGCTCGGACTCTTGCAGTGCTAGGGGTATCAAGATCCCAGTACCACCGCGCCTTCACGTTCGACCCCAGCTCGAGTTCGCGCTTGAGGATATGGATAACTTCGATTTCGTCCTTCTCGGTAAGCTCTTCACGATACACGTTGAAATTCGTATACAATGCGATCATCGAATTGTAGGCGATATGCAAGGGAACGGCGTAGTGAAGAGAGGTACCACACGCGTCCATGAGACTGTAAGTGATGAGCTCTGTGCATGCATATACGTCCATGTTTGTGGCGTCCTCGTCGATGAATTTCTTCTTGATAGCGTAGGCACGCAGCTTGCGAAACGGCACTCCGACGCCGTAGTGAAATCGTGGACAGTCCCCGGGCTTAACGTCCTTGCTGACCATCCAATCAGGAAGTCGCAAGAAGGACCTGCGATGCTCTCGGACGAAGTCATAGAATTCTTTCTGTGCTCATACAACAGTCAAGCCTAGGCGAGAAAATAAAGAGTGATCAAGTATCGGATATAGTGGATCATTCTCTGATGGGCTCATTGGATTATAGGACCGTGATATTGAGGAGATGAGGAGAGGATAGGTAATGTAAACGTGGAACTTCCTCGCTCACAAAGGGAATTCGTTTCATACAAACACGATCACGTGTTTCTCACGGTTGCGAGGAGTAGCCGCAGTTTTGCTCTGTCACTGTCAGTGTAAACCTGGCCGTGTCGAACGTGAATATATTCAAACCAGCTACCCAAGATTCACTGTCTAAAGAATTTCATCCCGAGGAGCGCACAAATCCCAGTACCATAGAGATTCCGATTCCGAGTCCAGGTTTAGCTTCTGCTTGACAATTTGGAGAACCTCAGCCTCGTCCAACGCGGACAGCTTGTCCTCCCAGAGCGAAAAGTTGGTGTAGATCGCCATGACGAAGGAGTAGTTGATGTGTTCTGTGACACCCAAGTGAATCTTTGCGCCACAAAGCCTCGTCAGGCTATGAGGGATGAGTGGTAAACAGCTGTTCCCGGTGGGATGAATCCTTTGCGAATGGCGTAGGAAACCAGCCGATTGTGAGGAACACCAAAGCCATAGTAGAAGAGCGGGCAGTCACCAAGCTCCATATCTTCTCTGGACATGCGGCGGGGGAGTTTCTTCATGGCTTTGCGATATCTTCGAGCGAATTCATATCGCCCTCTCTACTCTCAGATGCCATCAAGTTTGAGCAGTGCGTGAGTGCTTCAAACTCACGTACCGCACATGGATGCACCGTGCATGACCAAGACATACGCGTATGCGCAGACACTGTCTGTGGGTCAACTATCAGATGGCACGGCAGGATTAATTTTTACAGCTGTTGTAAGTAATCTCACTCACCTAGGATCTGTATGTGAGCTCCTGTCCGTGGCGTCGTGTGGACCAGGATCACACAAGTGGGCTAGCTGAGCGAGATGTGGTGGTCAACGGTGTATGCTTCTTTGCTGTGGTGCTTGTGACCGCGAGGGGCCCCGAATCTGGTGCATATGCACGTTTTACCGAACGTGTTGCGCGAGGGAAGTTCAGAGAGAATCGGGCCTCAGAAGACAATAGGGGGGCTCAGAGTTGGGATTCTGGCAAGGATTCAAGGATGGATTCAAGAGTCGATTCTGGACGCCGATTCTGGGTGGATTGGTGAAGCGGCTCTGGAGTCGCTTCACTCGATTCGACCAGAGTCCGATTCAGCTTCATCGCGTCGCTGCCTCGGAGTCCGAAACCACTGACGCGTCACGAGGTTTTCCAGGGTCTTCCACCCCCTCGTTCAGGCAATCCTCAACCTGTGTTTTACTCCTGTATATATATGTACTCGGGCAGAGGCTGTCACCAGGACCCTCGACATACCATTGTATCAGCAGTTTATGGGCAGAAGTAGATTGCATTTGGTAGTTCCGCATAGCAACACTCCTGACGCCTATTTAAGCCAATAAATATTTCACTCTTCTCGCTGCAAATAAACCTCGGACATACACTGTCGGACTCGAGCTTAAAACAAAGAAACTCTGTCACTCACGTTATAACTCGACCTTCGCATTCAATTCCAGAGTTTTCGCCACCTCGAATGAGCTGCCGATATGCCGAGCCCGTCGTTAAAACTCAGATGGGCATGCCGCAGTGTCGGCAGGATATTACGTCGTGCACAGAATCGGGCCAGAATCAGTGGTAGAAGCGGGGGGTTCAGAGTTGAAGGTGAGGAGAATCGGATTATGACCGTCGTAGCGACGGCAAAATCGACACAGAATCGACACAGAATCTGGGGCAGAATCGGCGCAGAATCGCCAACTCTGAACCCCCCTAATGCATGTTCGGATAGTCACCCAAGCAAGCCGTTGGTACGTATTTCTATCTTGCGCACTCTCGTTCTTGACAACCCTGAACTAGCTACATTGGGAGCTCGGAGGACATTCTCGATCATCTTGCCAAGTCGCGGTCCCACTTCCTCGTCATCTCCCTCGGCACATGTCAGGAGCCTCCGATACTTCAGCAACGACACCGCAAGAAAAGGGATCGAATCGAGGAGCGATTGTTATATATATGCATGCCCAGTGCTCAGTGCTCAGCGAGTGGCAACATATCGAACAGGGCACAATGTCATTGTCAACGAGGTCGTCGTCGGCCAACGCGTGACCCGTGAGAAGTTGACTCCCATCTCGGGTGACTTTGCCCTCCTTTGAAAAAATTTCAGACTGGCTCTTACAAAGCGGTTTAATCGCTCTTCCTCATTGGGACCGCGCCGGAAATATACCTACCTACCTAGCTCGAGAAATACTGCACTGTGTTGCACGCCCATATGCTGTGTTTCCGTTTTGGCGATGCACAACACCAGGCTATACTCCAAGAATAGACATGCATCCTCCGTAGAGTCTCCGTCCCGGAACAGTCGCTCTCTCATAGGTTTACGCGACGCATATGGTCGGGTCCGTGTACTGATGGTGGTCCGTTGCAGCGGAATAATCCACTCGGTGACTTGACCTTCAATCCGACGGACCTCGCAGGACCGACAAAACTCTTGATCTTGTGCTGCTTGCCATGGACATGGCATTGCGGTAGTTCCGCTTCCGATCATCCCGGGACGTTTACCGCAGGCCATCTCGCATTCTTACCCATGCACCAAGAATAGGCTTGCGGTCACTAAGTCGGACTAGTCTATGAATGGGCTATCCTCTGGCGACACATGAAAGACTTCGATGACTCCAAGAACCACACCTGATATCTAACTGCAGTACGCCCGTCCCTCCTCCCGCACATCGCCCTTGATACCCGACATTGCGAACTTCGACGACTTGGTGGATTGCTTCACCTGAGGGCATAGGATTACCCGTCGCGCCATCTATCAGTGCTTCGAACTCGGGCATATGCCGTCTTAGTAACATCTACTGCTTTCCTATACGTCTCTGCATACCCAACATCCGTCGTGGCCTATCAACTCGTTCAAGTCGCGCAACCTGTCAGCTGCATACTGCTTCCAACGGTTTGAGGACGGCGACCGTCAAGTATAAATACTGTGTGTCCAGGTCGAGTGGAGCTCCATCGCTAGTGATCCTCGTTTCTTCCACATCTGCACACTCACTTTCTAAGACCCCGGCGGTCGCTGCTCCTTCCCATCCATTCACCACCGAGTCAAGATGCGCTTCTCTGTGTCCATGCTGTTTATCGCCGTCACCGGCCTCACCGCCGGTGTATCTGCTATGCCCTCCACGAGGACACGTAGGTTCCATCGTATGTACTGCGTCAAATAGCAACTCATGCGCCCATCATCATAGACGTCGTCCGCGTTCTCGCGGAGCCACTTTCCGAAGTGCGTCTCCTCTCTGCGCGCCAGAACGGCGACTGCACCTTCGCAGATGGTATCACCCCGCGTAAGACCCATACCCGTTCGACACACGGATCAGATCGCTGACCGGCACCGCGTTTTTGCAGCCATCTTGAACGGCCAGACTGGCTGCGGCGCACTCGGCAACGACGGTTTCGGCGATTTCGTGTCGTCGCAACTCGTTCACTGCGATAACGGCGTACCGACCATCGTGCAGCAGTGCCCTCAGGGCAGCGGCTTCTTCAGCATCCCCAAGTTCTGCGTCGCAGACTCGGCCGGGCAGAACCCTCAGTGCAAATAGACGGATTATTATATGTGGTTCTGACACGACGTTGCAGTTGGATGTTCTGTACACATGATGATAATATACGAGACGAGCTATTCACGAAAGACTCCGTACTGATGCCGAGTTGTTGTGTAAATCTTTGCAGAAGGGACGCATACCTCTCGGCCCGGCAAACTCCGGGAGCCGATAATCGACCTTTATCTCTTTCTTCGGTCAAGCCCCTGAATAGAGCAGCCGCGCGATGAGGCCAACTATTTCCAGCTTGTTCACATACTACCATGGCCGCCTCGACCCACGATATGCAAAAGTATCGGGATGAACTCATCGAGCAGAGCATGGTCGTCGGCGCGCTCAAGTTCGGCTCATTCGTGCTGAAATCCGGCCGGTGCGCCCGATTCACCGCACTCCCAAACGGAGTTAATGATCTGACGCCCATGCATGTAGAGTGTCGCCTTACTTCTTCAACGCCGGGTTGATGAACACCGGGCCGATCCTCTCCACTCTCGCCTCCGCCTACGCCGCCACCATCGCCGACGCCTTACGAGGCGAATCAGACCCTTCTGTCCCTCCGCTGCCCGAGTTCGACGTGCTTTTCGGCCCGGCATACAAGGGAATTCCGTTCGGCGCATGCACCGCGCTAGTCCTTCATCGCGACTTTGCGATCGACATTGGCTTCGCGCACGACCGTAAGGAAGCGAAGGATCACGGCGAAGGCGGAATGCTCGTTGGCGCGCCCATTAAGGGCAAGCGCGTGCTTATCCTTGACGACGTCATGACTGCCGGCACTGCCGTGCGAGGCGCAATCAAGATAGTGAAAGACGGAGGGGGCGAGGTCGTCGGTGTTGTGCAGTGTTTTGATAGGGAGGAGGTGGGCAAGGATGGCGGCAGCACGATCAGGGAGATCGAGGAAGAGCTCGGGGGGCCAGGGCGCGTGCGGGTGATATTCAGGATGAGGGATATGGTGGATTGGTTGAAGCGGCATGGGCGGACGGAGAAGATGCAAAGTTTGATGGAGTATTGGGACAAATATGGGTTCAAGGGCTGATTGCTGGTGAATTTCGGCCATGTGCATCGTTGACTCACACATCGCTACATGCCTTAGTAGATGCATATTATCAGGAAAAGTTGGTACACTCGCTGCCCCGTGTGTAGTACCGCCGCGCTCGCGACTGCGTTCTAGGATCAGGGTCTTGATCAACGCTTGGACGCATTCACATCAGCAAGACATCGCTCTGACCTGCCTTTCACCGCATCTGCACATGCCGAGACAGCCTCCGCACCGTCACCCTCGCCCTTTACGATTATTTCAAGGTAGCGCGCTTACCCTGAGACGAATAGCTTGACAGCGTCCTCCTCCTCTTGCTGTCCTTCCAGTTTCAGTACTGCGTTATGCGCCTCTTGACGGGTATATAACGAGTGTTCGCACTCCAATTGTCGCCATCGCCGAACGATAACTCTTCCGCTTCATCCTTACTTCACTGACCCCGGCGGTCTTTTACATCACCTCCTTTGCTCGCTCTCAACTCATATTTCTCTAATCTTGCCTTTCTGACGCACATCATGATCGCCCGAATTCTTGTCATCACGCTTGTCACCATGATCGCAACGGCGGCTCCTTCCAAGTTCCAGCGTCGAGGTAGACACCTATGATACAAGCAATTCTGTCCCATACTAACATCTTGCCCAGACATCACTCATCTCGTTATACCACGAGACGGCGACTGCGCCTTTGCTGACGGCACACCTAGTAAGATGTCGAAGTTGCGCGTTATTGAACCATACGCTTCGAATGCTGATGACTCTCAGCGATCCCGAACGGTCAAAGGGGCTGTGGTCCACTCGGCGGCTTCACTGGGAAAGGCTTCACTGACGCGATCTTCGAGTGCAATAACGGGGTCGCTCAGCAGGTGGATGAATGCCCATTCAAGAAGGTGAACGGAACGCGGACTCCATTCTAGGCGACTGCTGACTGACACATTGGGATCGTAGAGTTTCTTGTTCTCGGAGACGGGAGAAACATGTATACCTCAACCGGGACAGACACCTATCTTCAAGTGCAAGTGAACGAGTTTGAAAAACGAATCGATGCCGCGTATAGACCTTATGAGACCCATGATCGTAATACATGACCTGAATATGACCGATGGCATCGTACCAACGATTGCAACATAATGCAGCGTAAGTACGCTGGCATGTAAAGCCTTGATGCCTCCTCCGACGGAGACTATATATCGCGGGTGTTGTTCCCCATCGCCTTCCAGTTCCGCTGTACTTATTCTGATTCGCCGCTCCAGTGGATATCATGTATGGAATGAACCGGTGATATCGCCACTGCTTGGTAGCCTGGCCTGCTTGTCAACGCGCACGCCAGAAATAAAACCTGCTGCTCGTTTAGAAACCACTTATATATCAATCCTAAGCACAATACTCGCAGGCTCGTGCTTGAATGTCTTCCTCGCACATCGCCCGCATCTTCATCAGATACCCCGTCGATACCTTGGCCATTGCTCGGTACATCAACCCAATCCTCATCGCCGTCATCATTCTCAACGAGCAATTTCGAGTCCGCGCTAAAGAGCGGCAAGCCAGTCCTTCTATGCAGTCCGCGGGTCAAACGCATCCTGCGAGGTGTGACGGGCTCGCCAGTTCTTCCCCGATAGCTGCGGTCGACCCGAGTTCCTCGGTCCACGACGTTCGGCTTGTCGTCGTCCGCTATGTCCTCCAGATCCTTTGCACAGGCCTCTAGGTTCTCGTCATGACTCCTCAGGAGATTCTCTGCGAGAATCTGCTTGGGACTCGTCAGTGAGGGCTTTGAAGTCAAAGAATGGCTATCGCACCTGTATTTGCGGGTCGGGTTCTCCCTGAGCTTTACCACAATCTCGCAGCTCGAAGAATGATCTGGGGAGATCCGGGAAGAGCTGCTCAGTTGGAACCACATTTTGCAGGGCTCCTAAGAAGGGGAAGCTCAGGCGAAGCCTGGCCGGATCGTCGACGTCATCAAAGATAGCCTGCACGAAATAGATAGGCTTGCATCGGCAAGAGAACGTCGCACCGGTCACATCGCTGGACTCTCAGACTGCTCAGCTATCAATCGCGTGATGCAGATGTAGTGTCGTGGTCTGATCCGTTTTAGTTATCGCCAGCTGTCTTCCATGTCCACCACAAATATCCTCAGCACGCTGCACCATCTGATATCACTCGTGTTTTCTACATCACTCCATCTGATGATATATCGCATACGGTCTTCGCTGCGTCGAATAGTAGTGTTCGTTCGCTTACCAAGGTTTGTGAATGCACGAGCATTACCTCCGACACGCGTTTTGCTTGTCAAAACATGCAAGGCTACGACGAAGGGCATCTATCGCCGTAGCTCGATAGAGGCGCTACAAAGTTGCGTAACCTCCTGCCAACGCAGAGTATCGTGCCAGCAGGACAAGTGTCAACGAGAAACATTCGATCGACGGAAACCAGATAAACGCCAGGATATAGTCGATGATCTCGAGTCGTTAAAATATAAGTGATGAGACCTAAAGGAGTCGGCTACGGCCGTCGAAGTCGTCATCTTTGCCTTCGCCTTCGGTCGTCGATCAGTAGCCTGCAGCGTGTTGAGGGTGGCGAGTGCGGGTGCAGCGCGGTGCGGATACGGCGTGGAATCAAAGACAAGACGAAGTCAGGAGCGTATCAAGGCACACCAGCGGAGGTGGCCTTGTGCGGAGTCTCCTCGTCAGAGATGTACCGTCAAGCCTTCATGCCGGAGACGGTACACGAGCCCGGGGGCTTATACGAGCACGCCAGCGGAGCCGACTTTGGGCGGCGGCCTCTCGTCGAACGTGTACCGATAGCCCTTCACGCCGTGCGCGTCGTACTGAGTTGTACGCACAATGGGTCGGTCAGGCAAATCGGGCCTCGCCGCGGAGGTTGGTGACGAGTTTGTGGCAGGTCGTCGTCCTCTTCTTCGGTATGGGTCAAGATATCGTACGTGCGTATGAGCGTCCATGCGGTGCGCATGCTCTGGCAGGTGGCCCTGATCCGTCGGACGATGTCTGGAGCGTCCCAGAGCGATGTGGGGAGTAATGAGCAGGTGGCGGATCGGTAGACCGTAGACTGAGCCCGGAGCAGGGGATCATCGATCAACGCTGCATGCTTCGGCGTTCAGTAGGCCCTCTGGCCACGTGATTCAGTCTCCCGTGTTTCCGGACGCTCGACTTGCATAATAATATCTCGTGGCTCATCGCGGTCATGCTCGTGCCCATAGTGCATCGCTGTAACGCGGGAAAGAAGTGTGCGTAGTCGACTGCCGTATAACATTCAGCCGGCTCACTGAGATGTCCCGTCGATCCACATAGTGCTACGATAGAGGACCTCGCATACGAATCTTCAGTGAGGGTTGCAACGGTTGCAGAGCTTCAGCCTCTTCTGGTTGCTGATCCACGGATGCTGGCAGCGCCAACGCGTATGTCTCGGCCACGCACAACGCGCATCGTCATTTCTCTGGAGACCTCGGATAGGTTCCTTGTGGCAAATCGCTGTGCGTGAGCGACCAAGTCAGGGCCTGCCTGTTGTTACGCGACGCTGAAGTGCCGCAGTGTTTCATGGTCTAGTTGGTACAGTCTACAACAGCACGTACGAGGACTTCGACAGCACGAATTCCTTCCGCATCCTGGACCCATGTTTCGTCCTCCACTCTCTCGTCCGACCCTTCCATTTGGCACAAAATGCGCTGGTACGGGTACAAGCGGATCGAGACCCATGTCGCGCGGTTTAGATACGGCACGTGATTGAGTCCATAAAAGGTGATGGGTTCGCGTCTTCGCAGTTCAAGTTCGCTTGAGCCAACTCGATCCTTGCTATCCTTCTGCTAGTCACCGAACACCGACACCGTCGTCGGACCTGGTCCAATGTCACCACCCGAAAGCCTGGATCCGTATGCGGTACGTAGGATCAATACTAACGTGCTTCAGACTTGATGACATCCGAGATTAGAGGGGACGCTATGAATACACCCAAAAATATCGTAAGGCCATGAGGAAACTTCCGCGCCATATGGTTACCGAAGACTTAGAGCCTGGCGACTGCCCGCTCTTTTACTACGGCTTTGGTGTTCCTCACGATCAACTGATTTCTTACGCCATTCGCAAAGCTTTCATCCCGCCGGGCACAACCAGCATAATGGCCTGCCTGCCTCTTATCCCCCATACTCTGACTATGCTTTGCGGCGCAAGGATTCACTTGGGCGTCACAGAGCACACCGTATACACCTTCGTCATAGCGCTCTATACCAACTTTACCCTCTTGGACGACAAGCTGTCCTCCTTTGACGAGGCTGACGTCCTTCAAATCGTCAAGCGGGAGCTCAAACTCGAGGCAGAAGCAGAACCTCTGTGGTACTGGGATGTGAGCACCCCTCGGGATGAAATCCTTCAGATGGTGAGTGTTCGCGCACGGCTGTAAACCGGAGTCGCTCACTCACTTCCACCTTTGCCCCGGTCTGCAGGCGAAAGCACCGCGCAAAAAGAAAACGCCACAGAAGAGCTTGCAAGGTCAAGAAAACCTCGCACCGAACAAACCGTCGGATACGCAAGCGGTTCAGCCCACGCTCGCGTAGCCAGTACATGATTCCGTCTGTACCACGGCACCGTATCCCATGATTTCATCCACTGTCTTGATATCATCTTTATCAGGCACTGTAGACCATTGAACCGCAGACGTAAATTTGTATCTACCGAACTGGACGTGCTCGTTGGTGCTTGTCCTCAGCGGTCTTGGCTATCGATGAACGGAGGCAAGTTCCCGTTCTGCGTGATGTCGTTGAGTAGCTGCGGCATGCAAGTTCTTTTAGCAACGATCGAACCAGTTCTCGTGCACACGAGAAGCCATGCCTTTCTAAGTTTCTTGGAACTGGGCAGCCAACCATTGGTCACGTGCGCAACATGAGCTTCGCGTTCCTCAGGTTCAGCATAAGTATCTCATTTATAACCCCTTCTAAGATATGACGATGCCGACGACTCCTGACGAGACACAACTCTCCGACGCAGAACGCGTGTACAAGGTAAAGTCGCTTCAAATACACTGCTCGTATATCTGACGTAATGTACACTCCCAGAAATCATTCCTCGCATTCGCGGTGGAACACCGGCGAGCGCTGAAGCGTCTTCCGCCCTGGATGTGCGATGAATACCTTCGTGAGGATGATTGCCCACGGTTCCATTATGGACTAGGCGTATCTCTCGATCAATTCCGCGCTTATGGGATCAAATACAAGTTGTTCACACCCAGGGAGGCGAAGAGCGACATGCTTGTCGTATGTCAGGTGCGACGAATAGTCGATCTTATTTCCAAACGCGGCAAAGTCAAGGCCAAGTTGCGCTACGCTATCATCCAACACTATCGTTACACTCGTATGATCGCCTTTTACACGAACTTCAACAAGTACAAGGAGGAAATGGCATCGAACGAAGAGGCGAAGGTCGTCAAGCTCCTCAAATCCGAGCTCAATATTCCATCTGACTCGCAGCCCCTCTGGTACTGGGATAGCGCCAACTCCTCTACGGTGACTTGGGATATGGCGAGTCTTAACTGAACGCGACGCGGTCTGCTTTTGCGAATACTGAATGTGTATCAAATACAGCTTCCTGAAGACCCTCCCAAAGCCGTTAAGCTGCACATGCAGGTGACGCAGACTCAGGATGAAGACCAAAAGCCGGTGTTCGAGGACGTGGACCCTGAGACACAGGCGAAGTGCGCATCGTACGGTAGTAAGCCCGAATAGTCGCAGCGTATCTAGCATCTCCAACTACATTCGTGTATGCTTTCCTCGTGTATTTTCCATTTGCTATCGTCGCTATCCTAATATGATGCTCGACCTGTAAACCCAATTACGCGTGAACGTCGGCGAGCTATGGATCATGAACAGCTCTCTAAGGTACGAGAAACCACCCCATCAACGAAATAATGGCTAGACTAATAAGTCACGTCGATCCCCAAGGCTGTCAAATTGTACATGCAATATCAAACGATTGAAAGCAAAGATTAAACCCTGCAATCCGTGCCTATAGACCCAAAGCTCAAGAACAAGGTACGTGTCCTTCGACCAAGGTAACGCTTAAGCAAGTAGTAGCAGAATAGCAAGCAGCAGCAGCTCCTCTAGTAATAGGCTGCAGTATCATGATCAATCCAGATGTGTAGGGTTGTCCGATGCATCTGTGGTATCATGACGACCGTTTCTAGCGGTATATATGACGAGCGACGGTGGCAGCACAGTCATCGTGAAGCTGAATCGCCACAACCACCACTGGGTCCTTCTGAGACCCGCACACTGTGGCAATGAGGAGTGGTCAATCATGTTTGCGGAGCGTGGCGATGGGTGTTGGCCGTGTTTACACGTGATCGTGTCTGATCTTCGCGTCCCTGTTCGTTCAAGACGACTTACCGTCCTACCGCACTCGTGAAGCTTTCTATCCCTTCTTTACTTGCTCAGATGCCGCTGAACGAAAATTCGAATCCTTGGACCCGTACGCACCGTAGGGCCTTAGTGCGAATCCCGCGCTGGATGGTCAGCAAGGATGTCAACCCTTCCAGGAGTGCCTCACCATCGACTGCTTTCCTACGCTTCCAAGCAGGGTCTCATCTCTGTGGATTCTCAGACGATGGCGACCTGCAAGGATCATATTGTTTGCAGTTTGATGGCTACCTGCAACGCGATGCTACACTTTGCCCTTACGATACATCCGGACTATGTCTTTGTCATTGCGTTATACACCAACTTGTCTTTCTACGAGGACGAACTGCTCCCTAACGAAGAAAAAGATGTTCTTGAAATTCTCAAGCGAGAGCTCGCACTTGACTCGGACGCTGCGCCTCGATGGTACTGGGATCTCGATACTCCGAGGGATGTCAGAATAAAAGTGGTGAGTCCTCCCGAACGATTAGGCGTCTTGTTGCGAAGTCTGTACTACGATGAGTGGAGAGCGTCATTGATCAGGCCGACGCGTGCGCTACGGGCTCTACCAAACCGAGCATTTGCTCCGCTCTGACTAACTACGCGTAAAATTTCTCGTGAGGGACGGCGAATGCTGACCAAGGGAAGAGGTCCTGGGAGCAGCGTCAAGGGCAACATGAGACGTTACATCTGCCTCTTGTGCATCGAAAGTGTGCGATCGCCTCCAAAATCGAAAACTGCGAAACGTTTCAGCGAATGCTCGTGTAGCGCCGCAAGGCGGTCGGAAGGAATTCAGACTTATCGTTTTCCGTTTCAGTGCCAGGCGTGTGGCTACCAAGCCGCAACGAGGATATTTTTCGCCGAAGCTGCACGAGAACTGAGGTCGGCGATCGCCTCGGAAAACGAGCACCTATGGAAGGTCTCAGCACAGGTGATCGACTGACGCCGCGATGAAATCCGAAGGAAGTGATACTCACTTTTTTTCCATTTCGGTGCCAGGCATGCGGCTTCCAAGCCGCGACGAGGATATCTTCTCCCGAAATACGCGATCGCCTCAAAGAGGGAGAACCTGTGGAAGGTTTCAGCAAAATGCTCATGTGGCGTCGCAATGCAATCGGTAATCCGAGGGATTTGGGACTTATCTTTTTTTCGTTTCGGTGCCAGGCGCGCGGCTACCAAGCCGCAATGAGAATGGAGATCTGCATAAAGCTGTAGGAATGTCAGCAGCATCAGCGAGTAAACAGGGTAGCCACGACGACGATCCACTACAACTACCCCAAGCCGCTATCTAATGTTTTTGTGAACTGTTAATATCTCGATTTTTTGTGGGATTTTATGTTTTTATACCGAAGCCTGGGAAGGGAGAGGAGGGGGAACAGGAGCCGCAATCGAGAGCCGAGAGACATCAAAACTTGGTTCTGTCAGAGCGGGCGAAGTAGACGGATCGGTAGAAGATCAGAGAGTCCGGGCGGGGCTTCTGGCAACGCTTCGTCACGTCGAGCTGAGGGGACGTGGTCTTGATCGAAGCGGCGTCGGGGAAGGCGCTCAAGGAGCCTTCACGGCTACGAGCAGAGCTCGGCCTGTGGATGCAATGTGAGCGAAGGAATCGGAATGCGGAAGACGAGAAAGGCGTACCGGAGTGGGCTTTGAGCGAACTGGACCTTCCCTTTCGCAGCAGTGGCACCCGCGCCCATCGTCTCGACCTCCATCGTCTCCTTGACCACGACGAAACGCTCTCTTGGTTCCTCGAAAGCGTTCCGCCTCCGCGGCAGCGGCCTTGCGTCCGCCTTGTGACGACGCGCAGAGACCGCCCCCTTGGATCCGTCCACCTCCTTGTCCTCCAAGACGCCCGCGCGAGGAAACCACTCCTCGACCATTGATGCAGGCGCCTTGAGAGGACAGGAGGACATCGCACCGTCGGAGAAACCGAACTCCTCCTGTGGGATACGCGGCGCCGGCGGGGGCACACGCATATCCTCACCGGAATCGTTGGCCTCGTGGGTAGCGCTGACCTCCAGGAGGGCCTCGACCTCAAGTTCGTCCTGATATTTCGTCAGCTTGGGCCATTACTACAGGTCAAGTGGAGGGGCGGGCATACCATCATCTCGAGCTTCTCCACCACGGCAACCTGTTGGAAGTGGGAGGGAAAGGGGAGGAAGGAGGCGGTAAGGTAGAAGTTCATGGTAGGAGGTAGGAGATAGAGGTAAGGAGATAGGTAGTAAGGTATGCAAGGTAGGTAAAGAAGGATGATGACGGTAAGAACTCAAGAGCAGAACCCAAGAGTTAGAGAACATGGTCGGAGAACGTTGGACTTTTATACGCAGTGGGGACTTTGGGGCGGGTATTCCAGCATCCGCGATCGTCCCGCTGGCGGACCGATGCGGATGTTGGTGTCGATCGTTCCGAACGCGTCTCGTAGCACCTCTCGATGGCATAAGATCCTCAAGTAGACCGGCATGGCGAATTCAACTCTGGTGCAGACAATATTCAAGGCCGCGATTCTCATATGGATTGTGACAGGGTAGCTCGGCGGCGGGCGATTGCTCCTCAGGCTTTCAACGGAAGAGACGGGGTCGACCCGGGCGGAAGCAACTGAAAGGACGTGGCGGTGTCGTGCCGGTGATCTATTACTGCTGTTTGCAAAACAGATGGCGCGTCGTGACTTCCGCGCGTTGCTTGACCTCCCACTGCCACGCAGAGCATATCAGCTGTAGCTCGACAACGGCGACGAATTTCACCATGATTTCTGAGACAAACTTGTAGCACTCATTGACCTGCAGGTGCAAGGATGTATACCTAACCATTTCTGATAAGTCAAACAGTTCGTGTGCCATGAAAGGGTTCCCAGAGCTCTATCACTTGCCGTTTGGTCATACAGAGTTCTTCTGTGCCCCAGTTGGTTCAGGAAGTTACTTATCTTGTATATTGAGGTGCATGTCATACTTCCATCCACAGATGGCCAGGAAATTTGCAACAGAAACGAGTGAAGGATACACAGTAGAGGACTGGGTACTGTATCATCATCCACTGCCCCCTGTGTTGCTCTCCACCTTCAAAAACCACACATGCACGCTCAGGAGGTCTCCTCAAAGCCTTTTTCATATGGACATGAGTCCATGCCCTCAATGCTTGAGTAACCGTGAACGATACCCTGTCCTGGTTAGTGATATAGCACGACAGCGGGCTCACTCACGAGCTCCGCCTCAAAAATGTGCTATGCACCTGCATATCGACAATGGCTACATACTTGTCTCAGGGATCATGGTTAGATTCGTCGCCGTCGGCGAGCTACAGCTGATATGCCCCGCACAACCGCGGGAGGTCAAACAACGCGCGAAAGTCACGACGCGCCATCTGTTTTGCAAACGGCAGTAATATTTTTGCCTTCGCCTGGCAGCAATGTCGCAGGGCGGGTTTTGCAGGAGTAGGTCCAACTGTCCAAGAGTACAGAGGACTCGCTCCAGCGGAGCAGCGGTATTATGCAAGTGCCTGTTGCGTCGGGTGGATCGGCGCAGGTCGATCGTCCGCGTTGTGTTCGTGCGAGGGGCTGTATCTTCCGGTCCCGAGCGTAGTATCGAGCTAACCGTCCGGGCTCACAGATTCATATAGATTCATGAGCACAAAAAGCCTGCAGCACAACATATAGCATCGCCAAAAGGGATCGCAAATCACGTTACAGTGCGGACGTGTCAAGGGCACAAGAGGTTGAATCTGACATTGCGAGGAGGCACATCGCATGTCGCGTGGGGTATACGTCTGAGCGCTGTATGACTGAGTCAAGTCGGCAAGTATACCTTTAGAGGTACTCCTTAACCTCGTCCTCGATCCATTGCCACAGCTTCTCCTGCTCCTTCTCGTCCTTCGTCTGTTTATGAGGCTCACCAAGACGCGCCCACGGACGGATGTACTACAGATGAGTCTCGTCAGTATCAACATCCCACGTCACAGACCAAACGAACATCCTTACACGTCCGTTGTAGGACGCAGCCTCGGGCGCCGTGCCCGCATACAGCTGCGAGATCGCGCCGAAACGAAGCGGATGCAGTATAAACTTGAACATGATCTTGGATCCCAGCCCCTGGTTGTGCCGCTGCAGCTCGCTGCGGATGTTGCCCGGGTCGACGACAGTGACGACGATCTTCCCTCCGTTCTCCTTCTCGCTCCGGCGCGCGAACGCGTAGCCGAGCATGCACGCGCCGAACTTCGACTGGCAGTAGAGCTGACTCGGGCCGAGCTTCTTGCGCGCAGGGGAGTCCTTGAGCGTGTCGTACTTGAGCGGCGGCTTGAAGTAGTAGTTGACGGAGGAGGAAGTCCAGACGACGCGCGAGGGCTCGCCGGACGCTTCCGCGGTGGAGAGGAGGACGGGCCAGAGGAGCCGGATGAGGAGGTAAGGCGCGATCGTGTTCGTGCTGGGCAGCCGAGATAAGCTGAGATAACAGAACCGGAGAGGGAAAGGCTCGTACCCGAATTGCATGTCATAGTTTTGGGCGGTGACCTGGTCGATCGGCGGCTGATAGAACGCGGGCATGAGGTTCAGGATCGTCAGCTGGTCGGGTGCCGTGCTAGACTCACCGTCATGACGCCGGCGTTGTTGAACAGAACGTGCAGCTGAGTCTCCGAGCTACGGCCGCATAAGGACCTGCCAGCATATCCCGTAGTCTAGATACAAAACTTACGACTTGTATTGCTCAGCGGCAGCCTTGACGGAGGCCAGGTTCGCAAGGTCGAGTTCGAGGAAGATAGCGCGTTTTCCGGTGTCTTTCTCGAGGTCGTTGATAGCTTCCTCGGCTTTCGACTTGGAACGCGCGGCGAGGTAGACCTTCGCGTTCTTCTTCAACAGCTCCCTGCAGGTCTCCTTGCCAATGCCCTGGAAGAGATCCTCTCAGAACACGTTCCTCAACTCAGTCAACATACGTACCGTATTTCCCCCAGTTACGATAACCACCTTCCCCGACAAGTCAGGAATCTGGTCGACGTCCCACTTCGGCTTGGGTGGGAACATCTGCGAGTATATGGTGCCTACAGACGCCATGGATAGCTAGCGTTCAAGTCGCGAAGAGTAAAGCGAGGTCAAAGACAAAGGAGCGTGGAGAAACACGAACGCCGCCATGCTGCCGCTGTCTTATGAGGCGCCGAGCAATATGAGAAGGGGCATGTCCGAGAGAGACGTTAGCGCGCCGGGAGTGCGCCGTCGGCTCGCCGGACGCACCTCATTGGCTGAAGTCTGACAAACGTGGGAGTTGTCCCCGTTTAAGGCAAGTTCGTTGCGGGCGCGGACTGCTCTTGCCACCGTCAATGCGTCTTCCTCATGCAAGGAGTACGCGTGTTTCTACGATTTGGATGGCTTTCTCGAGCAACGACAAAACAAGTTGCATAGGTCAGCGAGAGATGTGAACTTCAAGCTGTTGTTTGTCTTCGGTATCTTGCTACGCACTGGAATCGCCGCATACGAGCGCATACGACGGCGGAAAAGAACCGGCTTCTTCCTGTCAATCAAAGCACGATGCATATGCATGGCTTGAGGACATATGATCGGGCAAGTGCGCGTTTGGATGTTGCTATTCTGATATAAGCTTTACCTTGATGTAATGACCATTACTCACTTGATCCCGAAACCTACGCGATATCTGATCCGGCTCTTTCCAGCGCATCACCTACTGCATTGGTACGTGGCTATCCAGACATACAGCTTAGACTCGAACGATAATTATATCCACAAAATTCAAGTGGTGCTGGTCAAGAAAACTGCGTCTACGAGAATATCGTGCTCTATGCACTGTCCGAAGGGAACTGGCGACAGAGTAGTATTTGAGCAGGCGTTTCTCGAGCAAACTCGTATCGCGGGGGAGGGAATGCTGACATACCGAAGCACGCCCGGTCGTGATAGTTGTACTACATCATTTCACCCCGTCACGACTCAACGCGGGAGGTGCCGACATCATCCATGGGCATATCCGCAAATTGCAAAGAGTGGTCATACGTGTTCGTCTGGAGGGAGATTTCGGCGTGCGGGGACACGTTCCCCAACTTGCGAAGATTGATGACAACTCTTGCCACCAGTACGCTATGCACAGCTCGGAGCAGCCTGGGTGCTAGGTCACCATCGCAACTCTTGGAGTATGAGCAGGGTGTGAGAGTCGACATACGGTTGGATCAAGTCAGAGAGTGCCGCCTATACAGAATTTGAGTGTTTAGAGGCGGAAAAACCACAAGTGAGCCCGATGCGCACCAGATTCGCGGCGATGAAGGAGAGATTCAGCACATTTATCACTGACAAACGCGGTTTTAGTCCTACAATCGTCATCAAATCATCCAAAAACGTAGAATCAACCTAGCATATAGAAATAATATAGAAACCCTACAGTTTCAGGGTGTCAGGGCTCTGCAGGCATGATGATATCATACACACCGTCCCGATAAAGAGTCCGAAACAATCCGGGACCTTGTTGCTGTCGATCTGTGCATGCGGTCAAAATATGCCGGCCATTGTATGCGGAAAGTCTCACGTGCGACATAATAACGAATCAGTGTTAGGATAGCTATGACTTTCGGTGAAAAAATGTGAGCTCTGCACCTATCAAGGTTTACATTCAACGAACCGGTTTCTGATATAGTCAGCAAGAGAAATAGTTTCCAAAGCTCGCTGTTGCTACCAACACCACAGTTCAATACCCTCGTGACATATAGTGCGGGGGCTAATCATTCATGAGACCACGCATAGGACCTGTAAGAAATAAGGACAACGCAGCGTAGTCTTCAGAAATTGTGTCATGATGACAATCGCGGATATGTTGATTGCCTGGAATTTTAATGAGCATGCAATTTTTCCCATACCAATCTACTCATTATGAGGGTAGCGGAAAGGAGATACTTTATGTGCCAAGTGAACTCCCATATTGCGTACGTTCGCACCATCAAGATGACTGGATCTCCTGAACACCTGCAATCATTTCGACACTGATCATGCACGTACCTTCTGACATTACGATTCCAATCACATACATGCCTATACCCGTTGGAGACTTAACTTGTGTTAAAATATCGAATACACGCACCATCTGATACTTTGCGCATCAATATGCATTTCTATTCCATATCAGCATGGCTCAACTTCATCATATACCTCTCACCTCCAGATCTTCAACAGATATGGCCACTTCAGCATCGATGAGCCCCTGCGCCGTATATACAACAAGCCGTTCACTCACTGACTAACCATATAGTGAGGTCGATGAAAGGACTGTACCGGTTGAGGAGATAAAGAATCTTGATAGGACTCCATCGGGATTTCCACACGAGTGTTATCTTACCTCCAGTTGAGGATACAAGTATCGCGTCAAAAAATTCGCCTACCTCGTCTCCGCAGGTTAAACAAAGATCATAGGCCTAGTTCATTGCGAGTCGTTTAGTTGGCTAACAGCAGCAAATGGTTGACGAACCAAAAGCGTGAGAGATGCAACTTAAGAGTACTATAAGTATATTGTGGGTGTATCAGGTGACTCGTAATTACACTCACCGCTGCCGGACTGTATAAATTATGAGTCACTGTAGGAGATGTCATTCGCTGACCAAAGACATGCCTGAGATAAAGAGAACGGAATGCTGAAATTGTAGGACAGACCGGACATTGCTGCGCTTGCCAACCGGGGATTTGCCATCGTTATATACTGGCCCGGAGCACTGCACACATAGCACTTGGCGTTGAAACTGTGAATTGCCAGCGCCTCCGCACCTCATCACCGCCATTGAATGAGGATAGAGAAATACCCCATCCTGCAGCTGTGTGGGACAATTCTCGACTTATATGCATAGGAGGAAGGAGAAATGCCCTTGTCGCTTCTCCGCAATCAGGTATGGTGTCACAAGAACCACGTAGCGACATCTCTGTAAAATCTGTGAGCATGCAGCGCCATGGACAGTACCGCACATTCGGAGTCCATCACAGGCAGCGCCGCCAGAAGTGCACTTTCAGCAGCGCCTTCCTGACCGCAGCGTCCTTTACCCTTCGCCACCACGACGTTGACTTAGCGATCGCGGTCGGATGTACAGGTTCGGCGCAACGGCGGAGAACACCGGCGTCTAGATACGCGCGCCGAAACAGGTATTAAGGTCATCAATGAAAGGAATGCAATTCCTGTGGATGTATTGACCACGCACAGATTGCCTCGCTTTGACGAAGTTTGCATCGGTGTGGCCCTACCCGAGGCGAGAGGACAGCGAAGAGTGAAGTCAACGGCAAGCGGTCCCAGCTCATGTACATGTTCCAAAGGTTAGCGGGTCTCCCGAGCAACGACTGAACATCTCGCATAGAGCTAGCAAACACGCAGACTTCTAGCTACGGTCATGGGTCTTCTTCCCGACAGAATTGCAGTCCACTTGTCAAGATTCGAAGCGCGAGTTGTCGACGTTATCCAGAGGAACGTCAATAAAGTGCAATGACTGATGCCCATATGCGTGCGTTTGCAAGGAGATTGTAGCGTGCGGCGATACGTTCGCCACCTTTCTAAGATCCAGAACGACCCTTACCACCAGTATACTGTGCACGGCGCGAAGTGGGCTGTGTGCGAAGGTCGTCACTTTGGGAGAGCTCGGACGGGAAGCATGGGCTTGGACGCACGGTTGTATACACGAAGAGAGTGCGTCCTGCACACTTGAGGTCATCCAGAGGCCGAATTCAGTAAGTGAAAACGAAGCGCACCGGAGCCGTAATGAGCACTGAGACGTTAATCACGTTCATTACTAATCGACGTGAGTTAGCCCTGGGTCCGATACAATACGGCAGCTAGAATCGACCTAGCATATAGAAATAATATAGAAAACCTGTAGTTGCGGTAAGCAACGCTAGCGGAATCAACACGAGAATGTCGTTGCGCACCATCTCGATAAAGAGTCTGGAATATTCCGGGACCCTGTTGTTGTCGATCTGAGTCTGCGGTCAGAGTGTGCCGGTCATGGCTACGTTGTATCTTACACCCAACATAGTAGCGAATGAGCGTTAAAGTTACGATAACTGTCGGCGGAGGTCAGCTCTGCGAGGTTCAATCTGACAGCTCACGTACCGGTCTCAGAAATTGTCAAAAGGAGATACAGCTTCCAGACATCATCACTGGCACTACCCGTCGTACAACCCGTTAATTTGATGATGTCCTGTGGGAGAGCTATGATAAAGAGTAAAAACACGCAAGACCCAAATCAAACAGATGGCGACCTTGTGCTGTCTTCAGGTATTGCCTCATAATGACAATGGCTGGTACAAGTACGGCCTAGGGTGTGATTAAGCAAGCAAAACCTCCTCTAGCTGCGTTTACATACTACTGCGGTAGCAGAAAGAAAGTATTTCACTCGCCACGTAAAGCTCCATATGGCGTATGTCCGGACCATCAAGATGACTGAGGGCCGTTAACATCAACGTCTTATCCGACGAGTATAGACCACGTACCTTCCGACACGACGACACCGAATACGTACACACCTGTGTCGGCTGGAGATAAGAGTTATACCCAGGAATAGTATGTACGCACTATCTCGAACTTTGAGCGTCAGTATGCATCTCTGTTCCGTCCCTCTGTATCAGCATGGATCAATACCATCATGAGACACTTACCTCCAGATCTTGAACGGTAACAGAGACTACGGTAGCAACAATGAGCCCACGTTCGGGCTCCGTAGCAGCATCTCACTCACCGACGAACCACATAGTCAGGTCGATGAAAGGAGTGTACCGGTTCAAAAGGTATAGTATCTTGATAGGGCTCCATCGCGATTTCCATACCAGCGCGATCTAACCTTCAGATCATTATTCCTTCAGACATACGTTGGCAGGTCGCGTACCTCGTCGACGCAGGTCAAACAGAGATCATAGGCCTATGTATGATTGCGGATGATTCACTTGCATTGGCAAAAAAAAAGGAGAACCAGACGAACGACGAGCGCGAGCGAGGCAGCTTGAAGTATCTTTTAATATCGCGGTTTCGTGAAGTAAAGACGGGTTACACTCGCCACTGCTGAACTTTGCAATTTGTGAGCTCGCCGGACAGGAAGTGAAGTTCTGCTGATAAGCCACTTACCTTAGGTATAGAAGACAAGGAGACGAGATGGGGTAGGTCGGTCATCGCTGTGAACGAGCGAACGGGATTCCGGAGTAGCCATATAACAGACTTGGAGCACTATGATACTTGAGATGGTCGGGCCGCCGACGCCTCCGTACATCGCCACTGTCGCTGAATCAGGAAGGATGATCATGGCAATCGCGGGTCGCGGATACGGCATGGGACCAGTTCTCCAGATTTAGTAAGTATTGTAAGCTGAGGCGAGGAGGCGGCGGTCGCGTTTCAGCAAGGCCCGCGGGCGGGATCAGATTGGTTCGAGCGTTCCTGGGTTGCCCCGGAGTGTTTGGTATCGATGAGGCGTGTTTCAGTCTAGGAAGGGAGTCGAGCGTAGAACGCGACACGTCCTAGAAGATTGCGACATCTATCTGGAAGAGAGATGGGCGCGGATTTAACGAAGACGCAGATCTCCCTGAAAGGAAGGATTCAGAAGGTGTGTCTGTGACGGCAGTTCGATACGTGAACATCCTGCTGTAAAATGGAGGTCAGCACAAATCGAGTACGTGAGAATGCATTCGACGTAAACGATGCATTGAATGTACGCATGGCGGTGTTAGCTGGACCGGAGAATCCCGCTTGTCCCCTATGAAGCATGGACGTCGATAGCTGCACGTTTCATCTATAACGTCACTTCCTAACTTAATAGCTGTGAACATGCAGCGCCCCTGGACTCTGTCATCACACTTTCAGAGTTCATCACGGGCAACGTCCCCCGAAGAGCTGCCCCCAAACCGCTCTTTCAACAACGCCGTCATGCGGGCATTGTCGAAGATCTGATCATTTCCCCACGTGCCCTTTGCCGCTTCGACAGCGAACTGGCCCAGCGACCGCGCCCGGATGTACAGGTTTGGTATGAACGTGGAGATCATCGGCGTCCGGATCTGCACGACGCAAACGACTTGTCAGCGTCATCGATCCAGAGGATACGATAGGAAGGAATCGGACTCGCCTTGTCTGTCAAACGCGCGAAGGTGCCTCTGGTGTCCCTCGCATCCTCGGCTTCGGGGAAGAAGTAGCCTGGGCGAAGGAAATGGGGTATGAGAATGCCGTCGGACTCTTCGCTGACTTTGACGAGGTCCGCTTCCGTTTTCCCCTGCGATCACTCCCGTCAGATCGAGGGAGGGGGTGAAGAGTAACGCCATGAGTTGTTGCTGACCTTGACGCGCGCGAACAGGATCCAGCTCTTGCCGGTCTGGTCCGCGCTCTGCCCGCTCACGTATACAAACCTGAGCGGCTTGTCGCCCTCGGCTTCTCCAGCGCTCTTCGCTGCCTTCTTTGCCTCGATAATCGCCCTGGCCGCCTCCATCGGGAAGTCGTGCGTCATCCGGATGTACTCGTCCTCCTTCATGCCGACCTGGCTCTTGCCAAGCGCCCAGACACAGCCGTCGAATTGCGCCAGGTTCAAGGAGGGAGGGTAGGACAGAAAGTCGCTGTGCGTGACGAAGGTCGCCTTGGACATCGCGTTTGAGGGAAGGGTAGCGAAAAACGATTCCGGGGGCGAGCGGCGTCCGAGGACCGTGACGTTGGATATCGACGGGTCGTTGAGGGCGTAGCGAAGAATCGACAAGCCCGCTAAATCAAATACGTCTCATCTGAGTAGTGCCGCTAGCATAGGCGAGAGAAACACCTTACCTGCACCAGTGGCACCCGTCAAAAGGAGCTTCATCTTGACTGAGGAGGAGCGGCAGAGAGTACCAACAACAGTGGAACTCTAGTTCGTAGGCTATCAAAGACGCAGAAAAGGTTTACTTTTCATTTTAGTGAGAATCGAGGGACCGTGAATATAATTGCGTTGGCGCTTGCGGACGCGTCCGGCATTGGGCAACGCGGAAGCTCTTCGGCACGCGCGAGTGTCAGCACCGCCACTGCCTTAGCGACGCGTCGTGTCGGCCCGATGCAATCGGAGAGATGCGTTCTGAAGATCCTGGGGTCAAAGCAGGTCATGTACCGATAAGGGAGATTATAGAGCAAGTCATAGTACACGAATCACCCAGGCATATTGCAAGATTACCTTTCAAACATGCTTAGAGTAAGATCGCGACGGTCGCGGCTGTCCATCCAAATAGCGCGAACCCCATCCTAACCGCGTTCAGCGTCTTCCACTTGTCGATGCTCCCCAGCGTCTCCTCCGCCTCCTTCTCCGACTCGAGCTCGGGCGCGTTCTTCTTGCCCGACCGCTTCTCGGCGCTGCGCAGGATCGACTTGAGGTGATTATTGAGCGGCATGATCGCGGTGAAGGTGAAGAAGCCGACGGCGAAGTTGGCGGCGGAAGCGATAAAGAAGAGCGCACTGCGCGGGTGGTCTCCGGATCCGCGCAGGATCCCGGCGGTCAGAAAGGCGAGGAATCCGATCACGCCCGACGGGAAGAAGTGCACGCTGGGTCGAAACATCGCGGTCAGAGACGCGGGAGAAAAACGCGGGAGGAGGAGTGAATGGACTTACGCGCCGCGGTCGTACGCGTCTTCCCAGATTTGCAGGGCCTGCGCGGGTCGGATACCAAGGGCGTCGCGCGTTTTAGTGTTCATGATTGCGAAAGGCCCGCATCGCACGAGGCCGAGGTTGCCCCAGTACAGGAACGAACTCGCGCTGAGCCCGACGCCGATGCAGAGGTTCGTCGGGGTGGCCAAGGAGTTAAGATGGGAGAAGTGAGACATGGTTGGACGGGGTCGGATTGCTTCGGGTGGGTCAGTCGGGACGGAAGCCTATTTGTATGTTTGCATCATGGCGTCGTGCGCAGTGGCGCGTCCGGCCGACCCCCAATCTTCATCGTTTCAGCGGCCACGGCAGCCCAACAGATGGAAAGTTACACGCAGTAACTGCGCACATGCCGTCCTAAATCATAGGCATTCTTGAGAGTGCGACACGAACTTCGAGTCGACGAAGGCAGCAAATATTACGTAATTTAGCCGCAGTGATCCGGCGGAGATGACCCCAACCTGGGGTTTGACCCGTTATGGACGTGAGTAAAGTGGCGCCAAGCACCGCATTCCGACTCCCCCGGGGGGGGGTCATGGGAAAGTGGTTGATCGGGCCGGATAACGATCGGCGATCGATCGGCCAGTGTGTATGGAGTTATTATCTTATCTTATCGTATAAGCGCCCAAAAATCCACCCAAATGCGGCAACTGTCATTACGCAGAGAAACCAAAGCGCAGTAGACCATACGATTACGTAACTGATTGTTATCAAGTCAGCGCTGACTTCGGCAACTCGGCAAACCGACGGATAACATTCGGAACTGATACTATCACATGATGTAAGCGATCCCACACCTACTATGTCACACTGCTGCGTCCCATCTAAAACTAGCGCTCGTCCGTCCGATATTCGCGGATAATCACGCTTTATCACGCTTTTGTAACGTTTTGGCTGGGGTCACATCCCTGTCACTGTGACGAGGCCCATGCGCAAAAACCAACTCCCTCCTTCGGGGGAGTCGGAACTGCGCCGACCGAACGAGTACTGGCAGTTCTGGGAGCGGACGCGGGCGCGGGGGAAGTTGGCCTCGTTGCGCTCTTTCACGTTGACGTCGACCTGCACGATGCCCTGCCTAGCAGACGTACGCGCGGCCAACGCCGCCATCCTCGGCGCTCTCAAAACCGTGCCGGTCGCCGTCTTCGTCGGCGGGACGAGCGGGATCGGCCAAGCGACCGCGGAAGCGTTCGCGCGCCATACCAAGGGAAACGCGCATATTATTATATGTGGACGGAACCGCCAAGGTCAGTAGCATATCTCCACTTTTGTACGTATGTATTCGCCCAAAATCGATTCTGAAATGGGCGAACAGCGGCGGAGAAGATATTCGAGTGCATCCCCAGCCCCACCTCGCCCGAGGCCAAGCGCGAGTTCGTTGAATGTGATGTGACGCTGATGAAGAACGTGCACTCGGTGTCTCAGGATCTTGTGTCGCGCCTGCCCAAGCTCAATTACCTCGTGCTCACCACCGGCATCCTCACCATGAAGGCCCGGGACGAGACGTCCGAGGGCATTGACAAGAAACTCGCCGTGCACTATTATGCCCGGTGGAAGTTCACCTACGACGTATACGGGTTCATTCTATATTACGATCGGAGTTGCTGACTGTATGTGCGTAGTTGATGCCGCTGCTGCGCAAGGCGAAAGAACAGGGTGAAGACGCAAAGGTCCTCACCGTGCTCGCGCCAGGTAACGGCGGTAAGATCGACCTCGACGACCTCGGCTTGAAGAAGCGTTACAGTACGAGCAACGCCGCCTACTCCGCACCGACCTACAACGACCTAATGATCGAGGTAAACTATATCTCTCCTCCCCATTTCCGGCCCATACATGCTGAAATATCACCGAAAACAGTCCTTCGCCGCAAGGAACCCCAAGATGGCGTTCATCCACGCCTACCCCGGCGTCGTCCGCACGCCGCTCCTCAAGGCGACAAATCCGCTGTTGAGACCCTTCAACCCGCTCATGACCGGCCTCCTCTACCCCATTTCGCACGCACCTGCCGACACGGGCGAGTTCATGCTCTACAACATGCTCCAGAGTAACGAGGGCTGGTTCAGGCGCGGCGACACCGGCGAGGACATGGGGAAGAAGAAGTACTACTCGACGGACGAGGGGCGGGAGAAGCTTTGGGAGCATACCGTGAAGGAGACCGGCACTGTTGGTGACGAGTAGAGTGTATCGGATTCTGTCGACAACATCTTGGATTCATGTACATCATACCCTGACACGCTTTGCGCACGCAATATAATGCATTCCTTTCATGCATACTCGAAGGATGCGTGTACCGCGCAGACCTTGCGCGCTTCGCGGATGGCTGAGCTCCGCCGAACCCGATGCCGAGCTGACTGAACGCCCGGCAGCTCTCGGCACGTCCTCGTCACTGCCACCCCGACGCGTAACGCGATCCCGAACGCCTTGGCGAACTCCGAGTTTGACCTCGCCGCATATATTGGGTGCCATGCTCGCGTCCATGGCACATCACACCCACCACCTCTTGCCTACGCCACTCCGCACGTATGCCATCTCTCGCGCAAGTCGTGAAGCTTAACGCAACCCTCGCGCCCAAGTCTACCCCTGTCGCCCTCTTCGTCGGCGGAACAAGCGGGATCGGTCAGGGCACCGTGGAGGCGTTCGCCCGGCACACCCACGGAAACGCGCATATACTCATCTGCGGGCGTAACAAAGAAGGTACGAATCCTTGCCCGGAAATAGAGTGTCCAGGAAAACTGATATTGGGATTGTTCACAGCCGCGGAGAAGATATTCGCCAAGTTCCCGAAACCGACCTCTCCAGATGCGAAACGGGAGTTCGTGCAATGCGACGTGACGCTGATGAAGAACGTCCATTCTGTCACTCAAGACCTGGTCTCGCGTCTCCCAAAGCTGAACTACCTCGTCATCACCACCGGGATCTTCTCCCTCAATGTGTGTACTGAGCTAACTCCATCCTCGCGTCGAACGTTGGCTCACGTTTTCAACAGGGCCTGGACGAAACGCCGGAAGGGATAGATAGAAAGCTTGCTGTGCATTACTACTCTCGATGGAAAATCACGAATGAGGTTCGTGCCATACACATCGCTCTCTTCGACGTCGGCTCATGCAGGATGCATCCCAGCTGCTGCCGCTCTTGAGAAAGGCTAGAGATGCAGGCGAGGACGCCAAGGCTCTTTCCGTCCTTGATCCAATCACCGGCGCCAAAATCGATTGGGACGACCTGGGGCTCAAGAAGAACTTCACGCTCGCCAACGCCGCCAACTACGCGCGTGTTGCCAATGACCTCATGGTCCAGGTGCGTATCTCGCACGCCATTCTGGTCTCTTGGGCACGCATCGCTGACCTCCAATTTTCCTCTTCCCGCAGTCGTTCGCCGAACAGCCGGACAACCAAGGCATCGTGTTCACTCACTCGGGCCCCGGCGCCGTTCGCACCTCCATCTTGAAAAACAGCAACCTGCACCCGCTCCTGCGTGCGGCCAACCCGCTGCTCGCTGCGCTCGTATACCCCTTCTCCAATTCGCAGGAGGACTGTGGCGAGTTCATGCTCCGCTCGCTCCTCGCTGGGACGCCCGCCGAACGGGGTTGGTACCGCCGCAATGCCAAGGCTGAGGAAGTGACGAGCGAAGGCTACGCGACGGATAAGGAGTTCCGGGACAAGCTATGGAAACATACTGCGGAAGTGACCAACGTCCCGGCGTAGGAGATTGTGTTTCTGCCCGCTCAGCGATACCAACGGACGACGTATAACACTCTTGTTATATCATAGTTTCAAGACCTTGAAAATCATACATATGTTGAGGTCCATGGTACACTCTACGACGAGACGATATACAAGACATCTGCGCATGTCGCGAACGCCAACGCTAGAATCCCCGCCTTGCGGCAGCACGAAGGTCGGCAGGCGTCATAGGCTCAGGGTCTTCCACCACGTTCCCCATCGATATGACGAGTCCATGAGGATGCGGAGGTTGGACATGAGGCTGACTCGCGTCGAAGTGACGATCGAACGACCCGGACGCGCGCGAGACGTCCTCCACGACGGTGATGTCCGAGTCCGCTCTTACTCGCCCGTGTTTCGGATCTGATGCGCATGCATACAAGCACTTCGAAGGCGGGGTTGAAACATCTCGGCATTCTGTGCCTAATGCAACCTGACTGTTTCCTGCTTCGGCGGACCCGACTGTCTGAAGCTGGTCGCGTTCAGCCAGTGCGTCCAAGGAACGCTCAGCGGAGGCGATCATGTTTCTGAGGGCTTCAGCGAACTTCCAACGGAGGCTGGGGAGGACTCGCAGTACGATCGCAGCCAGTTCGCTCTCCAGGCTGAGCATACACAGCGTCTACGGGCGAAGTATTTAGCATTTTCACTGTCGTCGTTCCAATGGACGAAGATACGGCTTACGTTTCTCGCTTCTTCATCCGACAGTATCTCGCGTTTCATGTCGTCGCTGATCTTTTCCTTGTCCGCGATGTCGTCCAGAAGGCGCCGGAGGCCATCGGGAACATCGCCAGCAGTGGAAACACGAGTGCTCCTGCCGGACGGACCAGAGGGTTGAGACATGACGATACGGACGTGCTCGTGAAACGTGCGCGCATAGCCCAAAATCTCGCGAGGTAGGGCCTCGAGAAGAGCGTCTGCATTGCGCCGCGACTGGGAAGTGCTACGTTCAAGTCGTGTCGCCTGGATGCCACGCTTGAGGCCAGGTTTCTCCGAACTTTCCGCGGACTGCATGGTGCCAGGGACGTGACGGGGCCGGCTGGCCAATTCTTGCGCGATTCTTCGTTTCCGATACCGTTTTACAGCGCGATCGAATACACCAATGTGCAACGCATTCTTGTAGCGGGAAGAAAATGCGTCGGAAATAACTGGCCATGGAAATCAATATGAAGACAACCGAGGTCTACTATAGCACGGGACTTACGAGAGATGAGGATTGTCAACGTGGCGACGCCGAGGATGGCCCAAACGACGAATACGGCTCGCCCCGCTGGAGTCGCGACGTGGTAGTCGCCGTATCCGATCTGAACAGCAATAAACCTCAATTCAATCATAGTCGCATTAGACTTGCTGTGATGAGCTCACCGTCGAGAAGGTAACGAAGCAAAACCACATCGCTGTACCGTAGCTCCACTTCTCGGTAGCTTTGAATATGGCGCTTCCCACCTGTGGATAGAAACATGAATAACAATAGGAGCGAGGTTGGCGAAAGACGGACCAGCCAGAAGAGCAGAAATAACGTCCACGCGAAGGCCAACTTGGCATAAAACTGTCTATGCTCTTCTCGTTCCATGCCATTCTGGAAGTCATCATAAGACATTGCAAGCCATTCTTGTCCAGACGCTGATAACTCCTCCCGGGACTGAGAGCGCCGGACCCTCGTCGGGCGGTCCTTTACCGCCCACAGCCTGTAGTCGTTGTCCTTCGTTTGGTCGGCGACAGCGAACCTCGCCTTCGTGACCTGTTGAACAGCGTTTTCGTCGGTTGTCATCGCGTTAGCATCGCTGCTAACGGGTAAAACGCCGGGGGCGCATTGCGGGATTTGGTCCACCAGCGGGATGGGGTGAACGCCGGCGGAAAAGGTAGCCTGGATCCAATGGGTCGACCTTCCACAAAACTTCCGTTGATGTTGAGCGTAGTGCTGACACACGGTATCGAGCGACATGCCGGCGTCCAGAGCGGTCTCGCGGAGCTGCGCGGGCGAAAGGGCTTCGAGGTTCATGTGCATCTTTCCATATGCGGGACGAAGTATCTTCGAAGGCGTGCTGACCGTCTTCTTCGCGCGAGAGCCAAGCTTAACCATCTTGCCCAGGCAAGTACTGTAGGCGTCCGTTCGATCGGGAACCCAGACAGGCTCACGAGCATCGCGCAGCCGATACTCAACGGCACTGCGCCAGCGGGCCTCGACCTTTCGAATCCTCTTCATTTCTCGTCGGTTTCTCCTGATCTCTTCGACGCGGTGGCGATACTCAGTCTCCAGCGCCTCCATAATGTTGTCGCTGAAGGTACTGATGGTTACGGCAAGAGTGATGATGCCACCAGTCGCGAAAAAGCAGACCCAGACGCGACCGCCCGACGTGGTCGGTGCAATATCACCAAAGCCGATAGCTATGAGGTAGAAGATTGAGCGGAAGGTTCTACGGTTTGATGAGACGACTTACTCTCGATGGTGACGATTGAGAAGTAGAGACCGTCAATGAACGTAAGGTTGAGGATATAACAATCTACTAGGGCACCCATGGCGAGATATGACAGGAAGACGATGATCATGATGACGAGCGAGCGTTGCTTGCGTGTGAGACCACTACCTGGGTTGAAAAATGAATACGACAAGAGTACTAAAGAAAGGGGAACACGGACCACTTTGCTCGAAATCCTCGGTTCGAAGAAGGTCGAAAACCAAACTTATGTTGGTGAAAAAAGATACCACTGTAGAACAGACCTACAATCAGATGTCAGCATCGATCCCTTGACTGGGGCGGAAGGTGAAAGACTTACAGTGATCCAAAAGGCTTGGCCTGGATATCGATCTGTTAGAGAACGCGGCCATGCGACTAGGCTGATCCCACACACCGTACGTGAACCCGTCATTGAAGCGATGCTGAACGCCAAATATCGTGACAGCGATGATATTGATTGTGTCTGCATGACGGAGTTAGCCGTTCTCCAGAATCGTCGGCGACGTGATCACTTACCATGGAAGGTCAGAAATCCGAGGCACAAAATAGTCGATAGTAAGACCCTTTTTTCGAGGAATCGGACGATGAGGCACATGCTAGCCAGCACGGCCGACGCCATGGAGAGGCAGATACCAACATCGAGAATGGCCGGGTTGGCCCTCGTTTCGACGATCTGGTTGCCGTACGTACGGATATACCAGTGCTCCGTCAATCCCGGTATCTGGAGCAAGATGCAGAAAGGGATGGCGATACCCGAGACCAGCGGGGTATACCGATACTTGGGGACGACTTCGTTCTTCTCGTCGTCAACCTCGCCGCCCTCGAGTTGCTCGCCAAGCGTTGGCTGACCCGCATTTGAGTGGAGTATGTCGGTACCGGACTTGAGGTTGAGCTCGGATTGGATGGGCGGACCGTCGTGAGACTGTGAAAGTGCCTCCGGGGCGCCTGCGCTCTGTTCGGGGTCGGCGGACCTTCTCTGGCGCTGCGACTGCAGGACCGAGACTAGAGGCAGGATAACACGGAAGGGAGCCATGGAGCTCGACGAGCAGGAATATAACCTTCAAGATCGGGTGAGGCGTGCGATCTTATAAGCAACCCTTCGAGTGGCTGGCGAGTTTCCAGGGCCATATTCGTTCGTGTACCATCCGTATCAGGAGGAATGTATCCCAAGCATCTGGAAGCCGCCCTTCGATTCTCCTGTGGATGATGTCGAAATGTGACCAATACCTCGCTCGTTCTTGCTTGACCGTGTAAGCCTGCAGATAGATAAGCCCCAAGACCGCGGGGACATGTCGGCTTCCGAGAGATCCTTACAAGAAGTATCCAGAGGATCCAACAGCATCGAGAAACTGCAGGACCTAGACACGGAGCATGTATCCTGGCCGGTACACGTCGGTATCGATGAACGATGCACTTTCAGGCACCGGAACGAAACCTGCAGGGTCAACCTTGCGAATATGCGCGTCTCTCATGTTGATCGGCTCGCTTCGAAAGCCGATCGTTCACTGGTGAATGTTGACGCTGTCGTGTCGGAAGGCCGGTCAAGTAACTGCTTCATCGCGGCATCGTGAGGGCTCCCGCGCGGTGCAAGCGGGGTAATATCGGTTCTTGGTGTTTATAACTACTGAAACTCAAGAAGGCGCGGCGGTCGACGAGTGCGTCACATACGCAAGTCATCTGGCTTCTCGACATTCGGCTAGGAGGAGCATAAAGAGCATGGAATCCCATGATTAAACAATGCTCGGTCTGTGCAATAAAGCAGAGCGTCGTTAGAAATCACGAAACGGAACATTCATTCAACCTCACTGAGGGATATCGTGGCTCTCAGCCGCCAATACGGCCGTATATCGAGGCATATGTGAGGATATATGCAGGTCTCTTTCGTGGCAATCTATTCGCAGTAGATCGGAAGGATCCTGGCTGGAGATGACGGAGGTTTGCGATAAGCCAGGTCGTCGTGCGAACGAAAGACTGAGGGACATTCGCCCCTCTTGGTCACAGCTACCATCGTAGATCCGGCCGTCACGACCAGAGGATAGAAGAGACGTTCTGAGAGGGCTTCATTATGAGGGCACGCGTCACCACGTAACCAGGCGTGGGTTGCGGGTATGACCCTGCAGTGACTGATCTCTGCAAGGCATTAATTTCAGTTTTCTTCCCCCAGCAAGCGCATATGTCCACCAAGAGGTGAGCTAATCGACGTACCGTGTTATAATATCATGCCCTCAACAGTGTTTTGCTATTCCACCTGCATCCATAACCTTGACTGACAGCTCGGTTGGGCATCACACTTCTGAATTAACACAACGCTCTCGATTCTGTGTCTGCAACACTTCAGATCCCGAGTTAAGAGATATGCAGATAGTCAATCTCAAGCACATACGACACGGTAAAGCAGAATGCGCGCAACCTTGTGGGGATGATACAAGCAAACACGACAATGCGCAGCAGTTCCACCTCCCAGTCATCGCTCGACGTTGGATCTGTCCTTCCCATCGTCGGCGCAGGTGTAGGTTTTGTTTGAAAATCGATTGCAAAAATCATCTGAGCTCTGCAACGGAGAATGGCTTTAATCACTGCCAGGGTTCCGCATTACGAACGAAGTCTGGATTACTTTTGCTACGGAAATCCATATTTCATATAAAATGGCTGGTTCAGATGCGGTTGAGACATAAAGTACAAACATACTTTCAACCAAATAATATATCCTTATAAGGCAGGTCACCTACCATATAAGTATATATTACTTGTGCAAGCTATCTTTGTATGGAATGTAACAATCACATTTGAACCAGCCATTTGATATGAAATATGGATTTCCGTAGAAAAAGTAATCCAGACTTAGTTCGTAATGCGGAACCCTGGCAGTGAATGACCGTAACAGAGCGAGTTGAACTTGTGCTGCAGCGTGCCAGCGGTCAATGCAGTCATTCATATTCACGTGGTTCATTGAAATTCCGCGCGCCTGACCGTCTCCATTTTCGGTTGATACACTGCCAGCGTTTCTGCTAACGCTTACGAAATTCGACTGGCTGTGCGCCGCTCTTCATGCTTCAAGTCCTCATTCGATCATCCAGGCTACATCGAAGAGATCGAGCGTGTACTCATCGAGCATTATCGACGCTGCAATGATATTGACTACGCAATCCGTAACCTATTGTGAGACAACCTGAGCCGCGATTTCGACGCGGCCTGACTTACAACGCTTAATGTGCTGCATTCAAGCTTGTCTCACCCATGTCGTGTCTTACGGAGTTACAAGACACTCTCAAGCCGCTCGGACCGGGTCATACTAGTCGCGCGCTTCACGCTTAATACTCTATCTTGGATCTCTCTCCGAGTCGACGTGAATACCGCTGCAGCAGATCAGACTGGCGGTGATCCACAAAAGGCATGGTTACGTCAAACAGCATCCAAGCTATGTCCCACTGGCGTCTCGTGGGATCACGAAGGCTATCTGATGCGGGGGTCAAACATCACGTACGCATTTCAGAGGCGATGGTGTCGTGGACGTGCATCCCCGGATAGCTCGACAAGTGGCCGTGCTCTGCATGCTCCTTGAAACTCGCATACTACCGATACGGGTATGCTATCATCATGAAGTCTGATGACATACCGATGCAATCGGGATGGAAAATCCGGACAACAGCGCGACGAATTATGGTCTGAGACGCGGCATATGTCGCATCGCTCATGTGCTGTTTTTTGTCGCAACGTCAAAACTTTTGCGACACAGCACCCTGACGTCTTCAAAGAACTCACGGTGTCAGATTCCCTGTTCCTCTCAGTGATACAGCTACCCTTCCAAAAGCGGGTAATCCGCACTGCAGTTTCAGTGAGTAAAGCGGACAAGTTTGAGTACGATGACTCACCAGTGGCCCAGTGATGGTGCGTTTCTCACTGCAAGTGAACATATATGGCCCGCGCCGAAACGTGGGATGAATGCATGCACCGGATCAACGGGTGTACGTTGACAGATTTCATATCGATGAATCGTGCTCATATTCCCCAGTACTGCATGTTGCCGCACCCTGTCCTTACCACCCGATTTGAAAGGACAAAAGTGGGAAATGAGGGCTTCACTTCCGTCGTTTCCTGCGAAATTGCCACGGAACACCCAAATAGGCTTCTCACTTCTTTTGTCTTCCATCTCCTGGGAACGTTTCGCGAAGCTCGGACGCTCAGAACAATAAGGAACGTTTTGCGAAGCTGACGTTCATCTGGATGCCCTCCGCCGCGATGGTAATATATGTATGGGACTGTGGCACGCTGCGCCGTTCGGGTATATCATCATCGTGCGCCACAAGCCAGATCGTGCGGCGTTCTTTGCTTTCCGCACGATATATTAGGGAGCGAATCGACGTTCGCTCCTGGTGTCCCTCCATCTCACTCGCGATGAAGAGAGTCCTAGCACTCCATGGCCTCGGTCAATCCGCTCGCATCTTTCGTCATAAGGTGGTGGCATTGCTCTCCCTTCGGACATTACTACATGTTAACACGTCTGACTCCAGCTTCGGTTCATCGAAACCATGTGTGAGGACGACATCGAGTTCGGTGCGCTCCTCCCTCGATCAGCAGTCACCATATCTCACCTGTTCCTAGTTTATCTTGAAGCCCCGAGAGTACTCCTTCCCGTCGACATGTCTTCCGAACACTTCGGAGATATATCGGATACCTCAATTGGGCGGTACTGGTGGAGATATCAGCACACGGTGTCCGATGTCGAGGCTGTTATAGAGACTCTTTCCAAAGTGCGCAATTTCCTGGAAGTCAACGGGCCGTTCCATGTATGCTCTTATTCCACCTCCCAACGGGACGTCGCCGCTCTAATCCTCTCTTGATATGTGAAATAGGGAGTCGTTGGATTTAGTCAAGGTGCCGCTCTGGCCGCCATGATCACTGGATGGGTGCGCACCCTTCACCCTTCGCATGCGCCGCATATTGAACGATCATGAATTTGTGATTGTCGCAGCTCGAACGGCCGGAGATGCAGCCTCACTTTCGTGGAGTAGATCACCCTCCCTTGTGAGTAACATTCGTCCATGACGCCATGATCAAAGCCGACGCGCTACTCGGCGTAGTGAATTTACCGTGTTGTTGTCTGGCTTCATCATACCATCGCCCTTGTTCGAACTTCCCAGTTGCATCTACACGCCTGCCTTGGTGGTAATTGGATACCATGACACAATTGTGAAGCCAGAGTGGACGATGGAATTAGCCAATCGCTTCAATTCTGTCCGCGTCGAGGTTCATCCAGGAGGTGCGCGCTCACGTTTTCGCGCTTCCCACCTAGAGCTCACCATCTCGCAGGCCATTTCGTTCCGCGCAGCAAGACCTGGAGACGCTTTTGGATTGATTATTTCTTGTCCATCTCTGCCACGGATCCTCACTCTGTTATACCCACGCCGGCGCTTACCGACGCGTCTTGGGGATCATCTGCCCCTCCTTCTCCACTAAGCTCACCTGACTGCGTCAAGCTAACTCTGGCGTTCGAAGAGTATGATCCTGACGCGCTTAGAGGGGATCCCTTTTCGGAGTGTAAACCCTCGGCATGCTTCAGAATCCCGCCACCCACTCCGGTGTGGTCGCAATTCGCTTTTCAACAAGAGCTCCCCGTCGCCGATAGTGTTGACATCCCCGCACGATGTGGGGACTATACATCAACCCTGATAAACCTTTGGAGAGAGTGCTGACAGCAGTCGGGATCTTCTGTTCAGTTTGTTCGTACGCGTTCCATGTGTTCTTTCGCTTTCATCCGCGCATTGTGTTCCTTTAGGGTAAATCTTCGGCAGTCTACTTCAACTTCACTTCGATTACAGCATTTACTCGTGTACGCTTATGTGTCCGATGAAATCACGTTCCTGCAATGACTCCACTCACTGGTATAATGTTCCCGCAAGCTGGAAGTGGTGGACGTAGACGGCCTCCTCAATACTAGGCAAGAAATGAGTCGCGGTGAGATCAACGAGCTCATTTCTTGGCTTTCATAATGTCATCGAACTCCATATTGCGGATGTCATTCTGCACGATTTGCAAGACCTTGTCCTTGAGGTGATGCTTAACACGGAAGAACACGCGAGCGCTCCCTGCACAATGACTCGTATCAAATTGTCGGTTCTGAAGGGCCAAAATCCAGAGTGACTGACCTTCATTGGCGTGCCATTCTCCCTGCTCGTTTTGGGTCGGGTTGCCTGGCCAAATGCGGAAGTAGCGTTCCCAAGCGTCGTGGACGTGGAACCGCGCCTTGCCAGGATACCCGAAGTGTGTACCGGTCCACGGCACCCTGTCGCAAGATCTCGTACATCAGAATAATGCCAGAAAGATGACGGAGGGGGTGACCGACCGGTAAAGGTTGTTTATCGCCGCTCCCCCATCCCAGGGGAACCACCACTGGCATCGGTTCTCGTTGGAGCTGCGAGTGTACAGCTCCTCAGAGATCGCGACCACGCGCCTGACGTAGTCCGGGTCGCGGGAGGTCGCAATAGTATTGCGAATGACTGACGCGATAGGCCTTGTAGAGAAATAGTTAGAATCGTAGCAGGGCCACAGAACCTAGCCGCGACGTCACCCTATCTGGAACTTCGCGTCATCCGGTATTCTGTCTGAGTACTTGGTAAGAGTGATGTTCCCCGCGGAGGATGCCGGCGGTGGTGTGTAATCGCTGCCTTCAGCAGCAACCACGCCTCTATACTATCGGGGGTCGTCATGACGGCGCCCATATCAGAGAGTTCGAAGAGACTCACGTCTATGACGTTCATTAACCATTTGATAGGCTCTTCGTCGGCGCGGTTGAGAACCGTGATCAGGTATGCCGCGAAAGCATCCTAGGTGCTGACCTTAACGCCTGAACTCTTCTCAGCGAAGACGCGCATCTTCTGTAGCTGATTCTTCGAGAACTGGAGATCGATGCGAGACGTGGACTCCATTATGTTCTGGTACATAGCAAAGAACTGCTCCGCCGAGTAGTCCACCGCGAGGTGTGGCACGAGACGGACAGTATCGGTGAGGGCGGAACGCTCGAGAGTAGGCGGATCCGTCATGTACTTCTCAAAGGTGGGAACGAAACACGGTTTGGCCCCTACGTAGCAATTCGTGAGATTGTCCATGAATCGCCAAAACGTGAGTCCGTCGCCTAGCAGCAAAGGATGAGTCAAGGAAAGGCGGCAAATCGAGTAACCGCGTACCCAGACGATGGTACCAGCTTGGTCCAAAGCTGAACTCGTTGGTGACCTCCCAGTACGTCAGCTTGAACCGCACGAGCGGCTCGTCGTTATGGCTGGTCGGAGCGTAGCTCCATGGCAAGAATTCCGGGTTCCTCTCGCACATGAACTCTACCTCAGGGCGAGGATCGACCGAACTGCGATGGACAGTGATAGATATCGCAGAGTTTGTCAGAGCTATATACCACTTTCCGGTCTCCGGATCCGAACGAAGGCGACCGGCTGCGTGGGGGTAGTCGTGGAGGGCGGCGGCGAGAGCGGTCTTGAGCCCTTCAAGATGAATTGGGCCGGGTAAGAACCACCCTCCATCAAGCTATACGCAATATAGGTTTAGATCGATGTATTAGAGTCAACAGATTGTTGCTCACGCTCGCAAAGATCAGGTCTGTACCGGGAATCGGGATCTTTTCGAGGTCACCGAGGAGAGTTGGCGTGTTTGGTTTCACCCAATGAATTTCATCTCTCGACGAGGCATAGGAAGCGTTCTGAGAAGGCATTTAAAGTCCTTGTGCTTGAGATTGTCGGTTCGTAGTTATCAGCGGCAAGCTTAACGACACCCTTGACGTTGCCATGTTTTCCTCGCAAGTTAATCCTGGCCGAGCGTTGGCCGTTGTCATACTTGCTGGGTTGAAAATATGAGATTGATCGATCGGTCGGACATAATTTGCACTCTGTCGCCGAAGGACGAGAGCAAGTGAGGCGGAGTATACGACATTGAGTTGCCAAATCCCATCTCAGGCGATCAGTGCAGTAGGGCTATACCGGTCAATGTTCAGCAGCGGAAAGAGCCGTTTTCGAAATTCGCACGCCCACGTCGGACAAAGCTCTGCGGGAGTGGATCGTTTACCTCTGACGCCCGCATCACAGACAACATTGGTCGCCGTCATGCCAGCGTCGTCTGGCCTTGATCCAATTCTTGCATCAATTGTCGTGCTAGAAAAGAATGTGGAAATATCACCCCTGGCCTCGCTTTGACTCGTGGCATTGCGCCGGGAGCGGGTTGCTATGTCGCTGGCACGCGAAACAGCCGAGAAATATTTGTCGCTCCCGCTCCGCGTCTACAAATCGGGGCAGAACAATGAGGCATCTTGCAGGAGACGGCGCTCCGGGCGTGCGGGTCGGCACCCAGCCCGCTTGTGTAAGCTTGAATTGAATTTGCCTAACTCACCCTGTGCCAATCGTGACCGACGACGCCCGCAACTGAAACCCCAGCCGCCCCAATTTGGCCAGCCGTCTCTCGCAGCGAGGTTCTTTGCGCTCCTGAATTCGAATAACTCGTTCGCTTGTCACGAACTGGTTCTCCCTGGTCCTTGGAGGTGGTCGCTATGCCGCTCAAACGCGCTCCGCGTCTATACAGGGGCTAGCGAACGTCGCTTGGCTGCATTGCATTCGCGTATCGATGACGGCGATCTTTGTGACGTGCGTAGACGACTCAGTCGGCGCTTGATCAACTCGGCGCGGAGATTGACAAATGGGAACCCCGTCCCTTGCGCCTGCGAGCTTCGGAATGGTTTCGTGGCAGGTGCCCGTACATATTGAGGCCTCGCACCTTCATGGCCTGCGTAAGTGTACCCAACTCCACGCGCGCAAGGCGTGAATCTTATTATACTCTAATCTAGACCTCCCTTAACTCTCGTCGTGCCCCAAACCCCACGCATTTCGGCATCCCCAGATCAACTGCACCATGAAGCGAGTACTTGCGCTGCACGGTCATTTCCAGAACGCTCGTGTCCTTCGAGGAAAGGTACGTCGATATGCGTGCTTCATATGGCGCCCGCGGCTCAGACTCTTGCTCCTCCAGCTCGAGCACATCCAATCCGCGTGCAAGGACTACATAGAATTTGGTACGACGGCACCTTCACTAGTGATGCGCCACGAGATTAACTTATTCCCGAGCAGTTACACTAGATGCGCCTCATATACTATATCCAGTCGATCCTCCGTCCTCTATGTCAGTGGCATCGTCCTCGTCCTTGGCAACATCTCGCCGGTTCGAGAACGACGAGCATGATCTTCGCCCGCGTTGCTGGTGGCGTTATCTTGCCGATACCCACGACACGGACGCAGTAATAGAATCCCTAGCTCATATTCGCGCTTTCTTGGAAGAACACGGTCCGTTCGATGTGAGTGTCGACGCGGACCGATATCTAGATGCGAGATTTGACACGAGATTTCAGGGTCTCCTCGGCTTCAGCCAAGGTTCCGCCATGGCTGCCATGGTCGCCGGATGGGTGAGTGAGATAAATTTCAGGGGATAACTTTACCAACGTCCTCGGTAGCTTGAAGAACCCGAGATGCAGCCGCATTTCAAGAACGTTGATCATCCTCCTTTGTGAGCACTCCGCTGTGTTAGCCCGCTCCTGACTAACAACGGAATCGCGTAGTCAATTTGTTATCTTGATATCTGGTTTCATCATTCCCTCGCCTCTATTTCCGCTCCCAGCGAAGATAAAGGCGCCTTCGCTGCATGTTATCGGCTATAACGACACCATGGTCAAGCCAGAGTGGCCCAAGGATCTGGCTCGGCGTTTCGACAGCGCTGGTGCCAGAGTGGAGATGCACGAGGGTGGTTTGTAACATTTCTTTCCGTTTACTAGCCCTAAAATGTGATTCTCATTTTCTGCGTGATAGGCCACTTCATCCCGCGCCGTGCTGCTTGGACGCAGTTCTTCGCCGAGTGGCTCGCGTCGGCTGCCACGTTGTGCGACTCGCCGTACTCCACAGCGCCGTCCACGCCGGACCTGTCCTCGTCGTCCTCGATATCCTCCAGGAAGTCCAACGAAGGCGCTGTATCTCCCTACTTGTTGACACCTGTAAATCGGGTCATGGAGCTGACGGACAGCGGCACTCGAATCGTCGATGTTCACGACGCGGTTGAGTCTCCCTTGGGCAAGTACGGGAGCGATGATTCCGCGAAGATAAGCATTATCCGGCCTTATGCGAAGACGGACAACGTCGATATCATGCGTTTCGTGAAGATGGCGAGCGAGACGCTCTCTCGGCACGTGGAGAGCACGCCCTCCACGTATGAGACCATCAAGTCTCCGACCCCAGCGAGATATCACGATGAGCTCATTCTTTATATCGAGGTTCAGAACCCAGATGGTACCATTTCACTGGTTGAATCGGAACCTGTATCCCCGCGAATCTGAGCGTCCCTCCCTACCTTTCTCATCATGTATGATTGCGCCTGCCGTAATTGTGTGTTTGGCTTCACGTATGTTCAACGGACTGACAATGCATATTATTCTCTTTTTTTTTGCTGGAGTGTAACATAGACTGTACTTAGTTTGCGTCAAATGAGTCGCCTGCCAACTTGATAAACCAAATGAGGAAGGTGTGCGCGAAGCATAGCCATCGGACGTCACCCATCGGCCAAAAAAAAACTGTTGCTCGTCTCTTGCAACCACATCGACGCCCGCCGACCAGAACGTTTTCCCATTTAGCCCGCCGTGACCGGGCCACGGAAATGCACTATCTTGAGCCCCACGTATCGGCACTGCATTGCGCGCTCGAAATCACCCAGGGAAACATCAGAGCCTACCATGTATCGGGATGCAGAGGGCTTGCCTCTTCTTTCCAGCGCGCGCATTCCATTCCGATAACGCGCTGTCGCTTCGACCTGCCACTGGATTCATTAATGGTCTGCGGATGTCTCGCATCCGGCGCGTCTTCGTCGTGGGGGCATGATCGGAACGCTTATGTACGACGCTGCGCTCGTTATGGACAACGATATGCGTCACTGTCCCACCTGTGAACCAGAAGAACGTTTGCTGAACGGCCTTCCCTGGACGATCGTGCTCTCCGAACACGTGTCAGTGCAAATAAGTACGCACGTATTGGTTTCCGGGCACGGACCCTCAGCGCTAAGCTGTTTATGGTTGACGCGTTTATCGATGCGCTACAAGCACACAAAAAGAGCCGTTCAAAAATCTACGTCTCAGTGATAAAAAATCATCCCGGTGTAACTACTTCGTCTCCACTGCGACATCATGGACTCCAGCAGGTAAGCCAATCCGATTATGTCCGTTCTATCCGAGTCTCATGCTAGCGCTCCTCTTCAGAGACATCATAGCCCGCGTCCTCAATCTCGTGTCTGACCGCCTCTTCCGGTCTTATTCGACGATGTCCCAGACGCTTCATGCAACCCCTCTACCCATGCTGACCCGGTCGGAGTCCGGCACATCCTCGAGCAGGTATACAGGAGCCGGCACTCCCGCGTCTTCAACTTCGTCTGCCACAGACGTCGAGGACTCCTTCCAGAAGTCGAGATCTCCCTCCCCCCGTTCATGTGGCCGACCTCTTCCTACTCTCGAGGAGCCCAGTCCCAGCGCCGCGCCTCGCTGCGACACGCTCATTTTCGATCTTGGCGACGTTCTTTTTACCTGGTCCGCCGAGACCAAGACGACGATCTCCCCCAAGCTCCTTCACAAGATTCTTCGCTCCGCAACCTGGTTCGCGTACGAGAAGGGGGACCTTGGCGAGGAGGAATGCTACGCCCTCGTGGCGAACGAGTTCGGCGTCCCTGCCTCTGAGGTCGCCGCCGCGTTCCAGGGCGCTCGTGATTCTCTAAAGGGTAGCCCTGACATGATCAACCTCATTCGAGCTCTCAAGCTCGCATCTCCTCACCTTCGCGTTTTCGCCATGTCCAACATCTCTGCTCCTGACTGGGCCGTGCTTCGCGGGAAGGCACCTGCTGAAGAGTGGGCCCTTTTTGATAGGGTGTTCACATCCGCGGAGGCGCGCGAGCGGAAGCCCAATCTTGGCTTCTACCGCCATGTTCTTGCTACCACAGGCGTCGACCCTCTACAGGCGGCGTTCGTGGACGATAAGCTGGAGAATGTGCTCAGCGCGCGCTCTGTTGGTCTACACGGCGTCGTATTCGACTCTTTTGAGTCTGTGTCGAAGCAATTGTGGAATCTTGTATCGGATCCCCGGGAGCGAGCGCTCAGGTACCTCGACGCCAACGCCAAGCGGCTTGATTCCGTCACCGACACCGGCATCGTCCTGCGGGAGAATTTCGCCCAACTTCTCATTCTCGAGGCGACAGGGAATCGCGAACTTGTCAACTATGTCGAGCACCCCCGCCTGTTCAACTTCTTCCAAGGTACTTTTTGATTGGATACGTAGGATCGGCCACGAACTAATTTTCTCTCAGGCGAGGGCGTCTTCACGACCGCACAGTTTCCTTGTGACCTTGATACGACGTCCATAGGGCTCACCGTGGCCCCCCACATCGATGACGCTACGAAACGCAGCGTCATGGACGAGATGGTCACCTACCTCAACAAGGACGGGATTATTCAGACGTACTTCGACCGCAGTCGGCCTCGTATCGGTAAGTCCACGAACGATTTCGATACCTTGAAAGTAGTCCTGATTCGCGTGCGTTAAAGATCCGATTGTCTGTATCAACGTCTTGACCCTCTTTCATTCGAACGGTCGCGGCGACGAACTCGCCGCTACCCTGGACTGGGTCTACGACAATCTGCAACATCACGCGTACAAAGACGGAACCTACTACTACTACGGCCCGGACACATTCCTTTTCTTCCTTTCGCGCCTCATGTCCGTATCGCCGACGGTACACGCGCGCTTCGCGCCGCTCTTCTCGCGACGCGTCTTGGAACGCTTTGGCGCCGAGGGGGATGCGATGGCTCTAGCCATGCGCATAATCGCTGCGTCAAAGGTTCAATTCTGCGATACCGTTGACTATCAGAGGCTGCTCGATATGCAGGAAGTTGATGGAAGCTGGCCGGTGGGCTGGGTTTACAAATATGGAGGCGCCGACATCGTCATCGGCAATAAGGGCTTGACCACCGCCCTCGCTATCGAAGCCGTCGAGGCAGTCAGGAGCCTTCACGCTGTATTGTAGAGTACTAAATCATCGCCGATATAAACGAGGACGTTTGCCGTGATAACATTATTGAGTCATATACTACGGTTGTTGAAATTCATGACAGCTTGCCATCTCGCACTAAAGGTACATCCAAGACTATATACAAAGGTAGGAAGATGAGCTGCCTTGTCTGATTATTCGTGACTCGTGAGCGCGGACTATAATCAACACTGTTGGAGGCCTCGGCGTTTACGTGAATATACGAAGATCTTATACAGTACTGATCACCAGCAACCTCGTGGCGCCGCAAATCGACGTAAGCAACGTTGGCCGGCGGGACCTGGAGAACGGTGTTACGTACCAACTTCAACGAGCTCTGTTGTGTTCGGGAGAGTATCGGCGGCGCGACGTTTGCGAGCCACAGTCACGGTTTCAAATTTAGTCTCCCTTATTGGCCGACGATCTACGTACACGGGGTGATGGTCGCGGGCCTAGCCTCTCTCCCAGGGGCATTCAAGTCAAACGTAGTGGCATTGCCAAGTTTCGCCACTCCGCCGCCATGCGACACCCCCACCGCCCGCGCTCCCGCCCCCGCGGCCTGGCGATAACTGCAACGAAACTGTAGAATTGGCAGCCCTTCACATCATTACCGTACGTCGCCACCCTGGGCATCCACGAGATCCCCGATTCGATCCCGCTGTCTTCGCCTTAACTGCGTCCTGGAGCAAGCGCGTTGAAAGAATATTCGCACGTCATCGCGAATCCCGGCGATTCATTGCAATTGAGAGTTGTACAATCGAAGCCATACTGCAGAACAGCATTTGATGGACGGAAAGCATCTGGAGTATCGAGAACTAACCCTTGGATGCAGTTTCGCCATAAGTGACCGGAGAAGAACAAGAAGAGCACGCGTAACGATAACTATCAGTAGACATTGGTCTCGGCCGACGTATGCTCCCAAAGGGCATGTCTAGCTTCCTCCGAGGTGTTCAGGTTCTTTTCGCCTATGTCATTGCCCTTGCCATTTCGTCTGCAACGAGAACGATGCACGTTAAGTCATAAGCAACGACAATGCGGTGGAAGGAGAAGAAGCGAGAGAAGTGGGTCGTCGCCGAAAGGATAACAGAAAGGAACGTACCGAAAAGAGCCCTTATCTCCTCGTAGAAGGGAGTACATGACAAACTCGCCGGAGTTCGCTTGCGATACGGATACAGGCCACAGCAACGCGATGAACAACGGGTAGAAGAGCTTGAGAATGGGGTTCGATGGCTTCAGTAGCGGAGTGCGCACTACTCCCGGATGCATGTGGACAAAAGACATCTTGGGCTGCCGTGCGGCAAAGGCCTGACGTACGGTAGTTAGCGTGAAACACAATGATAACCTGCACTTGGAAATCAAACGTGCCTCGATCATACAATCGTTGTACGTCGGCATAGCTGAAGCAGCTTTCGCCGAGCTGTAGTGTTTCTTCAAGCCGAGATCGTTCAAGTCGATCTTGCCTCCTTGTCCGGCAGCCTTGATCGTGATAACCTTCGCGTCTTCGCCCAACTCCGTAGCATTGACCAGCAGCGGCATAAGCTATGGACAGGTCGGAAAGGGAATATGACCATAATGCTTCGTACTCACATCATGAATGAATTTCCACCTCGCGTAGTAGTGCAGGGCGAGCTTCCGGTCTATTCCTTCTTCGGTCTCGTCTCGGCCACCCATCCCCAAAAAGCCGGACGAGAGTACAAGATAGTTCAGCTTCGGAAGAGAAGAGAGCAACTCTGTGACGATGTCGCGAATGTTCTTCATGAGAGATACGTCGCAGGCGACGAATTCGTACGCGCCGCCGTTAGCGGCAGGCGGCATGCCCTTGAAGATGCGATCCGCGGCTTTAGGGATGATATTAGAATCACCTCCGATTGCAGATATAGCGAGGTACGACCTGCCTTTACGATTTCGTCCACAAAGAATGATATGGATATTGCCATTCGTGTAACGGGCGAACGCCTCGGCCGTAGCTTGGCCTATGCCGCTTGTCCCACCAACGAACAGAGCAATAGGCGTCGTTGGAGGTGAAAAGGTTGCATTCAACTTCACTACTTCGTTCAGAGACGGCATGACGGGACCGTGAACCAGAACGCAGGAAGAGTTCGCATAGCGTTGGCGGTGCTTGACGGGCGCATACCAAAACGGTCAGGCTATTGCCTACAACCGTCGTGCTTGAAGCTCCGTGATATGGTCTGATCATCCGAGCGATTGTTGTAGCGCCCTTTCATAGCGGTAGAATGAAATCGTGACCAGCGGCAAGAGGTTCGGTGGTGGGCGATGTGGAAGTCATGTTAGGGGGCTCGATAGGGCTTGATGCCCCTGACTCAGCTTGACTGCGACGACGACGCCAACAGCCTTTGATAACACTATACAATATTCTCTCTCTGCGACTGGGGCTAAATCACCTGGAGCTCGTACAAGCGAAGACCCTGTAGTTGTACTATAGGAGCCAAAACTGCGTACAAAAATCGAGCCGCGGATCGCAACGCGCCTTCATCACTGCTGCATATCATGGACAAGGATCAGGCCTACATGATCGAGCCTTTAGCGGAACTATCTGGTGGGTTCGGTCAGTGCAGAATCAATATAACAGATGTTCACGGAATGTATGCGCCAGGCCATGATGATCGCGCATGGAATGTCGCCTGGAACCCCGTAAAGCCCATTCTCGCCTCATGTTCCGCGGACAAGAGCGTTCGATTGTACCATTACACCTCGTCTTCGACGTCCAGAGAGGAGTCTTCGGCATCGTCCTCGCCCACCTACTCGTTTGCTCATCTTTCCACCATTCCTACTGGTCACACCAAAACTGTCCGGGCCGTAGCGTGGGCACCCTCCGGGAAGACGCTTGCGACAGCATCCTTCGACGCGAACATCGGCATCTGGGAGCAGGAAGCTGACGATGACGCGGGTGATGTCAATTCCGGGGATTGGGAGTGCGTCAGTCTGTTAGAAGGCCACGAAACGGAGTGCAAAAGCGTCGCGTATTCGAGCACCGGCACATTATTGGCTAGTTGTAGTCGCGATAAGACGGTTTGGGTATGGGAGGGTGAGTCATTCATCTTCAACACGTTTTCTACTCCACTCATGTCAAGCATTTCGACAGTCCATCCCGACGCCGACTTCGAGTGTTTGGGGGTGTTAATGGAACATACGCAAGACGTCAAATGCGTAGCATGGCATCCAACTGAAGAGGTCAGATGACCGTCACCGAGGAATATCGTAAATATGACTCCAACGTCGATCAATGCAGATACTGGCCTCCGCCTCATACGATGACACCGTCAAGTTATACATCGACGACCCTTCGGATGACTGGTATTGCTTCGCCACTCTCACCGGCCACGCCTCTACAGTTTGGTCAGTCGCCTGGGCTCCTAGCGGGAGCTATTTAGCCTCAGCTTCGGACGATCGTACAATCAGAATCTGGCGACGTGCTGGTGATATGCTTGAACAATGGGAATGCGTTCTCGTTATCGAAGGACACGAGAGAAGCATTTACTCCCTCAGCTGGAGTGCGAGGCCTTCTGGACCGCGAAGACCTGGGCATCTAGGGTGGCTCGCCAGTACCGGCGGTGATGGGAAGATTAAAATATGGGAGTTTTGGGTCCGTTCTTCGATCAGATCTGACCGAGATCCCAATTACTACTGCACGTTATTGACATCGCTTATTTGCTCTTTCTTTACAGGAAGAAAATGCCTCCGCAGACAACCGCCCGCGGTCCGACTCTCGCCCGATGCTCTACCACGCTCTGATCGCAAGTCTGTCATCCGCCCACGGGGTTTGCGACGTGAATAGCGTGGCTTGGTGTCCCCGCGCTGAACATTCCAATTTGCTCGCGACAGCTGGCGATGACGGGTCTGTACGTGTTTGGCACGTCGCTCCGACGCGTCCAGCGACCGACGCGTAGAGACGTCACCGGTGCCCGACCAAGGGCGGGTGGCTGTACCCTAGCGACATCCTGCAATTGTCGGATGTGTGGGCAACCCCGACGCCATACCGATGAGTACAGGATCGTGTCGGCGCGCTGGCAATCGTTCCGTGGTTCTATCCTAGTACACTTTGGCCCGTTCGGCCCGATCCGTGCCACCGATCCCGCCGTAATACCATTTGACCGGTCTTTCTCGACTACACGAAGCTGTGGAGCGGGTCCAGCCAGGAGCGACGATTGGAACTCAGCCTACAACGCGCAGAGCGCGACAATTGTATGGTACCTGAGCACAGCGACAGACGGCAAAGAAGGTGGCGAACACGGTAACCGCGGCCGTATGAACCAAGCGCGTTGATTTGCGACTCAGTCAACGATTGCTTGGGCCTCTCCAGCAGGGCAGTTCCTCAGAATACCGGAGGGCACGTCACACCTTTCATGAACATGAGAAGCTGTTTCGACGCCGATCTGACGGAGAACATTGCTTAGCGAATCAATTTGATCGGACTCCGCCGATTGCTTCAACAGGACCAAGCACTGACTGCAGGGCTGGATCAATCGCCGAACGTCGTGAATCATTGAAAATTGAATTTTCAACGTGTCTTCCTAGACGAGGGTGGTTATGCGCCGGACGACTTTGTGCTCGAAGAAATCAGGGCAGTCGATGCATCGGGCAGCGCCGCCTAGCTGGATGGCAATATTTATATTAGCTCCGAAGATAGTATAGAAATGGTGACGCAGGTTTTTTTGTTATCACTTTTCTCTGACGTTTATGGAATCTTGGAGTCTGCACTGATCGCTGTCAATGACAGCTTGGGATAACAAGCTTAACTCCTCCTAATCCGCGCTGCTGAGGCGAATTTCATGTTGGGGAAGATCGACGAATAAGGAGGTTGTAACGACGTCGGGAACCTCCCGAGAAAGGAAAGAACACGAGGCATGCCGGCTGTACCTTCGCTGTCCACGTCGGGAGCTACGTTTACCTCGGTACCCGTCGTGCGTACCACCTTCCGTTCGGAGAGAAGGAAGCACCGGTCTTGCTCTAGGCGTATAAGATGCTGAGACGCCAAATCTTCGAATTGACTACGCTCCGACTCAGCACCTCCCTCATTATCCTCCGCCATGTTCATGAGAGTACCAGTAGAGGAGCTCTCTCGCTCTCAGATCTGCTTCCGGTTCAACGAGGCGGACGGTGGACTCAGCTATGAAGTCAGGCCGCTTCCTCTCGACGCGGCATCAGGAGACGCGTTTTCGTCGTCTGCTGGGTCGACGCCGGCGCCTGCAATCAACTTCCAGACCATCTTCGACGAGCAGGGTCGTGGACGAGGCCTATCGGTTTTCGCTTCCGTACCCCATCAGCCTAGATCCCACGTTCCTTCCCCGCCTGCTAGTGAGTATTGACGACCCGATAGTGCACTGAATAAAGCTCACGCATCACAACTCTAGGCCCCGCAAACCCCCATATCGCGTTTCAATCCTTAACCACTGTACCCAGTTCGTCTATCTTTATCTTGTCCCACTTAATGCTTACTAAACTTAATCTGCAGTCACACCGGTGGATGTTACTGGCCTTGAACCTTTGCCTCATTATGGCAGTGACATGTGCACAGATAAAACACAGTTCAGCGGGTCCCTGGACTGGTTTGCGGAGCCCGCGAACTCCGGCCATCTCTGCCAGGTGAAGCCGCATATGGTGGACGGGCTCGATGATTCTCTGAACCTGGATGTCTTCGGTTCCTTCGAACCCTTTGACTGTGAGATTTGTTTTCTTTTCCTTATTGAGACGGCGAAGTGACTCATAACATAGCAGTGATATCGGATATGAGCGCCACAGACCTTAATTCGGCGATGCACGCGGCTGATTTTCATGAGCTCGTGTCTCCGATGTCCTCAGAATCGTCATGCTGTTCCTCCACATCGCCCGAGGCGGCTACTCCTCCCACCCCGCAGGAACCGAACGCTACATCCAGACCGCCGTCGCCTTTCAGCTTCGCGTATTCAGTACCAGAACCGGATATGGATCCAGCACATATGCTTCCTTCTCCCCCGCCTACGGCGACATCAGAAAAGGACGGCAGGCCTCCCGCGAAAACTCGGCGAAAACGCTACGCATGCCTGTACCCTAATTGCGACCGCCTCCTTACTAGCGAGTACGTGCGCCACATCGTCGTAACCGCGTCGTGACCTCTAATGCGCTTCGTCCGTAGGTATACCCGTCGCGTCCATATGACCACGCACACGAAAGTGCGCAAGTCCATCCCTTGCACTATGCCCGGCTGCATGGAGAATTTCTCGCGGATGCACGATCGCCTGCGACACGAAGTGACGCAGCACGGGAAGGTGTGCGAGTTCAGCTGTCATGTCTGCAAGCGATTCTTCTCTTCCGCAAAATTCTTGGGAAACCACAAATGTCCCGGCGAACGCGTCGGCTTCCCGTCGCGCTGGCCTGCGACCGGTGAGTGGCGTTTTCCGATGTTCTCTCTTCGGCGGTACTCAAAACACCTGATTCAGGCCAATCTCCGCCCGAAGCGCAATGAAACGTGACTGTTTATGTTTATCATTTATGAAGTATGTCTTGTATAACGATAATAGATAGACATCATCATATCTTGGAATGCATCCATGGACTCGTGTAGAACAACTAGATCTTCAATGACGCCTTGTAGATATTGCTGGCCGTATGTAATCGAATATGCGGATCACGCCACTATGGCTTCGTTGACAGACTTCGACTTCGCCCCGTCTAGCAATCTCGATCATCAGGCCGGGTAGCTTCCGCCTAGAAGATCGACGAACTCCTCATAGATCAAGTTTCCTAATCCTCCGAGCTTATCTGCAGACCGTCGTACATACGCTATCGGAACTCTCGAATCTAGTACTGATAATGGCGGCGGGAACTCGGTCTGCGGCCAGAGCGATATGTACACATCGCCCCGGACCGTCCGCATGCCATGCACCGGACATTGTAGGAAGGAATATATTTATGCCTCAGCGCTGGGCGCTATGTTGGCACTCGGTGCTAGGCAGCTCGAAACAAGGAGAGTATCTGTGCGTATATAGTAATCAGACGACAGTAAATATGGCTGTAATGGCGGTACGGACCTGTCCAGGTGCCGCCGCTCTGGCCCGTAGGGACCTCGCTCAGAACATAACCTTGGTAGCTGTATACAATTCGCATTGAGCTCCGACAATGACGGCAAGATCGTACGCACAAGTTCCCCGCAGCCCATCCGACATATCCGAGAATAACTGCAGGACGGAGTGTCAAGCAGAGACGCACTTTGACCAATGAAACACGAAGCTTACCATCCGAGTTGGCTTTCTGATACGCAACCTATTATCCCTGATGAGCTTTCCGAATACACACGATCGGCTTCAGATTCTGACCTGTTCGCACATGTACTGTGCGCAAGACGCAACATTCCCCCCGCCGGTTTCGGTGTTAAAAGCTTGACGGCCGTTACATCGGAGCCACTGGGTAAGCGGCTCCCAAGCGTCCGCAATGTTGTTCGTGACGCACTCCGAGTTCGTGCCGGAGTTATCTGCCGATCGCACGCTGACGATCAGCTGCAAACAATGAAGGCCTTAGCCTGAGACGTACCGTAGTCGAGATACTTATGAACATCGAAGACGAGCAAGTCCTTCGTACCGTCTGGGTTGACAACTTTGTTCAGAGCATCCGCCGAGCCGTTGCTGATGAAAGTTGCGGCGCTCGTCCAGTTGTTTCCGGGAAGCAAAATGTATTGTGTCGTAGCACCTGTAGCGGTATCGTGTTCAACTCACGTCCGCGATGTTGTGCAGGATGGGGCATACCGGCGTTTCGAATAGCAGTAACCGCGGCCTGGACGCTGCCAGCCCACAAATTGATGTCCGGAACATCGTGCGGCTCGTTCATTCTGTCCAAATACCGTTAGCTTGGTTGAAGGCACAGCGTTATCCCTCAGCGTACACTCCGAATATGATCTTGGAGTTGTCAGCGTATTTGGCAGCTATCGAGGCCCAGATGGATGCAAACATGTCGTCGCTGGGACCACCTTGACCAATTATCTGACGCGCAAATCAATCACGGTCACGTATTGCTCATGGATATGGGTACCTCGCCATTCCATCGGGCGTAGTTGTGAACATCAATAATGCAGTAGGCACCCGCGTCTAGGCAGGCTTGAACTAAGGCGTCATACTCGGTGAAACTGCCTCAGTCAGTCAGAAAAAAAATAAAGCCCGCCTGCCATGGCAACGACTTACTTGTCTTCGTTGATGACACCAGTCAGAATATCGTTGGTCAGGAACTGCCAACTGACTGGAAGGCGGAAGGTATTGAAACCGTCGTCGTTCACCTGCACCGGGTGCAATGTGAGCTATTTTCATACAAGTAACCTTGGATCGAGACCACCCACGAAGTGTTGCATCTGTCCCGCGCCATCAGCACCTGTCAGCAGGTGATCAGAGTGACACAAACGGTGAAACATCCCGGGCCTACCATAGTATTGAGTTAAGGGCGGGTAGGCGCCACTCGCATTACACGTGCCATCAGACGAGCAACCGAAGTCGAATCCGGCGATGTTCACACCTGAAAATATTCTCGGTGAGATATTCAAGTGCGTATGTGCTCCGAGTAGGGTAGGTGTGCGAACTTACCAGTGAACTTCAGTTGACCCGCCGTGGATGGTGGGCTATTGGGTACACAGCTCCCTGAGCTTGACGGCGCAGATGACGACGCGGTGGGGGTAGATGTAGTCGAAGAGACGCTCGCAGACGTGGCTGTCTTCGAGATGGTGCTCGTAGAAGACGCGGTAGTTGCTCCACTAGTAGCGACGGACGAAGTGGATGCAGACGAAGCAGCGCCTTCACCTGGGTTAGTATACATGATGATGAAATACGAGGGGACAACATACCAGGTACACATTGAGCTACGAATGACCGGTATCTCAGTGCTAATATCATAGCAACAAGAACGCGACGTACAGTAGTAATCGTTCAAAGCTAGAACGCGAGCATTAGCGCCGTTTGAAAATGTGGTGAAGTATCAAAGGCATACCGACGCAAGTTGAGCCGCTCACACAAGTTGTAGCGCCAGTCCAACCCTGGAGAATGTTCAGGTCGTACGTTTTCAAGAAACAAGGAAAACTCACGATACCACCACATTGAGCGTATGCAGCTGCCTGTGCATGAACGGAGACAGCAGCAGTGACAAGGCAAAGCAGGACTTTAAAGGTGTTCCGGCTCATGCTGAAAGGTGGTAAAACCGATTGCAGAGGATGGTGCTAGACCGCGTTTTAAATGACGCCAACGGACATAGCGGCGACACGCAGCAGCATCTCGAGGCACCGCCGGAGACCGAGCATAACCGAGTACTCGCCGACAACGGTGAACGAGTCCTGGTCGCTATCGAAGTCAGAGCGTAGGAAGTCACATGCATATGGGTAAATATAAAGAGTCGTACCACGTTACTCGTGTTGCGGCGAGCGGATGAAATTCGCATTAACATCGGTTGCACATCCGAGCTTTCAACACGTTGTGCTGAGGTTGCGAAGGACCGGTATCTTTGGGCACCTCAGGAGACAGAGACGGCGACGGCGGAACGATAGTGAGCCTGCCGGCTGGAAGAGCTGCTTCATGGGTATGGTTGCAGATGTAATGGCCGCAGTGAATATGCGTATTTCGCAACGAGGAAAGCAACTCCTTTCTTCCTATTCATTGTCTGCAGAGGAAGACGGTGATTCCCCTCGTCTGCGAAGCCCGAACTCCGTTCAACGTGAAATGACCATGACCCCTCGAGCTCATCAGCGTATACCCTACGCCCGCTTGTTTGGCCATCGGCGGACGGATGAATGTCGCTAAAATTAGAACGAGCGTCGTTGCAGGTATTCTAGAGCTTTTGTGAGTTTATCGGTGTTTGGGTCACGATGAGAAGTTAGCGGATAGAATTCTAGCACGAAATCCGTCTAGACATACATACTCCGCGTATGGTAATTTCCTCATGAAGAGCCATTAGCCAGCGCAGCGCCAACAATTCCTTGAAATTTGAGTTTCTGCACTGTGCGGGTCTAGCACGAGTGATTTAAGTCAAGGAGAAGGGGCTCGAATCCGACACATGCAGCTTCGTGTCTTCCCTTGAGGAGAAAAGGGTCCGGTAATTTGCAGGGCACACAATATCAGGCACCATATCCTGAAAGTAGAAGGCATGGCTTAGACGAACGATCTGACGACATCGGGCCGCCAAGTGCGAAGCAGAGCGCCACCATCCAAGATCGGCGATGTGTTGCAATCGTGAAGAAGATTCCCCCAGGTATACCGGAGATAGCGGCTGAGCACGAGTGCTCGGAGATGAAGATGAAGGCCTGCAGCGGGTAGGCAGTATATGCCAGTGAGGTATACAGTATGTAATTTCCTATTGCCTTCTGGGACACACCGAATGCGGTCATTGCAATGTGGGATGAAATGGTAGGCCGTATATGTCGGAGGATGACCCAACGCTATGGACGTGGACCAGAACCGTACGAACAAGAGGAGACAGGAATGAGTCGGTTACAAGGCAACTCCGTAGATGGCTGCCAAATGCAATCGCGGTGACGTGGCCGTGGTCCAGATGTGACGACGAACCGGGCAGATTCCATTCCTCCGATCGGACGTCCGCTTCTGGCCCACCCGATGGCCTGATAAGTAAACCCGGCGTCAGCATAGGAGCCCGCGATGTTTCGAATGCATGTTCAAGTATCTTCGCCGACGAAAATTTCACAATGAGCACCAAATATGCACATTGTCGGAGCAATTTATGCGGCGGGACAGCTGTGTATGTTGTCGAGGACGGGGGAGCGACGGCACCGGAAAAGATCGAAGAAATCGCGAACAAGCCGGATACCTCCCTGAGATCGAGACGCCACGGAGGAGAACGCTGACAGCTCCATGGATGAAGTAACTGGTCACGTGGCTGGGCCAGTGTCAACGAAAACGAAGACCTGATGAGAAGCGCGTGCTTCTTGCGAATTGGATTTGCGTGCCAGCGTGCCCAAGTCATATCTTGATGTAGAGATCCAGAGGGCGGTCGAAACCTAGAGTGACATTAGTCATCGGACGAAAGGGAGTCATGCTGCAGCCGCAGCGCAATTTCGCCTACTTACCTCCGTTCAGAATGAATGACGTCCCGATTGTCAGGTGTTCAACAGGTTTGAAGCCAATCTCCGTCAGGATTCGCGGGAAATCCTCAGGTCGTAGTTCAAGCGTATGAAGCATAGAACGGAGTTTCTGTAGCGCAATGATCGGCACATTAGTGTCAGAGAACACGTAGAATTCTAAGGATCCCAACCTCATGCATCCTTCCCGCTTTCTGGTACGAGCTCCTGTCCTGAGGTTCGAGGATCAACATGCCGCCCGGTTGAAGCGTCGAGTGGACCTTGCGGAAGAAAGTTAGGAGGCCGTCGTCACCAGTATTGAGGTGAATCCACTTGGATACAGAGAACCTATCATCTCTGATAAGTTCATTGACGGTATAACGCAGGCGGATCTCATACGCAACGACCACATCATATCCGTCCCCATCCTCAGGGATTCGTTCACGCGTCCAGTCGGCTACACGAAAAGAGATATTATGCGGGAACTCGTGGGCTGTCGAAGCAGTAGATCGAGGCGTCGGTAAGGGACCAAACATATGTTCACAGGATGCAGGAAAGTAGGTTGCGTCAATACGCCGAATGCGAAGGGTCTCTTCTTGTTCAGGTGTGCATTTGGTAGTAACCGAGGTGCGCTGACGGGAAAAGCAGGTTCTCCGGCGATGCCAAGCACGCTCGATGAGGGCAGAGTCGACGTCAACCCCCACGACTTTGCTCGCCCCGAGAGACTGGGCTGAGACACATGAACAGAGGGCGCCGGAGATAGAACTGTCTTTCCTCACCAATCTCACATGTTATCCAACCTTCGTTGCAGCCCACATCGAGAACCCGTTTACCAGAGAACAGGTCCGGGGAATACGCCGATAACAAAGCCAAGCGCGCGTCGCTGGCGAGCGGTCGTTTGTAGTAATAATCGCGATAGTTGCCGTATACTGGGAGGTCTGTCGCCGGGTTCGTTTGTGTTGTCATTATAGAGTCATATAACTGAGTTTGCTGAGTTTCTGGGAGTGTTTCACTTCAGGCTGCAGCCAGAGGCCAAGTCGCTAAAGAAAAGGGGCTATGCGGGCGCCTAATTGAAGCTTATTCCCTGATACACAAGGTCACGTGAGTTTCGCGAAAATATTGCCTTTTCGCATGCACCTGCTTTCTTCAGTTCCGCGATATCTGAACGTCGCTCATCCTAAAGGCAGACATAAGACTATCGTCACCTCTAAATCCTCTATAGGTGTTAGCCTTCCGTGGTTATACTTGGCCATAGGCGGCCGTCTGGCATCTACACAACCTATGACTATATGCACATTCCGAACCTAGGATGATCTTCAACTATCGAATATAACATTCATCTCCGCGTATGTCTGCCTCAATCAGCATTGCAGAGCGCCCCAATGTTGTGTATGCATATCGGCGGTGTTTGTAAAGCACTGGCTTAGTAATTATCTGGTACCCAGGAGACGCCAACTTGATCTTATCGGGTCTGTGTTTCCAAGAGCTCTCGAAGAAAACGCCACAAGACCGGCGTATATACTCCTTACGAGAGAATCCATAACCGAAACTTACGCGATGTCGATACAACCTCAAATCGAAGGACGCATATAGTTGCGCCCCTTGCGCCACCTTCCCTCAAAATACACATAACCATGCCGCAAGCGTTTCCAAACCCGGATGCGTGATCCCATCCCCATCGTCTGGTCGCCGTGGTCCAGGTACCAATGTGAAGCAGTTTCATCGTGCCCACCGGCAGAATCTCGGACGTTGTCTACCAAACGGCCGTTCTCTTCCGGGTCCGAAGGCGACACAGAGATCGGCAAGGGTACAAACATCAATAGCTTTCGCGGGCGACGAAGGCACCCTCAAGGGTGCATTTGCAGTGTGAGTGACTTCTACCTCTTGAAGCATCGCCGAGATCTTCCTTTCTGACCCTGACGCTTCAGATACGCCTGTGCGAATGTGCCCGAAGGGAGGGCTGGGCTTGTGCATGTTTCACGAGAGAAGACTAGCGGCCCAGTTATTGATACATCGTCAGGCAGCACAAATAGTCACCATCAAGGCTTCTCCACACAGTCGAGAGTTCGAATGCCATACGCCCATAGTGAGTCGTCTTGATTTGCTCGTATGCCCCGTTCTGGACCAGGAAGATAGCTGACTACTTCCTCCAGCGCTACATGATTTGTCTGTGCGCCGCCGCGCCTGAACTCGACCATGGCGATCGCGGAGATGAACGCGTACACAGGAGTGAACAACGAAGTTGTCAGACAGACCGTCACTATTTTGACTTCTCCAAGACTCCACGCAACCCATGACACATACGGACGCGGGCTCGTGTTGGAGGGATGGAGGGACACGTATAGACTCCGGGGCGGGCACAACCCCGTCCATTCGCACGGCGCGTGTCTCCATTGCGTGAACGACTGTCTTCACGCTCTAGAGTCTGCCTGGGGAGACAAGGGCGTGTCCACGCATGTGCGTGAACCTCCTGCGTCCTTCCGAATAAACCTAGAACCCGCTGTTTCCCGCGGGCCCGAATTCAACAGTGAGTTCGTCGTTATCGCATTCGATCTGCCCGATGTGCAAAATGGGCGAGCCGAGCGTGACAAGGGCGGCTGTCCGTGTACGTCCGGGTTTCGAAGGCAAATGCCAAATAGCTTCTTTCATTTGCACACAGCGCCGGTCTACGGGCCTGCGGCTCTAGAATGTCGATTGATGCTGATGGTTTGCCCGCTAGATCAGGCTAGACAGATCGGGGAGAAATAGGGGTCAATACGCCCCTCGCAATGCGCCGCAAGGCTTCGAGGAACGCTGAGGATGCTATGGCAGTAGCCCACATGCACAAGACGACTGCACGCGGGAGCGTTCCATAGACCATGCTCGCCTACGCCCAGGGAGACAGTCATATCAGAGCGCAACGTAAAGATGATCATATGTCGAAGAATCGCTCACCGGATTATGTCTCGATTCGCGACCTCCTTACGCTCTTCGATCGCTGTCGTTCCGCGCTCTCGACCTCGTCGACTTGTTCCGGGCCTGATTTCACACAGGGTGGGGTCTCTTGATACGTACAATCACGAGCCCGTTCCCACCTTCCGATCTACCGGCCGTTGAGTGACCACATGTGCGCTCGAGGTTTTCCGCGGACCTGCTGTGCGCCGACTTATGCGGCTAGCGCACGTACTGGACCTGGCAGCTGCCCAGTGCTTGGAGTAAACGACGGAGCTGTAGAGGCACGGCAGCAGGAGTAATCGGCGCTGTAAGGTTGATCTCACTGGTTGCTTCACGGCCGGAGACTCACGCGCCTTTCCCAGGTCTTCGCATTCAATATGTACCGTCACGATCATGGGGTTTACGCAGCTGGTTGATGTCAAGAGTCTCGATCTATGACGGTGTGTATGACGGTCGACAAGTCGACACAGCTACGGCACTGACGAAGGGCACGGAATCGTACAGAACAGCGCGATGTAAGTTGTTTCCAGTCCAGCAATCGCTCTGGCGAACGTTGGTCGCAGCGTCAAGTGCAGCTGCGAGTTTTCCGGCGTAGGATGGCCCGGAATCGCCCGAGGTTGAATCGCGCAACAGCTGTGACACGTCATTGGGCTGTGCTGACTGCCGTTTTCGGGATGCGATGCTGTGACGGCGTCACAAACCTCCGCCTGGACTCGAAGCTGTTCCCCTTTCAGGATGGACACCCGCAGAATCTTGGCCCTTCTTCCATGGAGAGGAGCTACATCGATGTTCCACGGCTGCAGCCCGGGCGGTGAGTCGCGGCCCTGCAGCTATACAAGACGCGCTGATCCGCGTCATGTAGCACTTCAGCACAACCCCCGCCCCCACCCTCGACTACCCCGCATTCCCCGCAACACGCTAGCCTATACCTAGGCGAACACACTTTCTCCGTTTACCATGGTCAAAATGCACTCGGAACCGACTGTGCGCCACGAAGCGCTCGACACGACCTTCATCGGTGTTGAACATACCTTGTCAACTTCAGCAGCGCCAATACACCAGTTCCGAGGCATCAAGTACGCGACCATTCCCGGCCGTTGGAGGCAGTCCAAGCTCTTCACGACCTATGAACCCGGCACAAATGCTACTAAATACGGGTACGTGCCACGTAGCTCGTTATCCATCCGAGGTTTCGCCTAACCCTCCGCGCAGGCCAATATGCCCACAAACCCCATACCACTCCCTCCCTGAAGGGCTGTCGCACGCGACGCAGCCCGTCTCGGACGAGTTCAACTGTTTGAACCTCAACATCACCTGCCCAGGAAACCTGCTGCCCACGTCCCGAGTACCAGTTATGGTTTGGGTGCATGGGTAAGTCACGGCGGTGCGTCTCACCAACAAGCTTCGATCCATTGCTCACCCTATACGTGTGCGACCAGTGGCGGCAAGCAAGGTTCCGGCTCCGCATGGATATATGATGCGGGCTCCATTGTTCAGAGGAGCATCGCGCAAGAGAAACCGGTCATCGTGATTACGTTCAAGTTAGCCCTCCTCGTGATATAACTATATGTCAATTTTCAACTCAACTGTATCAGTTACCGTCTCGGCATCCTCGGATCTGCTGCCAGCATCGCGCTCCAGTCAGACAATACGGAGACAGGAGACGCTGGTGTCGGCAACTACGGTATGTGGCAGCCATTACAGAACGAACGAAGCTGCTGACGCTGAACATCGTGAACAGGCCTCCGAGATCAACAGCGCGCGTTCGAGTGGGTTCGCAACTTCATCCTCGAATTTGGTGGCGACCCAACGAACATCACCGCCTTCGGCGAGTCTACCGGCGCCTCCGACATCCTCTGCCACCTCCGCTCCGCTGAGAACGCCGCGCATCCACTTTTCGCGCGCGCGATCGTCCAGTCGCCCCTGGGCTCTATCGAACACGACACACTGGACATCGGCGCTGCCGGCTACCACCTCGCGAAGCTGATGCGCCTCGTCAACGCCTCCACCGTTGAAGAGCTCCGAGCGGCCGACGTGCAGAAGCTCGTCCGGTTCTCCACCTGGCAGAACTTCCGCGCGACCGACGACGGTGTGTTCTTCCTCAAGGGCTGGAAGGACGCCGCGAACGTCGTCGAGGGGAACCTTAGCACCCACCGCCGACGGTCCACGGAGAGCGGCGGCGCCGTGGGCGTTGTCGCCGGTTACTTCTCCCGCGACGCGATCCACGCCGCCGAACTGTACCGGCACCAGTCCGAAGGGCACCGACACGGCACGGCGACCACCCCCGGCTCTCCCCCAGGCCCCGGCTCGATACACGGTCTACCGATCCACCAGTCGCTCATCATCGGCGACTGCTCCTCGTCCAATCTCCTCTACTCGCTCCCGGCCTCGCTTTGGGACGCCCCGAGCACCGTCCGGCGGATCAAAGCCGTATGCCAGAGCATGCGCGCCGCGTCGACGCTCATGCGCGTGTACGACATCTCGACCCATACCGAAGAAGAGGACGACCTGCCCGAACGCGTCATCGACCTCCTCGGCGACGCGCGGTTCGCCTGGCCGACCGACTGCGCGTACGAGACGCTCCGCCGATGCGCCGCGCACGGCGTGAAGGTCTACCGGTACATGTTCGACGAGGAAGCGCCGCCCAAGGCCGCCTCCGCCGGCGTGCCCCGATACGCGCCCGACCTCGCCTTCCTCTTCGACCCGGCCCCGCACCCGGACTCGCCGCCCCCGACGCGCTCCGAGACGAGCGGCCGGCCGCTGAAGGATTACTACCCGGACCTCCCGCCGGACGAAGACGAGGAGGAGGAAGACGACTTTGACGACGGCGGCTGCTGGGAATACGACGCGCCCGGCGACCTCGACGCGGACGAGTGGGAGTTCCAGAAGATCCGGAACGCGATGCAGGAGCGCTGGATCGCGTTCGCGCACGGGGAGAACCCGTGGCGGGAGGATCGGATATACGTGTTCGGCCCGGACGGAGAGACGGGCGAACGGAGCAGCAGCATCGTCGAGACGAGGAGGCGGAGGCGCGCGTGGAAAGAGGCGTTTGAGCCGCTCGGCCTGAAGGCCGTCCAGAAGCTCGGAACGGAGCTGAGCAGCGGGCCGCTAATGGCGATGTCATAGTCGACAATCTCCTACGGAAAGAGACAGATCGTCACTAAAATGCGTATGAACATCTTCGCGCTGTTGTTTGTTGTATCTATTGCATGTTTTCTGGTTAGGCTTACGGGACGTACATTACAAGCTAGTTAGTAACGCGTTGTGTTATATATATTGTCATTGCAGACATACCTGTAACTCGCAGTTGACAGGGTCCTCGAATATCAATCGTATTCTTATCTGTTGCTGAGAGACGGTTTGGGAGGATTGGGCACCGGGATGCAGGACACTGCCACCACCGACGATCCTTTCCCTGTCGCTTCCGTTGCGGGTAGTCGCAACCTTGTATCGTTTCATGTTGCAATAATCGACGCTTCACATCTGCCAAGCCCGTATTTTATCCAAGCTTTCGCGCAGGCAACTAGTCCAAGGCGGGTACCGGACCACCGTTGACATCGAAACCCAACCAGACCTGAACCCGCGACGCTCTCGATCATCCGCGGACGCGCTTGATCGAGAGCGTCGGTCCGCTCGCTGATCGCGGATGTAAAACCGATTAGCGTCCGCTGCAACCTATACGAATACGCCTCTGCAGGTGATCTACACCAACATCCGCCTCGGTCCGCCAGCGGGAACGATCGCGGATGCTGGAATATCCGCCTCGAAGTCTGCACCGAGTATAAAAGCCTGACGTTCTCCGACCGTATTCTCTAACTCTTGGGTTCTGCTCTTGAGTTCTTACCGTCATCATCCTTCTTTACCTACCTTGCATACCTTACTACCTATCTCCTTACCTCTATCTCCTACCTCCTACCATGAACTTCTACCTTACCGCCTCCTTCCTCCCCTTTCCCTCCCACTTCCAACAGGTTTCCGTGGTGGAGAAGCTCGAGATGATGGTATGCCCGCCCCTCCGCTTGACCTGTAGTAATGGCCCAAGCTGACGATTCATCAGGACGAACTTGAGGTCGAGGCCCTCCTGGAGGTCAGCGCTACCCACGAGGCCAACGATTCCGGTGAGGATATGCGTGTGCCCCCGCCGGCGCCGCGTGTTCCACAGGAGGAGTTCGGTTTCTCCGACGGTGCGATGTCCTCCGGTTCTCTCAAGGCGCCTGCATCAATGGTCGAGGAGTGGTTTCCTCGCGCGGGCGTCTTCGAGGACAAGGAGGTGGACGGATCCAAGGGGGCGGTCTCTGCGCGTCGTCACAAGGCGGACGCAAGGCCGCTGCCGCGGAGGCGGAACGCTTTCGAGGAACCAAGAGAGCGTTCCGTCGTAGTCAAGGAGACGATGGAGGTCGAGACGATGGGCGCGGGTGCCACTGCTGCGAAAGGGAAGGTCCAGTTCGCTCAAAGCCCACTCCGGTACGCCTTTCTCGTCCTCCGCACTCCAATTCACTCGCTCACATTGCATCCACAGGCCGAGCTCTGCTCGTAGCCGTGAAGGCTCCTCGAGCGCCTTCCCCGACGCCGCTTCGATCAAGACCACGTCCCCTCAGCTCGACGTGACGAAGCGTTGCCAGAAGCCCCGCCCGGACTCTCTGATCTTCTACCGATCCGTCTACTTCGCCCGCTCTGACAGAACCAAGTTTTGATGTCTCTCGGCTCTCGATTGCGGCTCCTGTTCCCCCTCCTCTCCCTTCTCGGGTTTCGGTATAAAACATAAAATCCCACAAAAAATCGAGATATTAACAGTTCACAAAAACATTAGATAGCGGCTTGGGGTAGTTGTAGTGGATTGTCGTCGTGGCTACCCTGTTTACTCGCTGATGCTGCTGACATTCCTACAGCTTTATGCAGATCTCCATTCTCATTGCGGCTGGGTAGCCGCGCGCCT